CCACCATCGCTGAGAAGGCAGCAGCTAGCAGTTTGTGGCAGATTAGCATGCAGTGGGAAGGGACCGACTGCTTTCATTCAGATGCTCGGTTTTCTGCCCGGCATGCCCTTCCCTGTCTTGTGCTGCCTTGCATATCCCTGTCCCGTTCCCCGTTTCTTGTCCCAGTCAGACCCGTGGCGCTGGCCAAGCTAATGTATGCTTGAGTGCGCGGCGGAGAGTTGAATGGACATGTAATGGCAGAAAGTACTGAAGTACTGCGGTACGTCGCGCTGAATATAACTTGGGTCGGGCGGTTGTTCTAATGTAGGAACGGGGCCGAGAGGGTCTTGAGTGGGTGCGAGCAGTCAAGTGACGGCCGAGGGTTTTGGGGGCCTACCGCAACCTCAGCGCGAAGGCAGACGCAGCGGGAGGGATCCTGTCATATTTGCGAACGGCGGTATCCCGAGATGTGACGGACGTGGATGGATCGTGGGCCGTGGCGGGTGGTGATGCCCCTCCCGCGACGTCTGGCAAAGCCATCGTGGATTCGTGGCTGCCCAACGCCCCCTCCATGAGTAATCCACGAAAGGTAATCTTGTCGGGTTACCGCCCCATTTGAGTGCCGCAAAACGGACATGTTAGATCTAAATGGTTGACCGAGAGCAATGCGTGTAAGTAGAACAATACGTGATCGCGAATGTCGCATCCTACAGAAGTCGTTAGCTCGTCCAAAACACGAGAAACCAGAAAGGAAGCAACGGCTACACGGGACGGGATGGTGATCGATCACGAAAGGAACGGAGACACCCCAAGCCGGGCCTGTGCTCTGTCCTGTCTGTACTTCAGACTTCAGTCGGTATCCGTACGCCTGTGCCATGCAAAATAAAGAGACGAAACGTCGGCCCCTTGCGATGGCGGGCGAAACAAATCGTCTGTAGCGCTGGCGGTGAGGGGCAGTCTGTCAAGACGGGAAGGCAAGATGCGAATCGAAATCCGCTTGAGGCTGGGCATAACATGACGATGACCAGTTTGCCCTCTTTTTCGAAAGGCATCTGTGTCTCCAGGCAGGGAGGCACGGAGGGAGGTGAGAGGGGGCGGCAAGACCGCCAAACCGGCTGGTGTCTGCCGGGAGTGGGCGGCGGAGAAGGTCGCGGGCCAGTCAAAAGAAGAGCGCTAGACTTGGCGGCAGAAGGGTGATTCCTCCAAGCTAAGCTCCAAGCTGGAGGTCCCGAGATTGAGAAGAAGAGTTCACCTCAAGTTTGTCGAGTTCCCGCTCTGTTCGACGCGGCTGGTGGAGATGGGGGGATCCCAGGCTTGACCATGGAGGGTATGGCGTCACAGGCGCTGATCAGCCAATTTTTCTCGTAAGCAGGGGTGCCATGAAGGGTTGCTGCAGGTTGTGGTTGGCGTGTATCTGTACTGGTGGTGGTGGTGATGGGCTGTATCTTGTAGCGTGCGGCGTGTAAAAGTGCGGCAAGGTACGAATACTCGGCGGTCCTGCGTGTGCGGTGTGCGCCTCGTGGTGTGCTGGCTGCCGCTGCGATGCACGCGTAGTGTATCCGTAGGGATATTCGTACTTCAACATCTGCTGCTGCAGGCTGTAAAGATCCAGGGGTCCCTCGAGAAGGAGTGGAAGTTCCGGTATCTGTACATAGGTAGTGTACCGGATACACGTGGAAAGCAGGTACGTGAGGTGAGTGGTGAGGTCGACGGAAATGTTGCTTTTTGTTCGGCCATGGACTTTGCTTTTGCCATCGCGGCAGAGGCCATTTATGCGCAATGCGGTTTGAGTCTCGGAGGGTGGTCATGGTCATGGTGGAAACCAGTCGGAAACCAGCAGTGAGGAGATGATCAAAGGCCGGTGGTCGCACAGCGGAGCGGCGGAGAGAGGATCAACAGTCAGAGGGTCTCTGAAATGGAATCGGTGAGAAGGAGGAAAGAATTTGCAAACCAACGAAAAACGATGGAGCTTGGTCGGCAAAAGTCCGTGTCACACACCTTATCACCAAGCCGTTGATGACCGTTGGCCGTAGGATTCGGAAAAAGCCCAAGTATCGTGAGATTCTTAAGGGAAGGACATGGCGGAGGAGAGGGGAGGAGAGGAGCGCAATCGTGACAGAGTCAGAGTCAGCCAGAGTCAGAGTGACATGGGAGAGGGGAAGAAAAAACCAGGAGGTACGTACCGAAGAGAGTGGATCGGTACACCGTTCAGCGTCGCAGTCTGTGGGGAAAGAAGGAGTGACATGTGGGCAGAAAAGCGTGATGATGAAGATGAAAAATGCCTGACTCTTGAGGCCTTGAATTGGATGCAAAATTAAATCAGGCCCTGGAAAGTGAATTGGAGGAAGGAGGAGCATCTCGGTGAAAGCGGAAGTGCCCCTGTTTGATTCTGAGGAGGTCCTTCCCTGTCTCTTCTCCGTCATCGTGCGTCCGGGTCGCGCCTGCCTTCTGCCTTCTGCCTTCTGCCTTCTGCCTTCTGCCTTCTGCCTCCTGCCTCCTGCCTCCTGCCTCCTGCCTCCTGCCTTTGTCAGCCTCGGAAGCTTCCACCTTGCACCTTCCATTTCAACCTGTCGCTTGCCCGCTTTTGGCGTCATCGGATTGAATCTCGGGACCAACCAGAGACCAGGATCCATGAATGAGGAGGGTCTCGCGGTACGTACCGAGACGATATTGACGAAGGCAGTAGCTTCAGTGTTTTTGGTGTTCTTGCACACAGACTGGCATCTGGAATTCGTACGTCTCAGGCGCGTTGGCGCAAACATCGCAAACACGCCGTCCATCAATATCATCGTCAACTCCAATTCCAGCATACCAATTCATTAAAGTGACGGCTTGGTGTTTGTGTCTTCGTCCGTGTTGGCGTCGGTTGTCTCTCCTGCACATGGCCCGGGCGTAATTACCGCCAACTCATTTGCCGCGAACAACACGTCCACGGACATTCAGTACCTACCTTAATTCAGGAACGGAGAAAGAGCAGGAAGACATTTTCAGTTCTCAATTCGGACCCGAGAAACACCACAGGCATCGCCGTCCCTCCTGCTTGCATACTCTTGTACCTTACTGAAGTAATACGGCAGAGAGCTTCTTCCGGCTTCCCAGCCACCCACTGCTACCATCTGCCGTCCGCATCGCAGCATCGCAGCATCGCAGCAGCGGCACTATCACCTATCACGTATCGCATCGCAAGCACACATCGTCTCTCTTTCACCTGCCTTTCGAGTCGCACAGAACTGGCGGTCCGCTTGATAGTCACTGGCTTCTTCGTCATTTCCACCTACCAAAGTGCCCCCTCATCGTCATCCGCACCGGCTCACGATACACCCATCGCCTAGGTACCGCACACCGCACTGCTTTTTCGCTGCCGCTGCAAAATTTCTTCTGCCCATCAACAACCACCAACATCGCCATCAACAAGGTCCACAGCCTCAGCGTTGCGCTCGAGTCTCCTCAGCACTACTCACGTAGTACACAACCACACGATCTGCGGTTCGCCCAGCACCGCTTTGAACCGCACCGACCAACCACTGCTGCAAATAGCTTCTACTACGGAGTGCCTTGCCTACGCAATTGCCTTTCGGAGCCTTGCCTACGCAATTGCCTTTCGGAAACGGGCAGCCTCTGAGCCACAGACATACAGCAGTAGTCACCGAGTCACAGACGGGAGGCAAAGCCCCAAAACAACCCACGACACAGGCACGGCGACAGAACGGTTGCGATAACATCATTCTTCTCCATACGGATACCGCTCGAGAGTTGACCTTGACCGGCCGTCGTCAAACCCGTTACGGATTCCCTGCGCTGTCCCTGCCCACTCGGCCACCCCTGTCGCGTCCATCATCACCCTCCACCACCCTGAATCCAAGCATCCAGAGACAAGGCTCTCAAGCCCGCGACACCCTTGGGGATCACCCCCGTCCGACCAGTTACCATACCGCCTATCCTACGACATTGGGGGACGACCACCAATTCGATCGACACCAAACGTCCAACAGCAGTCCTCTCAGCGCTCATCCCAGCCATCGCGCCTGTCCCGAGTACCGCAGATCGCGACCTCCCATCCGCATGTAAACGTCAACGTCGAACCAAACCCACACCGGCCAAGCTGCCCTTTGTCGCCCTTTTTCTTCGTCTGCTCTCCCATTCGCCATTCCCTGTTATACTTCAGTATTCTCTCCAGAAATCTGTACAGAGTACACTCCGTACTACATACACACGACGTCAACGCAGCCGCCCTCGGTTCTCGGTCGCAATCCCGTATTACTTCCACGACATTCCCACTCGGATCACCTATTCTCTGGGGCTCTCTTCTCTTTTCTCTCGCTCCTCAAATTCCGATAGCCCTTCAAACCCCCACTCGTCAAGGGCCACCATTGCCAGCAAGCACGCCAGAAAAACACACAATCCGCGAGGCGAACATCCACGAGGACACAAGGACCAAGGACCCTCACTCGACGAGCAAGGTAGTCAAGGGGAAGGGGGAAAATTCAAAGCGACTCCTCCACAACTCTGCCCAACCCAAAAACCCACCCACACCCACGAGACCGAGTCCCCCATTCATACCCTTTTGCGGCCCACTCGCGCGTTTTTTTCTCGTCTTCCGTCTTCTCGGGCTGTTCCTTTTCATCTGCTCTTCTTCTTCCTTTCCCGCTCTCCGGCTCCTGTCCCTGTCTACGAGACCGGTAGGACCCTACTTGCTTCCGGAATACAACCACCAATACCCCTACATTCCATAATACCTCACGCCCCAATACTACGCAGTACACCACCACCATCACCGCTACCGCTCTTGCAACCACCTGACTCTCTATTCCTTCCGCCATCCTCGACTCCCCCTCTCCGCCACGGTTCTTACACTCAGCGAACCCTGACCTTGTTGCATGGTGGCAAGACCCCGTTTCCCAACTCGGACCTGGTGACGGAGTACTATTCCATTCAACCACATTTACCTTTTGAGCCGCTCGTTCGCCCTCTTCCAACTTATCGTTACCTCACACCTCTCTACAAAACGCTCGCCATCACTACTGCGCCTTTCGCCCACAGCAGACCACATCTACCACTACAGCAACCGCGAGACGGGACACAACATAATGGATAACGAACACCAAGAAATGCACGGCGAGCAATCGCACCTGCCTCCACACATCGAGCGCTCTCAGTCGAGTTCCTCTTCTTCGTCGGTCGATCACGAGCACGATTCCCACATCCACCAGCCGACTCCGATTCGCCCTCGTCTACCCAGTCGAAAGAGCAGCGGTCCGTTGGTTGTGCCGAGAGATAGCTCCGCCGTTGGTCCTATCGACACCGAGTTTGGACCCGATGATGTTAGAGCAATGAGCCCGAGGAGGACGAGCGAGGACATCGAAGCGCTCGGCAGAGAAGCGAGGGAAGAACTGAAGAGGTAAGGACTTCGAGACGCACGAGACCATGCCGAGTATTGCGTACTAACGGGATCGCAGACACGCCAAGGCTCTCCAGGAGTCCCTCATCACTATTTTCAATCGCATTGAGGCGGTCAGGGAAGAACACGACAAGCTCGACAACAACAACAAGTTCCTTCAAAAGTACATCGGCGATTTGATGACGACGAGCAAAATCACAGCGCCTCCAAGCAAGGGCAAGAAATGAATTGGCACGCCGTCAAAGACGCAGAGGAGGGCGATACCTCCAACCCAGTTTGACCCGCGCAGACTCTCCAACCCGACGGAGATCAAAAGCGCGCGACGTATAACCTGACGACGGTCAACTCGAGGTCACCGTCTCAGTAGTGGCTTGCCGATACGGCGCTTCAGCCACCATCAGAACGAAACACAACCCACCACCTGGGCCAGAAACCCGGGGCATTCTCTTCATAAAGCATAATCGGACACCGCTCTCAGGATTGAGGGCATGATACCCCATTGTGGCCGAGTTGGCCTACAGCGTTATATTCATCATCTCGTTACGGCTTCCGGCACGGCTACGGTATTGGAGTGGAAAACAAAACTTGCATCGGTTCGCGACTTGTACATTAACGATCATCATCATCATCCCTGGGGTTTTCAACACCGTCGAATGACACACTGGGCATCGGACAGCATCGGGCGTTACGGTTACTGGGAAGGGTTCTCTGGTTTTGGACTCTTTTTTTTTTCACGTTCGCATTTTTTGTGTATATACATTGCAGACGGGAAAGGCGCCGACCTTCAATTCAACCAAGATTACTGGCAGACACCTCTAGGGTGGTCGAAGTGCACAGCTGTGTGACGAAGCATCCCAGCGTTGTAACCCAACGTCGATCAGGGTGCTCATGTTCCACGCGTTTGCGACTAATGCAGGTTTACTGCGATGACGAATTACATTGCGTTCGAAAGTCCCCGTCAGCGCCGCTCAACCATCTGCTGCCTCGAGCTTAAATATCTGCAACTACGTCATTTGCCACCGACTACCAACCACATTTCAAAGCTTCAACCACCAGCAGACTCATCGACTGACATCGACGGAACAGTGCCCCATGCGGCCCTTCGACGACACGATTTTTGCATGCTCTTACGCATGCACATCATCTTCAGATGACCGAACTCACGCGAATCACCACGAGGAACCATGCGGGCAGGGGGCTAGGGGATTGGAGTGCATCAACGGCACCACGGGAAACGCCAAACCAATTCCCAACGTCAAATGCGAGAGCTTTCGCGCTCCGATTCGAAACTCGGGGCTGGGAAAAATCAAAATTCGGATCCATTGAGAGAACTGGGAAGGGGCGACCGGTGACGACATACTGGGGGGATGATCCGTCAGAAAAGGTGATATTCGGGGGCCGAAGGCGAAAAGGTCCGTCGTTGGTTGGTCGGACTCCTCGTTTGATGGACGTTGGCGGCAGGTAAAAAGCCATACGGATCATCAGCGGGGGAGGGGCTTCGGAGGGAAGGGTATCGACGGGCTTGAGCACCCTTTCGTCTTGTCGGCGCATTGGTGATCTTCTCATTGTCGGATATCAGTGTTGAGGTGCCAAGGTATGTGGTCGTCTACCTTTGGGGGGTGCTGTCACATGATGGTGGCTTCATGTTGGTGGCATGTTGCAGGTACTGGTGGACTTTTTTGTCCCTTTGTCTACTTTCTCATCGGCGATCTTTATCTTTCTTTCAATCCCCGTTTCCGGCCCCGGGTGTGTGAGATGGCGGATTCTGCGCCGGGACAGCATCCCGAGCTTTTCGGCCGGCGTGGAGCATCCGAGTGTGTGTTCGGCCGGGTCTGAGTCGACGCCTTGGGTTGAGCGAGATGCGTACTCGTCAAGAAGTCACTTGATCGTAGCTCCGAGGCTGGGCTCTGACTGTTCCTGAATTTGATCTGGCTGTTGGTGAATCAACCCTACAGGCTCTTTGCAGCTGTTGAGGTTCGTCTTTGGGGAAGTCTCCGGTTCTCATTGAATTTGGTTGTTAGTCTTCGTCGGAATCACGTCCGACAGCCTCCGGCCTCACGCGGCCCGTTCCGCGCCGGTCCTTCGGAAGCGTCTCCCCAGGCCAGATTGCACTCGATGAGTCTTTTTGGGAATAGCTTCAATGTCAATTTCCGCTGCTCAAAAGAGTGCAGCAGCCCTTTCTTTTCTCCTCTGCGTCCTACCCGGCTTCGGGCCCAGCTTTGTTGGGAAGTCTGGGTCATGCTGTATACCAACGCGGACAAGAACGCCGAGAAGTTTCAAATCCCGACTCATTACTTAACAGCCCCGAGAAACAGGACAAGATTCGGCGATTTTCGCCGTCCGCTTTCTTTCCAAGGTTCTTTCTGCACGCTACTCATGACGGGCCGACCTCTGGCACGGTGCCAACTCAGCCGGCCCCGCAGGTGAAGGAATATATCTTCCGCGGCATGACGTACAACATGCTCGCGAATCTTTGATAAAGACATCATTTCATCTCGTGTGTTGCTCGACCTCATTGTCTCTTGGCAATTTCATATCCTACGTAGCAGAGTATTCGAAGAGTTCAAGTGCACTCGGCGAGACCCCCGGACAACCAACCTCACCATCACAATGTCCCATCTACAGTACTACGCCTACGAAGGCGTCGGCCAGACCAACCTCAAAAAGTTCAACTACAACCAAGCCGTCCGCGTAGGCGACAAGATCGAATGCGCAGGCCAAGGTCCGCCCCCTTTCTCATCCACTGCTCACACACACCCCCTCTCTAACCCTTCCATCACTAGGCGGATGGGATCCCCAAACGGGCGAATTCTACCGCGAAATCAACGCCCAGATCGACAGGGCCTTTGAGAACGTGGACCTCAACCTGAAGGACGCGGGGGGCAAGGGGTGGGAGCAGGTGTACCGGGTCAACTCGTACCACGTGCCGATCAACGACGAGGCGCTGGCGGCGATGGTGAGGAATTTCGGGAGGTGGATGCCGAATAACAAGCCGATCTGGACGTGTGTGGGCGTGACGAGGCTGGGGGAGGATGATATGAGGGTTGAGATTGAGGTTGTTGCGCATGATCCGGAGGGGGCTGCGAAGGCGGGATCTAAATGATATCGAGTGTGGTGTTACGAATCCAGTGGGCATTGTACTGTACAAGTCCGCTGCGGAATTTGTCGTGAATGACCCTTTCAGTCTCATCAAACTCAGAAGGGCAAGTTTGAGTTTGAGATCCAGGCTATGAGCCGTTACCCTAGAGGGACTCCCAAGGCGGGATCTGAGTGATATGGAGGAGGATAAATGTGTACTCGTTGGGTATGGAATCAAAAACAATGAGGATGACTCCATCGTATTGCGCAAAGAATTGCATTTGTTATCAAATGGCTGGGATATCAAGAATCTCACGAACACGGTACATCAACTCATCATCAACGTCAGTGACAAACCATATCAGACTCATATTAATGTGTGATCTCATCTACAGACAAGCATCAAACCCTTTAACGCCAGATCGCACCATTTCGCTCCAATGGCGGGATTACATCAACCAATTGGGTATTATATCCGCACTTCATCCAAGTCCAAAACTCCCGACTCTATGCCTTGCCGGCCTGGACGAGGAGGGCGGCGTGCTGCTCGGGGTGGGTCTTCTCGACGTTGCCCTTGGCCATCTTCTTCATGAGCATGTTGGCCTCGATCTCGACCTCCTCGCGGAGGACGAGGTTGGCGCCCTCGTTGACGACGCGCCACTTGCCCTGGATGACGAGGGTGCCGACGGGGGGCTTGGCGTTGACGAGGGTGTCGACGCCGTCCTCGAGGTTGGTGATGGTGAGCTGGTAGGTCGTCTGGCCGATGGGCTTCTTGTCGGTGACGGAGTAGGTGGCGGACTGACCCGCGCCGACGGAGCCGGACTCGAGATTGTACGAGATCAGGGCCGGGCAGAGCGTCTTCACCATCAGGTCGTGGTTGTGCATCGCGGCCAGGACCTGGTTGCGGTCGACGCCGGCGGGAACCGGGGTGGAGACGACGGTGGCGGGCATATTGGCGGTGGTGGCGGTGGTGGTGATGTTTGTTGGAGTTAGGTTGGTTGGTGTTGAGTTGTTGTGGTTGAGGATGAGGTTGGTGATGCGGGATGAGCAAAGACCAACCAGGAGGTTCTTATAGAAGACCGTCTTCAGTTTCGCTCAGGCGTGTGTCTTCAATGTTCTATTTCGGACGATTCCCCCTTTTTTCCCCCTGATCCCACTCGACAATGCCATACAAAACGAACGACCCGACCGTTTGCGCCGCTGACGGTCTGGGAAAAAGGTCCGCGGCTTTGCGGTGGGGGTTCAAAGTCCCAGTTGCAGGAGACGCAGGCAGGGAGGCTAAAGTGGCATCGGGCCGGCCGTGCCCCGGCCGTGCTCCCGCCGAGCCGGACGTCGAGAGCGTGGAGCTAACACAACGGACGGGGGCTAGCGGGCTTGGCCTTGTGGTTGTGTGAATGTCGAGCAAAGGGAGGGAGGCGTGAGCCGCAAGGGGCGGGGCTTACTTGGAGAAGTCCGCTGGCGAAAGGTCTCGGCGAAGGATTTTTGATGTTCGAAGGTGGTTAACGTCCATGATTTCGTAATCTGGAAAAGCAAGACAGACGTCTTTGTTACTAGATGGGAAAAGGAACATGAACAAGTTGGATGTGTTTCGACGTCGGGAACATGACTGGTATTCGTGACTCGGCCATATGCATGTTAAAAGACCGACGACGGCTACGCCCCAAGTCTGACCGACTGACCAACCACAGGCCCGACTGCGAGAGTGTCACAGTAGACGCTATCCGTCCTAGAAATGCAGCTTTGTCGCATTACTGCCCGGTACGCGTGTCTGGCTCAACGCATATCCACGCGGCCCTGGGGCATTTGAGACCGCACCGAACGAGCCTTGGCACCTGCGGAAGCTTTGAACGCTCCGCAGCTCTTTGAACCCCTAATTTCATCTCAATTGTCATTGGGCCTCGTTGGAGCGAAAGTGTAGATCTGTGCTAGCTACGTGGCTAATAGGTAGCTAGCCACAGGAGCTAGCTTAGCCAGATCCCCATTTCGGCGTGACCTCCAGTTGAGGCTCCAAATTTCTCGTGTTGATACTCTACTCAGATCTAAGAACTCGGAAAGGATGAAGTTCCCCGCACAATGTCTCAGATGAGGCGCAGGTCGGTTATCACGATCACCGCGGGCCGAGATTGCTGGCAGCCACGATAAAGCCAGAATTCTGAAAGCACCATGGTAGATGGAGGTCCGGATATGTGAGTCCACTCACGAAGCAGCAGCAGCAGCAGCCTCATCCTTCTCAAACACGCAGGTATGAACGAGTCTGAGTGCTTTGTATACACACCTACGGCCAGTGATCGACGGTGAACCTGCACCGGAGTTAGCGTTGGGGTGGTGTCGTCGGTGCGTTTGCTTTTCGACGCCAGCGCTAAAACGTGAGGACCCGCTGTCCGTCCGTGTCTCTCGGTCCATGGTGTAGGTAGCGAGGGGAGCCCCGTACGGCTTGTCAATCTCGGGGCTTCGCTGTTGTGATATCACCGCGCGAGGGACTGAGCTGAGGAGGAGATGTGGCTTTGAGTTGAGGGTCTTGGTTGAAGGAGCAGTATGGTCGAAGGGAAGGATCGTAGGTATGATCCTCCAGAGTCAAAAGCGCCGGGTCTTCTGGCTTTAGAGTCAGATCACGCCGTTCGGATTCGAGCTCAACCTGCCATCTTCTAAGCCGAAGAAAAGCTTCAAACTTAGGAGACCAACCTGTTATCGATGGCTGTCGTCATTGTGAGAAGAGCCAGGGACGTCGGTGAAGATGGGATGAACTGTCTCGGCGCTAATCCGCACGGCCTCTGCCTCAAACCTGACTGCTATTTTGGGTGCAGGTTCTCAATTCAAGCCATGGTTTGGAACAGGTCCAAGAGCAGGAATGAGGCAAGCCTCAATGTGCTCAAGCCGTGAGAGAGAACAAATAAGTATGAAGAGCAATCCTGTTTGAGAATGGCGGTGATAAGTGCCACTTCCGATGAATGAGCTGAGAGGCTTACCACCGTAGACACATTCAGGACAACAAACCTCATGTTTATGTGATGCTGTGCTCTTATCTTACAATGAATCTTATATCATATCTATTTTCAGTTGATACAAGAGCAACTGAACTCACAACTCATTGCAGTTTGACCTTCTTATGATAACGCGAGTGTCATTCTACCAACTTCAAGTGCTTATTCCCGGATGTTAGTGTAATTCACCACCAACCAATCATCGTCGTGCACCAATGACGCAGAGGGCAAGCGGCGGAATATGAATTCCTCTCCCCCGCCCAATCGTAAACTTCGGTTTAGTGCCATGTGATTGGCCCCTCACTCGTCTACTGTCAGACAGCATCACTCACTGCTCTTGGATGCTCATACCGCCGTGCTTGCAACTTCCCTTACTGAAATCTGGAATCTAAATTCCGCTCCATACTCCCGGAATCCAGCTCGCAACAGATCGTACGGATACTCCCATCCCGCGCGTGTGATTAGACCCTGGCCCCCAATCGATTGAATTCCGGAGAGAGCACGTCTTGGCCGCTATGCCCCAACCGTCAACGGAGCGGGCCGCCGCAAGCCAACCGAAGCGCAGGTACACCTCCAAAGCCTGCGAGGAGTGCAGACGCCGAAGGGCCAAGGTGAGTGGATTCTGCTCCCTCCTATTATTTCCCTTTCTGGAGAGTCTGGGGAAGAGAGACCCCGTGGGTTGACATAATCACGTTCTTGATAGTGCGACGGCCACCGTCCGGTGTGTTCCAGGTGTTCGGAGCGTTCCATCAAGTGCCAGTACCGGAGTGAAGAGGACGGACGCAAGCCCGCCTCAAAGTCGTACGTCCAGCTCTTGAGGAACAGGATCGACCTCCTCGAGGCCGTGTTGCAGTCTCATTCCATTGACATCGAGGCATCCGTCGCTCAACTGTCGGCGGCGGGGACGACCCCACCGCAGCTTAATCCCGTCCCCGGCACGTCGGCCTCGGGGAGTGAACCGGCGCTGGCTGGGCTGAGTCCCTCCGAGTTCGATGATCTTTGCGCGACGTTCGAGGGTGCCCTCTCACTGGACGAGTCCGTCAATTATGATCAGGATGGTGAGATGCGATATTTCGGCCCCTCCAGCGGTCGCTTGGAATTCCAGACCGGTGAGTAACCACTCCATACTTCGTAAGCTTGAGCTGCCTGTTTCGTGTGGCTGAATGCTGTGTAGAAAGCACACCAGAGGCAGACGACCAAGGAAGCAGCCCAGCCACAACAAAGTCTGTCGACTCAAATCGGTATATCCTACCCATAGAAAAGGAAAAGTACCCAGAAGATCTCCAAAACGAGCTGATCGACCTCTTCTTTGAGTACCAGAACCCGTGGTGCCAGACCGTCGACGAAAGGCTCTTCAGACAAAGCATGAAGACCCAAGGGCGTTACTACAGTCCTCTGCTTCTCAACTGCATGATGGCTCTCGGGTCCCGGTATACGGACAGAATCGACGTGCGTTCCGTCCCGGAGGACCAGAACACCGCAGGGAAACCGTTCTTGCAGAAAGCCGAAGTCCTCTTGCACTACGACATGAAGCGGCCCACGATCACCACGATCCAGTCCATGTCCATTCTGGTCGGGGTCTATGTTGTGAGTAAGGCTGCTGCAGAACTTGATGAGACGCTAACGTCACCCAGTCGTATGGTTGTGATGCTGCAGGGTGGCTACACCAAGGGATGGCAAACCGATTGGCGCTTGACATGGGTCTCAATCTCGACGCCGCATCTCTGGCGGGATCGAATCTCATCCCAACAGAAGAGATCGAGCTGCGGCGGCAGATCTACTGGGCACTGTATTGCGACGACAAACTTGCAGCCATCTACACGGGGCGTGTCTGCAACTTTCTAGTGAGTCGACCATGGTCCATACCTCAAACGAAGCAGGAACTCACATACTTCCAGGACGTCCAAGGAGCCGTCAACCTCCCTTCGGTACCAGAAAACATGACCGAAGAGACGACAGAAATAGGTGGGATGGCACGCTGCAACCAAAAGATCCTCGTCCACCGAGCCCTCATCGGACTCTGCAGAATCCTAGAGAACATCCTCCTCGCCCTGTGAGTCCTGCACATCTCCCCGTTGAAAACACCCAAGCTGACCACACTCCAGATATGCACCAAAGCCTTTATACAAAGGCCCCCAGAGGATATCTTTCCTCCATTCCTGCACCCTAGAGCTCAAGACGTGGTTCTACGAGCTCCCGGCCGAGCTCCGCATCGACCGCCCCAACGACCTCCCCCAAGTCTACACCCTCAACATGGTCTACCACACCTGCTGCATCCTCCTCTTCAAGCCCTTCCTCCTCCGCCCCTCCAAACAGCCCCCGGCGACCCTCAAATCCGACGCCGTCCGCCGCGCCGAGGTCCTCTGCGTCGAGTCCGCCAAGCGCATCTGCCTCGCCTGCAAGAAGTACCGCCAGGTCTTCGGCGGCTTCCGCCGGAGCCCCATCTCCGCCACCCACTGCATCCTCACCGCCTCCCTCGTCCTGATCCAGTACGCCCTCCCGGACCCGGACATGGCCGGCAGCGGGCGGCCCTGCTGCACGCCCTACATCGAGCTCTGCCTCGAGGTCCTCGCCGAGCTGTCGACCTCGTGGAATCCGGCCGGACGCATGCGCGCGGACCTCATCAGGCTGCTGTACCAAAAGTACCCGGAGCGGATCCCGCACTCGTTGCTGCAGCAGTGCAGCGCCGACAAGGGCTCATCCGCGGCCGCCGGCGGCGGCGGCGGTGTTGGTGGCACGTCGAAGGAGAAGCCGTCGGCGGCGCGGACGCACCCGACGCAGACGCACCCGACATTGGAGCAGAACCTGTGTCCGTTGATGAACATGCTCGACCAGGATTTCACCTGGGACGCGTCGATACCGGCGGCGGCGGCGCAGCCCGGGCTGTTCGTGGACGCGTCGGAACCCGTGTATAATACCCAGTTCGCCCTGGCCGATTCGATCATGGATTTCGGCGCGGAGGAGAACGGGCAGGATCTGATGGACGATGCGTTCTGGGCCGGGGTGAACTTTGATTTTGGGTTTGAAGCACAGTCGTAGGGGCACCGGGTATATGTTACAGAAGGCTTTGGTAGATCGCAAGAGTCTAGAAATGATGATATGATACTTAATGTTAGTGCAAACAGTCTCAAGAGCTTCGAGTAACCGCCTCGAATCGAAGACTGCTGTCCACAATGCCTCTAGAAGCCATTGAAACAAACGTGAGAGACCAAAAGCTGGGACGAATCGTCTCGTGACGACAGTCTGCCTTTCCTTCCACCGGCTCCTATTGAAAGACAGCAAGTACGGCAAATACCACGCATTCCAACACTCCTCTTGATCCTCGCCGAGACTACCCGCATCGCAAGCTTTCGCAAACGCACAGCCGGCTTCTTCCATCAGCTTCACGATGTCTTCAAACGCAACGACGAATATCAGACCAGCAGAGACTACCTCTCAAGACCTAACATCAATGGACTCACAGCTTCTCGATTGTTAATTAGCACCAACGCATTGAGCTCACGCGGCAAAGTTTACATGTACAAGTTTTCCACCGCCTTGAACCGACCACATAGCCAGGCACCCGGGCTTTAAGCAACCGGACACATCAGAGAACGTGTTCGTCAAGCGTAATGCAATAGCTCAATGCATTAAACCGATCGGAAAAAGCCGAATCCAAAGTTCCCCAAACATCTACATCACATCATCACCAGATACGTTCACCAAATCCGTGCTCTCATCCTCCCGCCATCCTCACAACATCCCCTTCCATCTCCCTCAGTTCCGCAACATCACAAACACACCACGAAAACGCCATCATGAAACATAAAACACTATACCTCCATCAAAACCACCGGATCGCTCGCACCCAAACCCAACCCGCCCAAACAACATACATCCTCACAACCTAACAACCCAGACACATACCCCCAAAATATCTTCCCAAAAACACAAAGTCCCAACCTTGGAACACACACGAAGCTCCAGAGCCACGTCACATCCACATCAAACACCGCCTCAAACCTTCCCTTCCCCTTCCCTCTCCCCAGTCCGACACCAGCCGCATTCCGTCTTCCTTCTTCCGCCATCCGTACCGCTGCCTCAAAAAAGAGGCTTTTCCCCGCCCTCCGATCCGCCGTGCTCGACCGAGTTCCCCTCATCTCAGACAGCGCCCGAATAAGAAACGAAGAAGCACAGGGTTCCGGTGCCCAAAAGTACACGTCAAAGTTGCGCATGGACAAGCGCTGCGCTTGGGGATAAGGTCGCTTGGTGATCTGAGGGTTGAAGTCTGTCCTCGACCCCGCGTCGAACCGAGTGAAGAACGTCCCAGCTGTTTTCCGCCGCTAGCCACCAGAACACATAGTTACCAAAATCACAATTTGAGAGTATCGCTATGAGGTAGCTGGCAGCACCTCATCCGTCTTGGGCAGTCGATATTTAACGAGAGTGGTCGTGGGTATTTGATTACTTCTAAGCATTCAACTCCGTTAACTGCTTAACCTTCCCTGGCTTTACTTAATAGTAAACATTAGGCAAGGTTCATGCGCATGCGCCTGACTTGCAAGAGATAGCCCTCCCTTTCCTCCCGGAACAGAAAAGCATGAACAAGCTCCCCCGGCCCCCGAGACCTCCTCCTCCTCAAACTTTTCCAAGCACGAAGCAAGTAATTCGAAGAACCCAACCCGGTGAATGCGTGGGAGGTCTAGTAACCTCTCGCGTTACTAGAGAATCCGCTCCGCCAATCACCTTCATGCGTGGCGCACCGTGAATATCGTCGTAGGAGCCTAATAGCCCGTTCAGACACCGTTCGAAGGCCCGGCGCCGCCGCTGGCTCCGAGGTGTCCGTGGTCACCTCCGTGCTGGCCGGGGTGGATCTTCGTGGCGCCTGGCGCGCGAATGTGAAGACCCAACGCGGCGGGGTCGATGTTGCGGTGTCCCCAGAGCAACAGGAATCCGAAACCAGGCTTCGCGAGAACGTCAAGAATACCGTACATGACGGCCTCGGAGTCGGGGTGGATCAAGTTGCCACCCTCGGCCACACCCCAAGCAATGGGGTACAGGAACCAAAGAACGATTGTCATAACACCACAGTTGGTGTAAGTGCTGTTGATAGAACCACCGAGGGCCTGGGCATGCTTGCGGCCCTCGAAAACGAGCGAGTAGACGACGTAGAAGAAGGCAAACATGCCGAAGACCCAGTATCCCCACTTGTAGCTGGACGGAGTGAGAGCGCCAACGAGACCAGTGACGATCATGATTTCATCTGCAAGCAGGGCCATCAGAATGCTGGGCCACGGCAGACCGGCCGTCAACAGCAGGTCGAGAAGCAGCAGCGGGGTGGTGATGGCCCAATCGATGTAACGAACGTAGAAGATCTCCCGAGTTCCCGCGGGGGCCACTTGGTCGTTGTCCGGTCGGGGGAACTCGACCTGGACGGGGGTCTGGCCGAGGCCGGCTCCCATGGAGAAGTAGGATATGCAGGCGACGAAGGTGATGGCGGCCGTGATGTAGTGGAACAGGCGATGGGTCTCGCGTTTGGCGAAGGACATTCCCATGAAGGCGACCGTCGCAATGGCCATAATGGCGCAGACGGCGAAATACCAGTCCGAGGCGCGGGCCGAGATTGCTAGGTCGGCCTGGGGGCCGACGCGAGCGTTGGTGATGAGGGCGTCGTTTGCCATTCTGGTGTCTGGCTGCGCCCTGTTGATAAAGATCTGTTGGTACTCAATTTTGACTGATTTAACGGGTGTTAGCTGGAAAGTTGTTCTGCCTTGTGTATGCCTCAGACGAGCTGGGGAGTGGCAAGAGTTGGAGGGTTGAGGGAAGACAATATATCCTCATCCGTACTCGCAACAACATCTGATTTACGTTTGAGGCTAGTGAGGGGAGATGCCCAACCCCCCTGCCGACAATCCCGCATCTAGCCAGCATGAATGACTACACTTTGCAGTGCAACAGGTAGCATCGCGGTGACCTTGGGCTCCGGATGACGATTAGACTCGACGGCGCCCTTTGCTTCCAGTGGCTCTCAGACGTTGGGCGCGAACAGACAGGAACTTGAAGGAGGGCACCATCAGCTGGCAGGCAGTACTCTCCGCCCGTGGAAACGCATCTCCAACATAGACAAGACGCGGGGTTAGACACCACAAGGTACTTGGCGGGCGCTACGGCAATCGACGTGAAAGCTTGCTCTGGCTGTCTTTCTCCTTTTCCCCTGTCTTGCGAATGATATTGCGACGCGAAGGCATAATCATATGTTCAAGCAAAGGCAGAACAGGGCTAGTTTGAGTTAGGAGCCGTAGTTCCGTGACGGATCGGTCTATGACGATTAGCCATGGAAACCCTCAATCATTGACAAGGAGGAAACAGGATAACAAACCAGTCGTCGACAAATTACCGCCAGTTGACGAATAATTACCAGTATGAAATCTAACCGAACACGGTCGCTGTAATGTGATCAGAATGACTCTGCAGCGCACCGCAAATGAGGATTTCGTGTCGATGAAGTCATCACTTTGCCCCGGCTCTGCACCGGAAGCTGCCGAGCGGCATTCCCGGGCCCCACAACGCCCGGAGCTAGCGCCGGCAAAGGCATTTGTCAAGTTGTCACTGGGCGACTTCTGCACCATATGCACGCGAGAACGAACGCCGGACCCCTCTCGCGCTCGAAACAACGCTTTCAACGGCGATTCGTCTCCCCATCAGAAGCGACAAAGAAGCTTTTAGCTCCTCTCTGCCCACGGATTGGTCGATCGCCAAGGCTTCGTCCCGATCTGGCCTCACACCCACGATGCTCTCGACCGCATTGTATCAGAAACGAGGTCTGATGACCTTGTAGTTCGGGCTAGCCCAAAAACCTTCCCCAGGCGTTTGATGCCCAGAAAAGTTTCTCCCGTAACCCTGACCAAGCATGTTGCGAGTTCAAGATTGGTAGTTCTCCTTGGCCATCGACTTCTCGATGCGCCATGGCGAATCATCAGAAAGCCTCAAAGCGGGGACCGGTTTCTTTGAGTTATCCCCGCTTTGTCTAAGCCAAATCTGAGTTGGCAAGCAAGGCAAGGCAAGGCGCCAGCTACTTGACAGGAGCTTTGGGCAGAAAGGTCTGAGCCACCTCCGAACCCCCGAGCTTTTCGTCCCATGTCGTCATACAGCTCCAGGCGGTTGATAGTAAGTAGCTGGGTCGGCAGGTCTGGTATTAGTCGCGAGGTGAGGCCCAGACGTCTGTATGATGATGAAACCATCCCGCCCAGCCTCGAATGGGGACAATACGACCCACCATGAGTATGCGCTTTTGTGCTGTGTCGCCTCCGAGCTGAGCTGGCATCTGTCGAGAGTGCCATCCAGAGCTTTCATCCCGTTCAGATCAGCCGTGGCTTGGATGCACTCATGGTCGCCGTGCTGTCGAAAGCCTTGTGAGACATCCACTGAGTTCACAGACACTGCCTGAGATATGTCCAAGATGGACGAAGCCGCCAATTTGGAAGACGATGTTCATCATCCGTAAGTCGTGTTGGCTTTACCTCCTGGCTGAACGAAGGCACTTGCTCACAACCGAATCAGATATCTCTCTGGCAACTTTGCGCCTATTCAGTCGTGTCTGCCCTTGACACCGTGTCGATATGAAGGCATCATACCGCCAGACCTCGCTGGAGGTCAGTATGTCCGCAATGGAGGCAACCCTGTTACCAATGACGACCCAGGGCGAGCCGCGCATTGGTTTGACGGCGATGGCATGCTGAGCGGTGTTCTCTTTCGCCGCGTGGGCGAGAAATTGAACCAAGTTCAACCCGAGTTCGTGAACCAGTATCTGCTGACGGACGTCTTTTGCTACGCCAAAGAGCATAAAACGCTACGAAGACCGGTCTTGCCGAGCATCGCGACACTCGTTGACCCGGCTGTCAGCATGTTTCGCATCATTTTCGAAATCTGGCGCACCATTTTCCTCGTCTTGCTCTCGCGACTTCCTGGCTCAGGACGTTCAATCAAGAAGATCAGTGTTGCGAACACCAGTGTATTGTTCCACAACGGCCGCGCGCTGGCGACGTGCGAGAGTGGGCCACCCTTGAGGTTCGCTCTGCCCAGCCTTGAGACTATCGGCTGGTTTAACGGACGGTCTGCTGAGAATGAGCCCAAAGCGAGCACCCAGAGCGGGTTTGGCGGGAATGGCATCACGTCCTTCATGAGGGAGTGGACGACGGCGCACCCCCGTGTTGATCCGGTTACCAAGGAACTCATCACATTCCATTCGACCTTCATCAGACCGTTCGTACGATACTCCGTCGTACCGCCAACGTCTCCGAAGTTGGCCTCTGGTTTGGCCATGTTCGACGTGCCGGTCCCAGGGGTAGAGTCGCCAAAGATGATGCACGACTTCGGCGTATCGCGGCTACACACTGTTATAATGGATCTTCCACTCTCTCTCGACCCGATGAACCTGATTCGCGGCGTTGCCAGCTTGTCGTACGATTCTGCTGGGAAGTCTCGGTTTGGAATCTTTCCACGGCATCAGCCTGATGCAATCCAGTGGTTTGAGACAAATCCGTGTACTGTCTTCCACACCGCCAATTGCTGGGACACGAAATCGTCACCTGCCGAACTCAATGGCTCGCGTGTATCGGTGAACCTACTCGCTTGCCGGCTGACCTCTGCTTCACTGGTCTTCAGCGCTGGTAATCTACCGACGCCAGAGGTGAAACCGGTTCCGCCGGAGTACGCCGAAGAGGAGCAGTGTCGTCTCTACTACTACCAGTTCCCTCTGTCCGATGTCGCCGGTCTCCAATTCAACATCCGGCACCAGTGGGCCCTTTCGGCCATCTCCCTCGAGTTTCCCTCCGTAGCACCGGCATACTCTATGCAGGAGGCTCGGTATGTGTACGGTTGCTCAACAGGCGAGGCCTCCTACACTGTTGCCCTTGGCAAAGCAGCTAAAATCGACCACTTGGCCAAGGTCGACGTACGAACTTTGATAGACCGTGGGATCTCCAACCCACCACAACCAATCAAAGGTTGCGTTGATACACGCAGCGTGGCTCAAGTGCTAGAGAGCCAAGATCCAGAGGATCCAATCAAGCTCTTCAAGATGCCCGAGGGGTGGTACGCCCAGGAGCCAAGATTCGTGCCTCGAGCAACACCTGACAGCGAGGATGACGGATGGTTATTGACCTATGTGTTCGACGAATCACAGCTCGATAGTGCAGGGTTCTGTCGTTCTGATGCTGTGAGCGAGCTTTGGATTATTGACGCCAAGAGCATGAAGGAAGTTGTGGCAAAGGTCAAGCTGCCGCAGCGTGTGCCGTACGGCCTTCACGGTACCTGGTTTAGTGAAGGCGACATTGAGACCCAAGTACCCTTCGAAAGGACCAGGAAGATGTCTTCGGAGGAGGAAAAGGAGGACGACATCCGAGAGGATGATGACAGAGAAGATGAGTTGGTGAGTCTGCTGGCGTTGGACTTTTTGATACCATAGTGTTTTCGAATTAAACGGGCATTGGCATATAATGGCTTCCGGCCGTGATGTCTTGTACAAGCCACTGCATATCTTGCCCAGTACGGTGTCATGATGTGGCGGTTCACGATTCACGGGTGACAGTTCTCGTCGTAGTATGTCGACAACTTGACTCCAGCCTGGTGGCCCTTTAGTTCTAAAGGTAAGTTTCACGGCAGGAAATCCGCCAGCTGCCAGAATCGGCAGAGACGAAGATCGAAGACTTTGTAAAGTACTTTGCCAACAATTTGATGGGTCCTTTGCTCAGGGGGAGGTTCGAGCCGGCTGGTCTGCAGCTCGCCCCTCTGAAGGCCAAGTCTTCGACAAAACAACCCTCCATGCGATGATGCCCGACGCAGTCTGGAGAGATGAGTTTGCGCCGAAGGCCGAGAAGAATAATATCGGTGCTCCGAGCTGTTGTGAAGCAATTTCCTGGCTAGCTGACCATTGTTCTAGAGACCAAGAACGCTGGTACACGAGGGTACGGTCGTAACGGCCGAAGTACTACCTACATGGGTATCGGAGCGTAAATCTAAACAGCGCGCAGCCTGTTATGGTGGAAATAGAGGTTTTGAATGGCCGTTCATGAAGGAATGGGACCTTTATGTCTTGGCCGCCGGGATGCTGGTATGAGCCGAGAATGTCGCGGCCGGCCGCGATGTTGCCAGTGAGAAACTGACAATCGTGCATGGTCTGGTTGAATGGCTACAGCGCAGCAAGCAGTGGGCTCGTATTCATTTGGTGAATGACTATCGCATCTGTGTTAGCTGCGTTCTGCTGATGCGCATATCAATCTGATAACGAACCTACCTCGGCTCGAGCAGTCGACAGCTTAATTTTGCTGACTGGTGATTTCGGACGAGAAAATGGCCCGGGTTACCAAACTCAATTGGTGAACCGGCCCTGTTGCTCGTGGTGACGGTTCCAACGTGTTGTCTGCGTGCCGTCAGACTCGACAGTACGACGGCAGCATTTCTGCCAACTTCTCCGACAAAACGGACGTTTTCCGTTACGGCGCAGACAGAGGCCACTCGCCTTACCCATCGGCTCAACCTCCCGCAGTCGCTAAATGGTGTGTGTCCACAGCGGCCCCAAGGGCTAAATTGGGCGACGTTCTCGGAACGAGTGTCCTGAAACCTGCGCCGGCAGAGGAGGGGTGGTTCATTCTAGAGGCTGGAACCATGCTTTAGTTCTCGTTGTGCAGCGTGCTCCTCTTCTCAGCAGCGGCGCTTATGCTCATGCTCATGCTCGTGCCAGGCTTGCCCACCCAGGCCGGCGCTCCATGTTTCTGCCCCGAAGGCCCGGAACCTGCCCCATCCCACCTTTTGGCCGCAAAGCCCCCTCAATCAGACGTTGAGGCTCCCGGCCAACATCGCCAATCTCAACGACATTCGATGTTGACACCAAATATCAGTGTTCGTTACGACATGTTCCGATAGCATCTGTTGGTGTCGCGGCCATTTGGTTATGCCCAGACAAGTTCGTGAGCGCCGAGAAACAACCCCGCAGGGCAGTGCTGGATGGCAGCGACTATTCGAAGGGATGGTGAGTTTTCGGCGTCCAGAATTCATCTTTTGACCTCCGAGACCGTGATGTGCGTGGAGACTCCCGTTGCCCCTGTAGCGTTCCGATGAGCGTGGTTGAGCGGGAGGTGTCGGGTGGGCTCTGCTCCCCGCGTTTTTCATCAACGAGATCCATTTCCCCTCTTCTTCCCCAGAATGTAACGAGACCCATGGTTCGCGACGATGGGTTATTTTGGCGAGTTCTTTTTTGTTTCTTTGACGACTCGAAATATCTGCATGCCCCTACTTTGGCGAGGGGTTAGCCAAGAGTTGGCGGAATGGGGGACCCCCACACTTGTCATCTGGCGGCAGACAGATCTAAGCTCCGGGATGGGGCCGCCGGATTGGCGCAAAACCTTGGGGTGATTAAGCTTAGCAAATGCCAAACGGGGCTGCTGCACGTGCGGATTGGGTGTTGAGAGTACGGATACGTGGCAGTTTTTGCCGTGTGTTTGCCATTGGCATCCTGTACCATGTCGATTCCCCATGAAGCTTGACCGTGGACGACTTGAGGGGGACTGTTGAGTGGTCGTAGGAGAGTCCATGTCGACGCTGCTTGGGACATTCCCAGACATGCAAAGTCAACATCATCGTGACCGGCGAATCGAGGATTTCCAAGGTTGATTCCTCAGGCCACCTGTGTGTCCTAGTAGTTTCAGCAGGTGGTAGGTGACCAAGTACCGGCGGTAAAGCAGCAAACGGAAAAGCAAAGATGGCAACGATGCTCGGCGAAGCCCACACACCGGTATCTTGGCCCAACAATGCATGACGATTCGACGAGAAGCGTTATCAGAGAGAAGGTCATGTGCCATGATGCGGGACTGACACGATGGGTACGCGACTTTTTCCGTTTGATATCTCCTTAGGTCTTGGCCAAGGTATTGCCATTTAGCAAGTCCGGCTTGCGGGGAGCATGCAGTTGTTGTGGAACATGGCCGCGACAGATATGCAGCAGGCCAGGAACCAGCCCATAGCAACGAGCATTAGAATGGAGAAAGCGTAAAGCCAAGATGATGATCTGAAAGGAAAGACAAGTTAGCAATCAATCACATTACGTCGGTATATACCTAAGGAGCTGAGGTATATAAGCAAAGCGTATTTATATGCTATATAACTAATATTCCAACCTAATTTAGTAATAAGATTAATATTATTCTTAATACTATATATAAAAATAGAATTACTCTATTTAACTTATAAAGTAAATCTAAAGTAATATAAACTTTAAGTATAGAGTTTACTTAAAAAGTAATTATAAATAGCTTTAATTATTAAGGTCTTTATATTTTATTTAATAGAATTACTAAGTAATAGAGATAAATTAAACCCTTTTTTTTTTATTTCTCTTCCTCTTTAATTTTTATTTTAAAATAATACTTATTATTATTATAATAAAAGTAATTTATATTCTCTATAAGAACTTTAAGAATAGTTATAACCCCTTAATAATAGCTAAATAATATATATATTAATTTAAGCTCTTCTTTAAGAATAAGGGTATTAAGATCTAGAAATCTTATTATTTTAAGGGTAAATTAATATAACTTTTCCTTTATAATATATAGCTCTAAAAGATTATTATTACTATTTATTATATTACTAATTAGTTAATTTATAATATCCTATTAGCTATATATTATTACTTTTAAGTTAATAATTAATAATATAACTACTACTTTATTAGCTATATCTATATATAAATCTATATTAAGTATAAAAATACTATCCTTAACGTCCTATTATTTATTAACTCTTTAAGAAAAAATTAATAAAAAGAGGGGAAAAAATACTAAAGATTATAATAGAATATAGGGGGGATATAGCTATATTATAATAATAAAGGAGTAAATAAATAAGTAGAAGTTTAATACTAATTTATAGTTAATATAAGAGTTAAATAACTATTAGGCTTTTTTATAAGAGCTACCTTAGGCTTTTTTATAGGAGCTACCCTAGGCGTTTAAGGGGAGCTAGCCTATGCCTGAGGAGCTTGTGCTTATAATGTATCGACCATCGAGAGATGCGCGCCGTGCTCACCTACCGTTTTTGGCTGGCAAGCCAGGTGGACGCGGAATTGCGTGATTGGCCGCCGACAGCCAGGGTGAAGCCAATAATCCTTCCACATGATGGTGATGTGGGTGTTGATGAGCAGGGCGTCTCCCTCCACCTGGTGCTTAACGTTTTCCATTTCGTTTTGGGAGAAGCTGCGTCGGCTTTCGTTGCTGATTCCCGCTGAGAAACACTCGAGCTTGTGAGCGTGCTGCTGACCGTGGCGACGGCGACATGTCGCTATGGCGGTGCAGTGAACCGAAAACAGGCGAGGCCGTCGTCAAACAATACCTACGTCGTCAGAGAGGCGGGATAGAAATCAGGGCATCGAATTTCTTGGTATGATGTAGCTGCATGTTGCGTGCCGTCCATCAGAGGAGGTGACGCTAAAGTTGAGAGGGGAGAGGCGCTTGGCGAAGGAGGACTGGCCGACTGGGTTGTTCGGTGCGAAATGAATTGGTCGTTGCAGGGGCCACATCCAAGGCCGACTGACATTGGATATCTGAACTGTGGTCATCTGATGGTAAGGTACCATGAGACGGGATTTGTGTGCAACAGTACTCGTATTGAATAAAGGAAAGAATATCCGCAGATAAGCGTTTAGGTAGAAGTACCTTAAAGGTAAACTCATGCTTCATTCAGAAAGCAGGCACGTTAACCTCTAACCGTCGCAAAAGCAGGCGCATCCCTCGTTGCTTCCTTCCTTTTTTCTGGAATGGAAGCGGTTATGTGGGACCACTCGCGCTAGTGCCTTTTGCCAAGAGCCGCGTGCCAATGATCCAATCAGATAAGCCGACAGACTGCCGCAATCTGGCCAATGATCATCAGGGCAGCCTGAGGCAGGTGAAGAAGATTGCAGTGAAGTTTGGAGTGCCCGGTAAATGAAGTCTGCATCATTGTAGTAAACAGGTATTCACTGCGCAAAAAGGTGTTGTAACCTAGAAGATTTCCGTATTCCCTGCCTAGGTAGAGTGTTCGTTCGGTCTGCACCTCAGTTGACAGCTGTGTTTGGACGACGCCCTACGCACAGCCACTCTTGTCGCCGCTATCAGCTGGCCAATCTGGCGCGCGCCCCCGGCTCATACGTCGCCCATGATTGGCCGGTCCGTTCAGTTGCTCCCTGATGACGACGACCAGCCCGCTCTCGGCGGACATCGGTGGTCCTTGGCGGCGCCGCGCATGCCCCACACCCGGCCATTTCGCCAAGTCAAAAAGATGCAGGCCTCCGGGGCGGGACATGTCAGATGCAGTATTCGTACCCGTACAGAAGGACATGAGTTGCCTTTGGCCACTGGCTCGCTGCTTGCAGTGGCTGTAACGGCGACTAGTCACACTGTTTCTCGCCATTCTTACGGCGCAGCAGGGGCTGGACTGCGCTGTTTCCACTGTATCCTGTCCACGAGACCGCTGGAGAAAGCAGCAAAGCAAGGCGTTGAATGGTAAGATGGCGACTAGAGTGCGTATTAAGTCTTGGCAACTTCTCACTCTTTTCCTCATTGCGCAACGGTTGATTGTTAGTGCCTGTCACCGTTTCCCCAGCTTGTGCCTTAGCCTGTGGCACCTTGCGAAACCACCGCCACCAGGAAGGAGGGACTGGAAGGCAATGGAGGCAATTGCACCTGCCGTTGTTGCTTCAATAAGCAGTCTGGCTTGGAAGGAAGGAACGCATCTCTCCGTCAGAAGAGGAAGGCACATCAGGCCGGCTCCTTCTGTTTGTTCACTCGTGGGTTCTTGCCGCTTCTCTCGACAACCACGGCACGTAAGGCATCTTTTACCTCAAGGTAGGTACTCTGTATCAGGCCATCATTTGACTTTCTCGTCTCGCCTTTCCCTGCTTGCCTTCTCATTGCCCGCATCATTTGCTCGCACCTTTTCCATCTCACAATTCTGGTTGCAACAACCCCGGTATCCCCTGCCAATCGCCAAGCTACCCACCACAAGTTCGTTCGTCGTTCGTCGGGGCTAGACGTGTCTTCCCTGCCCTCCGAAAAAGGTACATGTCCTTCCCTTCATCCCATGCCTTAACTCACACTACGCATACGATCCCTCTAACCGCTGGTCGTTTCCCTTGGCTCACTTCCATTTTCACTAACAATTCCGGTGCCAGGCCGATACGGAACGGCAACCGAAACAATCGCTCGACGGATACGGATTCCTCAACGACGGGACAGAAGGTACCTTACCCTTCGGCCTTCACTTCTTCGGTCCTTCGCCCATCAGCCCCAGCCAGCCGTTCGGTCGGATCCATTTTCCCAATACCCCGACGTGGAACGCCGTTAGGTCCAGTTGTCCACGCCGCTTCTCATTCCCACACCCCCTAGGATCGAACCCCAGACGACCGAGAGAGAGACCTTACGGATACATCCCTATCCATCATCAGCTACCGCCATCCCGCAGCCATCCAGTACTCGTTGCTCTCGAACCCGCCTCGTCCCCCGCTCCCTTGGCAGAAGTCGTTTCGCCGAGCCCCCAAGTATAACTTGACGCCATCCTCCGGCCTCGTTTTACCTCTTTCCCTCCTCTCTCTCTTTATCACCACCCCGATCACCCAAGCTCGAAGCTTGCCATTCACTCGCCAACACTGCAACAAATACGTCGTCTGTTGGGCTACTAGAGCACCAACACCCTACAACACCGCGAGCCTTTTTAGCTGAACCTACCGATATCCGATGGGAGAACCTCAAGCCGTCAGGCATGGTGAACAACACACAGCTGCTGCGGAAGTCAACCCCGAGCAGGACGAGCCCCCGTCTATACCGCGGCCCCCGCCCATTCCCAACCCGGTCCCTCAGCGGCCCGCACACTCAGTTCCTGCCTCGGACATAGGACTTCTCTGGCAGACTAACCTTGAAAATGGTCTCTCCAAGGCCGAGGCGCAAGCTCGCCTCGACCGCGATGGGCCCAACCGCATCGAGGGTGCCAAGGGCCTCTCCATTTGGGAGATTGTCATGAGACAGATTTCCAACAGTCTGACACTCGTACTCGTGATCGTCATGATCCTGTCCTTTGCCATCCAAGATTACATCGAAGGAGGCGTTATTACCGCCGTTATCCTTCTGAACATCGTCGTTGGGTGAGTTCTCGTCCCCTCGTTCTGCTTTCTGCCTAGCATAGCCTGCCACCCCTCCGCCTCCCCCGATCAAACTTCACGTTGCGTCCTCGTGCCTAGGTAGTGACTTGCCCTCTTCGTGGTGCGGCTGCATGGTGTGGTTGGTCGGACGGATGTGCCACTCAACGCCCCGCCGCCCGTGGGTTGGGTGATACCCCTCGTGGTACCTCCCAAAGACATCCGCAAGGGTGTTGGCGGTGTGGCGCATCCTGGTCCCTGCTATCACCATCTTTCTTCGACATCACAAATCTGCTTTCGCGTTTTCATGAGAGCATTTGCTAACATTCTCCAAGATTCATTCAGGACTACAATGCGGAGCAGACCATCCAGTCTTTGTACGCTCTCTCTGCCCCAACCTGTAAGGTCGTCCGCGACGGTATCGCCGAGACCGTCAAGGCAGATTCTCTCGTCAAGGGTGATCTTGTAATGATCGCTGTTGGCGATGTTGTCCCGGCTGATCTTCGTCTCCTTGAGGGTATCAACCTCTCCATCGACGAAGCTCTCTTGACCGGAGAGTCGCTCCCCATCAGCAAGCATCCCGACGCCATCTTCGAGGAGGAGGATATCCCCCTCGGCGACCGCATCAACATGGTCTACTCTGCGACCACTGTTACTCGAGGACGCGCCCGCGGTATTGTCACCACCACCGGCATGGACACCGAGGTTGGCAAGATTGCTATGATGCTGCGCACCACCCGCAAGAGGGATGAGAACGCTTCTCTCCCCAAGCGCGCCCTCATGCGCGTCAAGGCTGCTATGAAGAGCATCCTGGGTCTTGAGGGCACTCCCCTACAAGTAAAACTTAGCAAGTTTGCCCTCCTGCTGTTCGGCTTGGCTATCCTGCTTGCCATTATCGTTTTCGCCGCCAGCAAGTTCGACATCGATGACCAGGTCCTCATCTACGGTATCTGCGTCGGCGTCGCTGTTATCCCCGAGTCGCTCATCGCCGTTCTGACCATCACTATGGCTGTCGGAACCAAGGCGATGGCATCCGGCAATGTCATTGTCCGCAAGTTGTCCTCTCTCGAAGCCGTTGGAGGCGTCACCAACATCTGCTCCGACAAGACCGGTACGCTCACCCAGGGACGCATGATTACCAGGAAGATCTGGCTGGCCGAGGACACTACTGCCGTCATCGAGGGCACAACCGACCCCTACGACCCTACCAGCGGTACTGTTCGCTGGCCCGGATCCGCCGCTTCGAGCTCGTCCTCTAGTGGAGCGTCGACTCCGACGGTCGAGAAAACCGACGACACTATCCAGACCTCTTCAATGGGCTCATTCCTCAAGGCTATTGCTCTCTGCAACAACGCCGCTGTCACCGACGGCAAGACCGCCACCGACACGGAGTCCATGACCACGGCCACCGAGGTGCCTGTCGCCTGGAATGCCATTGGTGAGCCCACCGAGATCGCTCTCCAGGTCTTCGCCATGCGCTACGGAAAGGGAAAGAACGACATCGTCTCGTCTGAAAAGACCAAGATGCTGTACGAGTTCCCCTTCGACTCCTCCTGCAAGCTTATGAGTGTCGTCTACGAGTTTCCCTCTTCGCCCCGCCAGGTTTTCACCAAGGGTGCCGTTGAGGTCATGTTGCAACGCCTCGCCGAGCCCGAAGACTTCAAGGCAAGGATCGCTGCCAAGGCCGATGAGCTCGCGTCCGAGGGCCTCAGAGTCCTTTGCGTCGCTCACAGATTCCTCGAAGACACGGACAACGCCAGCGAAAGAAGTGAGGCCGAGTGCAAGCTCCGCTTCCTTGGTCTTGCCGGCCTGTACGACCCTCCTCGTGTTGAGACTCTTGGCGCTGTCAAGCTCTGCAAGACGGCTGGTATCTCGGTTCACATGGTCACCGGTGACCACATTAAGACTGCCACCGCCATCGCCCACGAGGTCGGTATCCTGTCTGGTGGCGAGCGACCCTCCGCTGTAATGGCGGCTGGCCAGTTCGACGCTCTCAGTGACCAGGAGATCGACGCTCTCGAAGCTCTGCCCTTGGTCATTGCCAGATGTAGCCCTCTGACCAAGGTCAGAATGCTCGAGGCCATGCACCGTCGCAAGGCTTACTGTATCATGACCGGTGATGGCGTCAACGACTCGCCCGCTCTCAAGAAGGCTGATGTCGGTATTGCCATGGGCAAGAGAGGCAGTGACGTCTCCAAGGAGGCGGCAGACATGGTCCTTACTGATGACAACTTCTCCTCCATCGTCACTGCCATCAAGGAGGGTCGCCGTCTGTTTGACAACATCCAGAAGGTAACCAGCCCCATCCCCCCCCATTTGCGCATCCCGCTAACGGCCGCCACAGTTCCTGCTCCATCTCCTGATTTCCAACATCGCCCAGGTCATTCTTCTCCTGATCGGTCTTTCTTTCAAGGACAACAGCGGCACGTCCATCTTCCCTCTGTCTCCGTTGGAAATTCTTTGGGTCAACCTCATCACCTCGTCCTTCTTGGCTATCGGTCTCGGTCTCGAGGAAGCGCAGCCTGACATCCTCCTGCGCGCACCCCACGACCTTCGCATTGGTGTTTTCACCTTCGACCTGATCCGCGACAAGATGATCTACGGTTTCTACATGGGTTCCCTGTGCCTGGCTGCCTTCACATCTGTTGCCTACGGCCCCGGCGGTGGAGATCTTGGTAGCATGTGCAACGACGGTTACAACCCAACCTGTGGTGTCGTTTACAGAGCCCGCTCCACTGTCTACGCTACCTTGAGCTTCTTGCTCCTCGTCACCTCTTGGGAAGTCAAGCATTTCCAGCGCAGCTTGTTCAACATGAACCCCGAGCTGTGGACCGGTCCCTTGGCGGTGTTCAAGACGGTCTACAAGAACAAGTTCCTCTTCTGGGCTGTCGCCGGTGGCTTTGTCATGACCTTCCCCGTCATCTACCTGCCTGTTGTTAACCGGGCGGTCTTCAAGCATGACATGATCACCTGGGAGTGGGGCGTCGTCGTCGCCTGCTTGGTTGTCTACATCGCTCTCATCGAGTGCTGGAAGGCCGTCAAGCGCCACTTCGGATTGGGAATGCAGGTCCGCATCCCCGCCGACCAAGTGTAGTCGACAAAATAGATTGCTACCACGAGCTTGCTGCAAAGCAACATCTTCAGTGCGAAATCGACTGAGATCAATGGTCGATGGGGTCAGGTAAAAAATGGCGCCTCGGGGTCAATTTGCTTTGGAGTCTAGCCGGGGTATATCACCGGTTCATGGAAATCAGACAGAATGGGGCTATTCAACATCAGCCTGGCAGGGTTTCGGGCTTGGGTGGACTTTACTTTCATTTCAACATTCATTTGAACAGATTGCCTTTCATCATGACTATGCAGTAGAGTTCATACTCAAGCCATGATATCAACATAACGAGCTAGCATTGCTAGTTCACCCAAACCACAAGGTCCCATCCGTCTCGGTGACATGTTCATATCGTGATCCTTCTAATTGCTTCCCGCGGTGACCTCAGCACCCTGCCTCGCCTTCTCCGCCCTCTCCCTCTCAACCATCTTCTTATACTCGACCCAATCATCACTCCTCGGAAACGGAACATCCGGCACATCCACCCCCAGAAACTCACAAAGCGGCCCCCACCCATCTCCAGGACGATACTCCAAAACCCTCCTCCCCTCCCCCGCCAACGCCCTCACCTCCTCATGATGCCTCTCAAAATACCCCCTCCCGTTCCCCTCGAAATCGTCCCCCCAGCACGCGGCATGATACGCCGCCGCCAACCCCGCCATCGGCGACACCCGTCCCGGGTCGCGGTTCAGGTGCCCGTGGATCAGCGTATCCCGCATCGAGGCCGCCCAGGCCTCGAACGGGCGCGTTGAGAGGATGATCGGGCAGTCCGGGTACGCGGCGGCCAGGGCGGTCGCGAAGAGGGCGGGGGGGAAGTCGGAAACGGCGGCGTAGGGGGGGAGGAGGAGGTCCCACTGCTCGCGGGTCCAGGGGCGCGGAGGGGAGGAGGGGGGGAGGTTGTCGGATATGGCGCGGATCCAGAGGTCTTGGTGGGCGTTGGGGGCGACTTCGCGCATGTGGTAGACGGGGGTTATCCCGAGGTGGTTTAGGGCGTCGGCGAGGGCTGGTGATGGGGTTAGCTTTTGGGGAATGTTGGAAGGTATGGGTGAGTACATTGTGTTCCTGTTCGAGGGAGGCCTAGGATGAGGATTTTCATGTTGGCGGTGGTGGTGGTGTTCTTTGCGTAGGTATTAAATGTTGTAGTTTTGTTGCACTGCCATGTTAGTTTCGATCAATGATATCCATCTCGGCTTTTTATACGGGATTTTTGACGGTCACTAAAAATACACAGACAGGATGAACCATCATCGCGGTTTGAACCGTTGCGGTGATGCAGAGTAAGCAGTCTGGCCGATTTATTCCGCTATCGAGATCACGCGGCGTGGCCGCGATAGGAAGCTCACACGGGGACGTCCCGGGTCGGACTTTGCCTCCGTTCTGACATTGTCGACTGCAACCAGCAACCATGACCCGCGTTGCATGAGCAAACTTTGGAGGAGTACAAAGCCGAAGGGATGCAAGTCAAAGTATGACTGTCGAGTTTGGCGGTGGAGAGACTGTTGAAAGCTATCGCGGGTGAAGAACCTGGGTGCATTCGAGCTGGCAGCTAGAGGGGAAGGCTCCGTCTGCCTGGCACTTGAATTGGAGAATGTAGTTGAGAAGCTGTGCCACATCGCCATTTGTTTCGGGTACGGCCCGCGATGGCACGTTAGTATAGTAGGACGATTATTCTCTGATTATTGTGGTAGCTATCTAAAGGAGATCTTCTAAGTCTGGGCCCATTCTTGCTTCATCAGATAGGACTTGAGATTGTCAACAGTTGTCTCTTCCATCTCGGCATTGTAGAAATCCTCGATCTTCCTGACCAGAGAGATATTCTCGGGGGTGACCAGATTGACAACGACACCATTTCGGCCGAAACGTCCGCCACGACCGACACGATGTTTGTACGTCTCATGATCAGCATGCAGATCATAATTAATAACCAAAGGAACCTGCTGCACATCGATACCACGGGCGAGGAGCTCAGTGGCAAGCAGTGACCTAGTAGAACCGGAACGAAATCCCGCCATGATTTCAGCACGTTCCGTCGCGGGCATATCCCCGTGCATGGCGGCGAAGGGAACGATGTCGAGGACGCCGAGCTTCTCCGCGAGCCATTCGGTCCTTTTGCGGGTGTTGCAGAAGGTGATTGTCTGGACGGATGTCGTGACGCTCGCGTATATGTCGAGGTAGGTGTCGAGCTTACGCTCGTCGTTTTCGACGTTGACGTAGAATTGCTTGATGCCTTCGAGGCGGAACCCCTTCTTCTTGACATATATGTGATGAGGATTACGCATCAATGTACTAGTTGCCTCGAGGAGGTCCTGCGGCATCGTGACAGTGCTAACCACGACCTGGATCGGCTGCGAAAGGAGGCGGGGGATATCGTAGATCTGATCCTCGAAACCACGCTGGGATGTTTTGGTTAGTCACAATCGCAAGAGGTTTCGAAGCTTGTATGAACGCTTACCGCGAAAATTTCATCGGCGTCGTCGAGGGCAATCCTCTCTATGTTGGCAGTCTCGAGGATATTGCGCTGTATCACATCCCTAAGGCGGCCCGGTGTTCCAACCACGACCTGAGGTGTCTCATCCCGGAAGACCTTCTCATAGTCTTGCGCGCCAACTCCACCAACACAGGCAGAACACCGGATGTTCATGAAGTCGCCAATTGCAAGTATGAACTTCTGAATCTGCAAAGCCGACTCGCGGGTGGGAACGAGGATCAGAGCCTGGCAGGCTTCCAGATCGGCTCTGAGCTTTTGAAGAATGGGGATGACCAAAGCAGCCGTCCTGCCGGAACCGTAAGTGGCTTCGGCAATCACATCCTGGCCGTTGATAATGGGCATGATGGCACACTGCTGGATAGACGAAGGGCGCTCAAAACCATAGGCGTACACTAGAGAGATGTCTTGCTTAGCGGCTAGGCGCAGCATACTTCTTTCGATGTGTCACTGGCACTTACCACCACGAAGAAGCTCAGGCCTGAGGTTCATATCATCAAAAGAAACGGTCTTATTGTATTTCGACTCCGTGAAATCTGTATCCCCTAAGTTAGCATTTGAGAGGTGGCCGTCTGTAGGTTGGCTAAAAGATAGTTTTAGGATGGTTCGAGGGAATAGGAAAGCCCACCCTCAGGATCATTCTCAAAGTCCATGTTAAGAGCCATCGTGCTCAGTAACCATCCGGGATCTTCTTTGGTGTTGCTTTATAGATGCAAGATCGAGCAGATTTCAATTCATGCTCACGGGAGAGTAGGATAAGCATGAAAGGATATGGCTGGAAGAAATTATAAATACTTAAAAACGAGCCGAAACAGTCGTTGTGATCACCGTAGCGCCTCAATTTTGAGCCAATTCCACTGAACTGCAGCCTAAAATCTGACTCATAAGCACGTGCTTCTTCGCTATGGATGTAGCATGCATCGGCGTCTACATTGGATGAATTCGCCCCTTTCTGTAGTCTTAGACAGACTGAACGCAACGACTGAGCCAGAGCCATGCAGTAATACAGCGGCTGGGCTTCCTTTTGTTGGCTTGATGGTCTTTTACCGTAGCGAGCAATCCGAGCCTAGTGGAGTCCCATCCTAGTGGCTCGCAAGTTGCATCGATTGGCCGGACCGACAACACGAATTCGACTTCTGACGATGACTACGTTTGTGACTGTACTTGATTTATCTAACCACGTTCCTCGGATTGTCATGTTTCCGCTGGGCGAGGCGTCGCTTTGGACTTGTCGCATTACGTCAAGCCGTGGTCGATAACCTAGTTATGTGTTTCCTTCGCTCGGTTTCAATCCGTGACAACGCTACTTGTGTCCATCCCAATGCATGTATGAAAGCCAGAAAATTCTGGTCATTGATAGTCAAGCGTATGCACTCATTGTACGCGTAAAACGCACCGAATTTCCCTGGACTCTAGACCCTGGTTGGAACATGACCCGAGTTCAATGACAAAGTTGAGGAGAAGGGGATAGGATAGGATGATAATAGTACAGGGTGACTTGGGTGTAAGTGCCAAAGCATACATGTATATAGTAAGGCATAAGAGCGCGTCGCTGCAGTAGAAGTATCACATCATCAAGCCAGCTGCTCTATATACTGTCTGGTAGATATTATATTCAGCTTTACAGCAAATCGACCATCGCCTTACTATCCTGTGGCCAACCTATGACTACTCAATCGCCACAACTCAATCGCCACACTCGGCAAAGAACCTCATCCAGGACGCATCTAAAACATTCGAGTTTAACCAAGCCTAGCCTAACAAATACTATTATCTCCATCCTTGAAAGTCACGACGCCTCCGGAAACAGATTGATAAAAGGTTCCGCAGGGGCCTAAGGCGGCACCGTTCCAATTGTCGTTGAAAGCACCACCGCTGCCAGCACGCACCTTGAACCTCTCTTCCCCAGTAGCCCAGGAGCGGCCCATGAGATACCAAACGTACTCATCATCCATCATAGCGCGCTGATCGTCCTGGACGTAATGATAGACCAACCCGTTGTTGGTGGAGAGCACAGACACGCCCTTGGACTTGGTATCTTTGCTCCAGCGCACCGAACAGTTGCCGTGCTCGTCGACATCCACGCGCGTGATTCCCCCGGCCATACCACTCATGTCGTTGAACTTGCCATTCAGCTCCTGTCCGTTCTGGCTCGTGAAGAAGGTTGGCCCGCCGTACGAGTTGAGTATCATGATTCCGTACTGTTTCTGCTGGGTGTCGTAATGAGCCAGCACGCTGTTCTGCACCGAGCCCTTGTTGTCTGTGAACAACGGCACCTGGCACAAGAGCTGAGAGCTGCTGTCCGCCTGCGGCGCTTGATGGTACACGTTGAGATGCAGGCGCGGAGTATCGTTGTCGGCGATGGCCACGTACTTGTCGACAAGCAACGCAGGCGTCGCACCTGAACCACGCGCCGAAATGGCCGTGTTGGGGTCAAGTCCGGTTCGTTCACCTGCAGCATAGGGAACGCGCCAACGTGTGGTGATCCCGCCTTCGGAGCCGCTCTTGGCCGTCAGCGAGTACATGTAGCCCGGCGCATTGGGTGTGTTGGATTTGCCGGACGGGCTTGTGACCATGTAGACGTTGGTGCCTGCCACGGCTATGCCATTCTCGACCGTTTCGCCATCAAGCTGTGCCTTGTGCACTTCGTTGCTAGGCGTGATGTAGCCGTACTTCGTCGAGTTGGCCAGGGTGCCGTTGGCGCTGGTGTCGAGCTGCAATGCACCAGTAGTGAACCAGATGTTGTTCTCGTTGTCAAACATGGCGTTGAGCAGTTGATCATCTTCTTGCAGCTGTGGACGCAGATCGACGGTACGCGTGGTCTTGAAGTAAGGGCGTCCCTGGAAAGTACCACGCTGCACGACCCAGATCATGCCTTGGGCCGAACTGACTAGGATGTCGTTCGTTTTGACAATTAATTCCATGTATGGGATGTTCAGCGCCTGATTGTCTTCCTCTGGATACCATGCCGCAAGTACGTCCAAAGAATCCGGGTTAAGCGCCACCAGTCCGTATCTCAGGGTGGTTGCATTGATGTAGCCAGACGTAAGTTGATTGTCTTGGCCCCAGAGGAAGACGAAGGCAGGCTGAGCTTTTGCGCTGGTGTGCGTTTTTACACCGCGCGGCCCGGGAAAGTCCTGGCTGCCGGAGTTGCCGCCATCGCTATGCAGCAGTGACGCTTCCGGTTGCCAGACGAAACGGGGCGATAGCGGCTCGCATTCAGCTGCTTGGCCGGTGAATGGGACACTTGTCAGATTCTGGGAATCTTTAAGTACTGGAGCTTTGGGATACGAAATAGGCGGAGGGATGTCCTTGAAAAAATCAGACGTTAGAATAAGCAACGGAGACTTTATGGGGTAAAAGAAAGTAACCAGACTTGACATGAACCGACAGGGTTCGCTTCAACTCGCAAGCTTCCCAGTGCCAGCAGGGCGGACCATAGGTATACTCGAAAAGGAAGCATAATAGTTCTCGCGCCTAGGCTAGAGGACTAAGGAAGGCAAGTTGAAATGGAGAATAGTTAAAGTCAGACCAGGTTGTGTTGTATAGTGCAATTAGGTGAAGTAATATTGACGACTTTGGCAAACATCTTTCGCGGCAGCTTTTAAACGAAGTCTTAGGTAGCTTATAAAAGAAATACGTCGTCATGCGAATCTATCATCGAATGAATTAGTTGGCGCAGCTGTCCTCCCTGTGGCTGTTTTTATTTTCGCCTCATTCGCGTCCCGCATCTTGCATCCTTCGCCAACCTACTACTAGTTTAGGGCGACTGAATCCTCGACACTTGTTGATGGCTTCAGCCTCGGGAAGAGAGTTGCGAGTTGCGAGCTACACCTTGCCCTGTATCTGGATTATACGGGAGCCTGATGTGGATCGTGTGCGCTTTAAAAAATGGAATGCGGGAGACTGTGGTGCTCTGAGGGATTCATAGAGGATTGTAGTCGGCGACCATTCATTGCGAGAAACCCGAAGTCACCAGCTCAGGTCTGTAAACTAACGACATTTGGACAGTAGACAGGCAAAGTCATCCTTCGGACAGCACCGAACCTCGCGTCTTACCCGAAGTTAGTGCGCTGCCCCCATTTCGACCCTACCTAGTGTGCTTGGCGCTAAGCATGGTTCCCGTGTAAGTGCCGCCTCGGAGAGAGCCGCCTCGGACCTCGGATTCGACGCACACTGGTTGCTCGCGCTTCAATTGACGTCGTGGCTGCTTGCTTTCTCACGTACGGTAGAGAGTATCATACCTCACTTGCTCTGGCGCAATACGTAGGGCGGTCTGGCAGTCAACTGTCCGGCCCGCCCGCTCCACCGCAGTCCGGAGCCGTGGATGTCATCGTCGCCGTAAATAGCGAACGAGGCTGCGCCTTGTCACTGACATTTTTCAGCGACTGCCTAATTTCGTCAATCATTGCCCAACTTTGTCAAGTGCCTGGTGTTCTGAGCTCGCATTCATCTCGCGAAGTCTCGTCGACGATTGGGATGACGGGGTAACTGAGTCTATCTACTGTGAAGCAGGAACATATAAGGTGATCATGCCCTCCAAGAAATTGTTCAACCTCTACACCATCACCAGAATCACCGCCATCACCACTTTCACTACGAACTCTTACGAGAACCAAAGACCATTCCATTAATTCAAATCTGGCTGCTCATCATGCAACCTCAATTTTTTACCAATATGCTCCTACCACTCGCGTTGGCTTGCCTCGCCCCAGCAGCCTCCGTCACGGCCTTCGTCTCCGGAAGCTCTTGTCCACCCTCAGAGCTTTCGGTGCGCCTCCCCCCCTTCCTCGATCCAGCGGTCAACGGCACCGGAAACGCTACCTCTGGTTGCAACGCGCCCGTCTCTAAGTTCGTGGCCCCTCCTACCGGCTTCTTCGCCGGCACTTGGTCCATCCGCAACACTTCCGGAACGTCCTACCTCACCTACGGCAACTTGCAATGGGACCTCACTCCTGCCATCGCCACCTGCGAGAAGAACAACACGGCCGACTGCACTCAGGGAACTCTGGCGGGAGAACTCAACGAAATCACGACCTGGACCCCGGCCGACAACAAGACAGCCCGCAACGGCGCCATCGGCGGCGGTGGTCGTGAGGTGGCCTCCGTCCGAGCCTACAACACCCCTCGTCGGTTGAACTTTCCCGCTCTGAACTCGGACTGGGATGCCGTCTTTGACAACACGATCTTAGAAGGTCCCGGGAAGGGCTTCATGCAGTCTTGGTCCGTCGTCTACTGGGGAGTGGACGTGGAGAAACTGCCTTTCATGGTTGTGCACGAGACCCCCCCGATGTTTCCCAACGGCGATATCGGTGGTACTGCTATTCATGCGATTAGCATCAACCGAAATGGGCCGGATCATGATTCCTTGTCAGCCGTGCTGGAGGCCTTGATGAACCTGGGCAATGCCGAGTTGACTCGTGACATCGAGAAGATGGCTGCGACTAAATGGGATGATGCTTTGAAGGGTGGGCCTGCTATCTGTGGTCCTGGGTGCATGAAGAACGAGTTGAAGAAGTAGGGGACTACTGGCAGGACTAGCACTGTTTGGTTTTTGGAGCTGCTGCGAGGATACTACTGTTTTATCTAGAAGATCAAGATAGAAATGCTTATACATGATTTTCAAGCTACACTTTTGCTGATGCGTCATACTCTGGAGAATATCATATACCAAGTATACTCCATCATATATCTCTGCTGGCAAAACACTCGTGTCACAATCAAGTTAGAATGGAATTGAAGCTGCAACTAATTGTATAGAAACCTTTGAGAAGGAAAACAGTTGACAGGAGATGGCTAGTGTAGCAGGCGTTCAAGACAGACTCGTCCCTTTGAAGTTGTTGATCCAAGTCACCAGTTTGAAAATATGAAGAGGACCACCGCACACCGCCGAAACGAGCAAGCCATGTTCCAATGATTGACCTTCTTGTACGACCTGCGGGAGCTATCGACCGATTGCCCCTGGCCGACGAAGGTGCGCTTCGACAGAGCCTTGTCTTCATCCTCGAGGGTCACACAGTCGTCGACGTTCTCAGCGGAGCAGAGAGGCGAAAGAGTGTGAAAGCATATATCGCAGAAGTAGCCGTTAGGGCTGATGAAGTCCAGACCCTAGGATCTGTTAGAGGAGCATATTATTTCGGCCTTGTGGGATGTGATGTTGGATACGATCAGCATATCCTAAATCCAACGATTGCGCTGCTTAGGCGACAAACGAACCGCGCCTCTCGCATTGTTGCTCGGCGATACACGGAGCTTTTAATGAACTGTGGCAGACTTTCCACTCTCGCACTGCATGAGCCGCAATATCAGATAAGGCTGTAAGCTCGCTTCTAGAAGGTGACGGGTATCTCAAACATGGCATCCACGAAGTAATAACAGTGGGCTAGTCGACCATGGAGATGGGTCCGGATCGATACGCGGGGAAGGCCTGCACCGCCCCCGGACACCTCAAATGCCCTCTCTCTGGACACAAACGCGTACAGATCTCAGCAATCAGAATGCGAACCAACGACTGGCGCTTAGTTCCATTTCAATCTCTCTCCTCAGATAAAGAACGCAACGCCGGCTGCCCAACCGAGAGAGCCAAGCAGTCGGTGTCGTGGCGTGCCACGCGGTCGAGATCTAAGCCTCCATCTAGCGGGTGGGTACGTGATGCACGCCGCGCTTAATTTACGCTCTAGAAAAATCTCCGAAGGGGACGTTGTTTGGCGTCTTTAAGCAGCCCAGTGGGGGGCTCTCCTTCTGGGGGGAGGAGGGGCGCAGGGTCCAGATTTCTATACGCGTACAGCGCGAGATGGTCTCGCTATACGTGTATGGTACCCGGCGACGGACTGTCACCGCGGGTTGAAGGCGTGTAAACAAAAGGAAGGTAGCCTTGGCGAATTGTGATTAAAATAATCGACTTTCTCGCAGTTTTGCGTTTGTGAATTTGGATTTCAGCTGGAACAAGCAACCACACCACATCCATCATCCGCCGAAGGCCGCCTCGTACCAGTCGCTACCGACGATATCTCGACACCACGCCAGGGGCATCATACGCAGAGACGAAATCCGCCAAAACCAATTCCATCATGATGGACAAAATCAGAGCCTTCTTCGAAAAACCTTTCTTCGAACCCCATCACAAGAAGAAGATCCACATCCTCCAGCTCGTGCTCATGCTCATCGCCATCATCCTCACCATCGCGCGCATGGCCATGCCCGTCATCACGACGCGGGCAAACATGATGGCCCTCACGATGGTAAGTCTTCTCCCCCAACCAAGAAATCCTTTTTCTTGACCAAAAGTATGCTAACCTACGACACCGACAGGGCCTCAAGTCGTTCGTAATCATCGGGTACCAGCTCCTCACGGCGCACAAGGAGCGCTTCAAGAAGTGGGCCTCGCTCAAGGCGAACGCCATCCTCAACACCCTCGAGATCGTCTTCTGGTTCGTCGCGTTCGGGCTGCTGTTCTCGGCCAACACAAAGTTCTGCACGGGCGCGAGCTGCGCTTTGAGTTGGGTCGTGACGCTGATATGTGCGGTGCTCATGTAAGTCTATGGCCTGATCTTCGGACAGACAGTTTTCTCGAATATCCAATTTGAAAAGAATGGAGCTAACAACTGGTTGTTGCAGTGTCCTCGCGTTCCAGACATCCGTCATCTCGATCAAGGAGCACCGATACTTCAAGAACTACGGCGCCGAGTACGGCACAAACTATCCAAAGGTCTAGATGAGTTAGAGAAGGAGTAGAGTCCTCGGGGAATAGAACCAGTGTAGACTTTGGGCGAAAGAACATTATGACTTTTACGAACCTCCTTCCTCCAGCCGACGTGACCCGATCTGCTTCTACAACTTCACGAAAGATCTTCATACAACCTGTCAAACGTCTCGCCCTCTGCTTCACACGAATCACCTCCATCCAACCTGAATCACCTCATTTGCTTCCAAGATTCCACCAAAGATCATCATATGATGTGTCGGCTCTCTCACCCTCTGGTTTTCACAAGATGCTTCATCCAGTCGAAACAGTCCAACCTGCTTTCACAAACTCACCGCAGATCTTCATACAAGTTGCCAGCAGTCTCGCTCTCCCCAACATGAATAGTGTAAGCAACACGGGCGTAGCCCTTGACCACCTCGCACAACTCAGGAGCAATGGACTTGTAGGCATGGAACAGGCCGAGAAACCCAACCACAGTATAGTCGTTGATCTGGCCCCATTTCTTGACCTCTAGCTTCGCCTTCTTACCACCCTTTCCGGGCATTGAAATCGCGAAGATGTATCCCAGGGCCTGAAAGCCCTTGATAGTCAGATCAAGACCCTCAACGGCATTGCCTCTCTCAATTTCCTTCTGACCAAGTCCGAAATATGAATCCCATAGCTCAAGGCGGACTGCCCCCTCTCTGCTCGGGTAACAGCTCTCGAGTTGAGTCAGAAACCGCTGTGCCTTGGATTCCTGGAGTGGTGTTCTACAGGTTTTCATAACCGAGTACAGCTGTTGAAGAAGACCCTGACGTTTCTGGAAGGCCTGTTGCGAAGTCGACTTCTTGTCAAGGCACAGCTCACACTCGCAGATAAAGCCCCAGCTCTGTAGACGCTTCTGGGTTGCCGCGCGGTCGTCATCTTTGTGAGGAAGTTGGTAGCAAAAGAGCAATTCCGTGTCGGGTTCGAGATCTTGAGCAGCTCGGAGGATCATCATGTCGCCGATGAAAGAACGTCTGCAATTGCCGACGCAGGAGTGGTTGATGTGAGATGCCATGGTCCAAATACCGCAAGTGTGAAAGGCGGATTCCTTCTCAGGGGTTTCAAAGCTCTTGAGACTGCTTCGCGGAGCTCCGAAGCAGTTCAAGCTAATGATTTTCTCGACGAGAAATCTACAACATGATGAGTGCGAGCAAAAAGACAGCCGTTTGGGAAGCCCACTTACGTATCGACTGGGATCTCGTCTGTCTGAGAATTCTTAGTTGAACCGTAGTCTCCACGGTACAGTTCCGTGAAGCGTGAAGCAATCTGCGGATTGTGCTGCAGCTTCTGAGCGACTTCTGAGCGATTGTGCCAATGAGATTGGCTTGACCGCCCACGTTCATCCTCTTGGTGGTCATATTCATCAGGATCCTGGAATTCTGGCGACCGATGGGATCGTCGTCCCCGGCGTAGCTATACGCAAACGCCTTTTCGCAAAGGAGGAGGTCTCCAGCCTTCACAGCCTTGGTCGCGAAGAGCCCGTTTCCACGTCCCGGGGACGCTCGAACCTCAACGGGACTGGAGAAGGTTGCACAGTCGATGAGCGGAGGAGTCGCCTTGGCTTGTCTGTACATCTGCGCCCACTGGTATTCGCCGGCCTCTTCGCGCAAGCGACGATGGACTCTCTCGACTTCCATCTTGGCGTCTTTGTTGGCAGGGTTAAGTTCGACCAGTTGCTGGAGCTTCTCTAAGCACAGGCTGAACTGCTCCAAAGCGTAATGTGCCTTCGCTTCTCGGAACAGGCCCTTCTCAGTCGGGACACTGCCGCCACGGGCCCTGAGAGCATCGGATAGCGCCTTCTCTGGACGTTGAAGTCTCAGATTCGCGAGTGAGCGGTTGAGGAGAGCAGTCTGTTCTTGCGCCGGCGTCGTAGCGGAAGAGATCGCATCGGAGTACCTGAAAGATGAGTTAGAAAATATGAGCCTCAAACAGCACTTTCATGAGATACTCACAGACGTTCAGCCTTTCCCCAGTTTTGCTGCGCGACGGCTGCGTTGCCCTGAGATCGGATCTCTTCCGAGTTGGTACCAGTCTTCCTGTAAGACCTCCACATCCTCGGGATGCGCTGATCGTCCGGATGGAGTACAAGGATGTCGCCGATGTGGTCCACGCGAAGGCTGTACCCTCCAGAGGTCGTAGCCTTGAAGAACGGCTCTTTGACTAGGCAGACGCTGTTCTGAGGGAGAATGTCCTCGGCCTTGACCAAGGTCTCATCTGGCTGGTTATAAAGCTGCAGCAGAGTCCCAGTTCCCTCCTGATCCTCCACGATGGCTAAGATAGAGTTCCATCTGTCAGGCGGGGTCATCGTTCGGACGAGAACCTGCTTGCCCCTGTGGTGTTCCTCCAGCTTCATCTTCGAGATTGGAAAGTGCTTGAGGCTGTTGGCGGGCCGGAGGCATGGGGGATAAGGCGGGGGAACCTGTGTGGTGATGAGCTGATGCCCATCGTTTTCTTTGATCTGTTTCATAGAGAGCTTCATGATAAACTGGGTCACCAGCAGACCAGCTGGTGGATGATCTCGAGGGATCTCTCCTTTCCGACGACTGGCTTTCTCCGCAGCCGTCATCAGATTCCGGAAAAACGACTCCATCTCCGACGATCCAGATGCATCTTTCACGTCCATGATGAGAAGCGATGGATCGGCAATACTGGTGTTTTCGTGAATGGTGAACTCTGGGAAGGATTTTCGGAACTCTTCTGAAGGATGGATTGAAGAAGAGAAGACCGGCCTCGGGGTATCGACGGAAAAGTTGAGGTCTATTTGATGGTTTTGACACTAGGGTTCATTGCTTGGGCGGAAGGCAGCAAACAGAAAAAGAAAAGCGTTGGTGGTTGCTTCCTCCCGGTTCGAGAGCGGCCTAAGGTAACCGCACGGTTACCTGCAGGAGGCCTACCATACCTTCCATGCCTTTTCTGTTTGTCTCACTTTTCACATGCATAGTTTTCTAGATATCTTTGAGATAAAAGCTCTTCCAAGTTGAACAAAGTGAATAAGGCGAGGCGCTTGGCTTGTTAGAGTGGTCGTCATCACAGCGCCCAACCGAACCTTGGCTGCGAGATGCATTGGGATTACAACCAGTGCCTACCCGACGCGCGTTTCTCCCACGTTCTAGATTTTATGAGAATGCATCAATGATTTCGACTTTGAACTGAGATGTAACTTGGGAACCGGGATTTCAATTGCTTCTTACAACATTTTCTGCTCTATTCTCCTACCCGACTCTTCTCACACAGCCCCACAAGTGGAAGCATGTCAGACATGTGGACTGGAAATCAAGTCTCTAGCTGGTGAAAGCCGGATCGCCTGTGAAGATGGGTGCTCTAGCTCCTCCACTCTTATTATCCTTTGGATCTCTCTCGACCAGCAGGTCATCCACGGAACGATCTTCAAGCTCATCTTCAACTGCCCTCGGTACCGCGATGGGTCCCTTGAAGGGATCAACCGGAGTCTTGTTCCTGACGTGGCTAACGGTCTCGAGAGCTCGGCCTTCAAGGCGGTGACTTTTTGCTCATATTAGCAGAATGAATCCATCCATATCATGGGCGTCTACTCACAGAGACTGACTGGGTGCGGCGTAAACGCTCGCAAATGACACAGCGACAGACAGAAAAGTAAGGATCTTCATATTTGCACAGAAAGATTTGGCTTGATAATACACACGCAGAGAGAGCAAGAGTGCTTGGCAGAGGACTTGAGGGCCTCTTCGGAGACTTAAATAGTCAAGCCTATGGTGAAACAGGGCGAACGCCTTGGCCCTACGCCTTATTAGTGCCCGCCTAAGGTTTGCTGTCGTGTTTCTGGCGTTTGGGATTCACGACTCAGGTTGTTCGCTTCTCCCTGAGCAGGTTTCTCCATTTTCTTGTGATAACAATGTCAAAGTTACCTGCTCTGAATTGCGGCATCAACCATTCATGGATGCCCATTGAGAACGAGAAGCACAAGCTGATATAGCGATATGAACTAACATGATGGATGTGTTCATCCCAATGGTCGACTTGCAGCTACCAACAACACAGCGAGTCAGACACTATGTTGACAGTTGTTGGACAATCATGCCTCAATGGCTTACCAAGTCACGATCTTCTGGCAAGAAAGACTCAAGAAATAGCAGAATTCGCAAATATCTCACCGTTAGAATCATGATAGGCGGCATTTTTAAAAGGGGAATAGAGACTATGCAATTATCTCTTCTGTACTCCCTAAGCCTGCTTCTGATGAAGGATAAATACAACTATCGCAATCACGGATGAATCCCATGTGACCCTGGACATGGAACCTGAAGTAAGACCACACAATCAAACCATGCCCGCCGCAGCGGCAGCAGAACCGCTAGACGCGTTGGCCTTCTTTCCGCCGTTTTCCTTGTTCTTCGCATCACCGCCGCCGTTGTTCTTCTTGCCGTTGTCAACAACAGTGCCATTGTTGTTATTGTTGCCGGCGTTGCCATTGTCCTTGCCCTTTCCGTTCGCCTTTCCGTTGTTCTTCTTTCCATCTTTAGCATTGTCGTTGTTCTTCTTGCCGTTCTGCTTTCCATCGTTATTCTTCTTGCCCTCGTTGGCATTGCCGTTGGCCTTGCCGTTGTTCTTCTTTCCGTTGTCCTTTCCGTTGTTGTTCTTCTTGCCGTTGTCCTTGCCATTGTTCTTTCCGTTGTTTTTCTTTCCTTTGCCGTTGTCCACTGCGGTGCCATTGTTGTTATTGTTGTTATCCTTTCCCTTGCCATTGTTCTTCTTCGCTTCCTTAGCGGCGTTGTTCTTGGCAGCATTGTTGTTGTTCTTCTTCCCATTCTCCTTGCCGTTGTTGTTCTTTCCCTTTCCGTTATCAGCGGCGGTTCCATTGTTGTTGTTATTGTTGTTGTTGTCCTTTCCCTTCCCGTTGTTCTTCTTCCCGTTGTTCTTAGCGGCGTTGTTATTCTTCTTGCCATTCTCCTTCGCGTTGTTGTTCTTCTTGCCGTTGTTCTTGGCATTGTTCTTTCCGTTTCGGCACCTGCAAGATTTGCCCTTGGCATCTTTGCCCCTCTTCTTGCCTTTGCCGCATTGGCAATTGTTTCCGTTGTTCTTCTTTCCCGCGTTGGCGTTGTCTTTTCCTTTGCCGTCATTCTTCTTTCCACCACCTATGGTTCAGGTTAGCAAGTAGCCCGCTCTGTCTTTTCCATCCATTGGTCACTACATACCAGCTGTGTTGTTGGCTTGTCGCGCGACAATCTCGCCGAAGTGATCGGCTTCTGAGAGGTCCCGAGCAGTTACGCCATCTTCCTCTTCGTCTTCTGGAGTGGCAGCCAGAGAGAAGGGCTGAAGGGTTGTATCCTCCTCGTCTCTCTCAAAGAGAGAAGCTCCATCATTGACAGCTTCAAGATCCCGGGCTAACTCTTCCCTCGCCGCGTTGATTCCGGAGTCCGTTACGGCGGCAGCCGCAAGACTGGCCCAGAAGAGAATGGATACGGCCTTCATGATGGAGTGATTTGACGTTGGTGGCGTCGAGAAGTGGAAGGAATGCAACCTAAAGACTTCGCCGAATTTGTGTGAGTCGAAGAGGTTAAGACGAAATGAAAACGAAGTGACAGTCAATGTCGAGTGGTTAACAACGTTCGGTGAATATAGCGAATGTACAGAAATGTAGGCGCCCGGCGCATGAAAGAGTCTGGCTGCTTGTGGTGAGGAAGTAGTTTCAAGGCCACAACAGCGGGATATCTGATGATTTATAGGAAAGTCTATCATTCCATTTCCGTCAACGATCTGAGTCTACAGGAATAGAAGGTCCAGAGCATGCTGCCGGCCTGACACACAGAGTGACCAGCCTCACCCCAACCAACTTGCCGGCGAAACCGAGCAACAGCTAGTACAGCCAAGTCGTTATCCTGAGACCCCGTGGGAAAATAGGCAGTGCAAGTTCCAAGTTTGCAGTTTGGCAGCATGGGTGTGTTCATCTGGTGTCAGGTGAATGCTGCCATCCATTCAGTTGGAAAGCCTGAGAGCAAGTTTTGGGTTCGGAATCGCACCCGAACAGGGAACTTCAGACGGATAGGCAACTTAACCCGCCCAGTTCCCCAGCAGACATCCTAGATCGTCTCGTCAGCACTAGCTCGACCGGTAGCCTTACAAGCAATATGATCCGCGACCCAAGCATCTGGCTCGAATGTTGAGACCACCGGAAGGCCTGTGCCGTGTGGTCAAGCACTGCCTCAGGTGCTTCGAATGCTTCCATGGAAAACTGGAGCGTTGCGCCAAGCTCATGTTGCAGATCGTGGTGGCCGCGGGGAAAGCATCAACGGGACCCGAGGCCAGCGCCAGACTTACTTAGTACGGAACGATGAACATTTCCGTATTGGTCTTGACTGGTTTCTGCTGGCCCGTGCTGCGAAGTTCAGACATCTTGTGACGGAGGCTAGTGAATGAGGCCTTCCTTGCTCGTGTGGACTTCCAGATCCGGTCGTTTGAGACGGGAAGATGCCAGGTTCTGGCAAGGTCTTCCTTGTAGTGATATTTGAGACGATTTTAGAGTTAAAGTTTAGGTATTGACAGAGGCCGGAGACTAAGGGCTGCACAAGTAGACGGCAATATTCACAGATTTCCAATGAGAAAATCGACAAAATCAGTCCGCAGCTTATTTTACGTCTCTTACGCTAGTAGCAGTAGGTGTTTGACCATTTAGAAGATCAATATCACAAGCATGCCAGTTTGACTCGACTTTCAAAAGACTCCTGTTGTAGACACAGCTGATGTGGGGAGAAATGGCCGTTTACCCGCGGGAGCTTCTTTGCCGTCCGTCAACCCAGGGTTATGGGTGATGGACTGTCTCAGATAAATTTAGCATTGGATTGTTCTAGCAGAAAAGAGCCAGACTTCGTGGGGAACGGCTCTGAACGCCATGGGAGGAGGGTCCATGCCTGCAGCAACTAATAGCTCTGGAACTGGAAAGATGACTTCCCGTGGCCTAAACGACCGCCTAGTTGGCTACTGCAACACGAGATTGTCCGGTCTTGTCATGTAAGTTCTGTCATCTGAATGGCGTGACCTTTTGTCAGAATTGTCAGCCCAATGGGGCACTCGGCCCGTGATCTTGCTCATGTCGCTACCTGAGTCAAGTCGCCAACGTTGAGAACATCACGGAATAAGTCACCGGTCTCATATAGAACTTCTACGCTTGGCAGTGATCATCCAATCTTTCTCAACCTATATGATGTGACTTACACTTCACGTTGAGGCTCTGTTTGAGGTATGCAGATCCTCTAGTGGCTGAGCGAGAAGCACGCCACATTACTCGAGTGTTCAAGACTGAGGATTTCTCGGCTCTTTGGGACATGACAATACCCTTCACTGCAAAAGATAAGACTCCCGAGGACTTTGAAGTGATGAAAAGTCATATGACGTATTTCAGACGCTCTTTTAAAAGGCAAAAGCTTGTGATAACACGCATTTGCATGCGAGTAAAATACGCCAATTATATGTAGACAAGAATATCTCATTGAACTACGACTCAGCCTTTTGAGGAACATTACAGCATTCAAAAACCACTCTCTTCATGCATGTATAAGCTCGTTATGCGAAAGCTTGACAAACGCATTGATACTGATTCGACCTCCATATGCGCTCCGTTGCGACTGGAAAGCAGGAACCGACACTCCTTCTTGACCATGAAGATATGATATGTCCTACAGTTTGATATTTATTTTTCTTAACTCGCATGCTTGTGATCATTTTGTCACCACGAATCGACAATGGGATCTCAGCATTCGGGTTGCCTTGAGCTATCCGTCAGATCACAACCGCGATGCTCCGCTGTTTGACAGGAAATGGCCGGCTTGTCGCTGAATTAGACCAAGTATTGCACACACATTCTTTCTCGTTTTCTCATCTTTCAAACAGACTACTGTTTGCAGAATTTCGCCAAGCATGCGGGATTTTGACTCACTCTACCATAAGCTCAATTGCCAGTGTTCTTGGCTACATTCATGTCTGATGAGGGGTCGGCTGCGCAGCTGCCAAGATTGTCCCCTCATGTTCCAGCGGTCTAGGCAGTTCCTTGACAGACATTCAAATCACCAGATATGAGAAATGTCGGGATACACGGACAGATTCAAGTCCCGCTTCCGTGGTATTTGAAATTTCCGTCCGTATTCTATCGACATTTGGGAGACAGAATTTACCCCTCATCACGCCACGCTATCACAGAGCATGCAGGATGCGATGCAGGGTCTTTAGGTTCCGGGCCTTGGCAGCTCGCATTAGTAGAAGAAACAAACTTGGCATAATACCACCATCTAGACACCAAATCATGCCCAAGTCGGTGGTTGCAGACACAGCCTCCCATGGATAACCGCTCTAATACCGCAGCAGGGCGCGCTGGACCATGAAAAGGCGATGGCACGCTGAATGGATGGTCTGTTACTACGAGAGCCCGGGAGCGTGGCACTACGAATCCTTCTCTCCTACTAGACTCAATGCTGCCTCTCAATATAGCCCAAGAGAGCTCGAAGCCGGAGCATTTTCCTCGCCTTTCAAAGTTAACATCCGGCACCGGAGACCACGCCACGAACATACAGAGCAAGAGAAATTGCTCAACCGATTGCGGCGGTGAACAGGCCAAACTCCAAAGAACACGGGGTGGTTACTGCCGGGAATAAGGTTCGAGTAAATGTGTGCGAGCCATAATCGAATGCCTGCTCGAACATCAAGTCCGCCTTATGGTTCCTTGAGCGGAAGTGAAGAATAATCATCTTTTGGCTCTCTTCCGAACCCCGCTCCGAGTCCTCCGTCGAGAGTTGAATAAAGGTGCGGACCTGCATGGTGCATCGGGGCATACGCCAAGTTGGACTGATTAGACACAAGTTCTTCCGAAGGTCAGTTCATCGTGGCCCTCATGATCCGGGTCTCGCGAGCCATATTCGGTCAACAGGGACATAACGACCGTTTTCCATCCCGCGTCGAATCCAATCACGGAAGATCTCGCCTTTGACCTTGTTTTTCCCATTAAACACTACCAACTCTGGGATTGGCGGGGAGCTGCCAAGAGCCGGCCATGAATGTCACCTCGGCAAGAATAAGGTACTACCGACTAACACCGAGCAGGAAGCTGCCATCTAATCTAATCATATGGATCTAATTTGGCCCACCTCAATGTCACTGAACCACTGAGAGTGATTCCTCCCCTGCATCGAGCAATGCTTCTGCAAATATTGATGTCTTGTGAGATGGAACGAAGAAGTCTGGTCCGCGACCCAGCCTGGCTTGCCATTTTATCCAAGTGAAAGTACAAAATGACGAGATACGGCACCATGACAAGACATCCCACCGGGCGAGTCTCAGAGAACTCTCGTTTTTCAATTTGGGAAAACTTCCGTTGTCAACTCTCAGAGGCCAAGATTGGCTCTGTTCTCTTATCATGGGTCTGAAGTCATTGATTGCGTGGAGCTCCGTGCTGCTTTCCGGAGTCGCTTTCAGTCAGACCACCTCCGACGATCCTGAAGCTCTTTTCGGACCCATTTCTCCGGTCTCAGTGGACAGCGGAAGGTACATCGTCAAGTTCTCTGGAACTGGCTCGGCAAAGTTCAGAAAGCGTGATGGTAGCTTGGTATGTCTCACTGGAAGCATCGCAGCCAGTTTCATTGAAATGAATCTCTGACTTGCTGTTAGAACGCTGATGGTTTCTTCATTACCCTCGCCGAGTCCGGCCAAGAAGCGTCCCCAGCCGTGAGCTTCAACTCCCCGCTCTTCCACGGCGCTTCATTCGATCTCAAGAACACCACCGGCGAGTCCATTGCAGACATTGAAGCCTTACCTGAGGTCGAAAAGATATGGCCTGCTTCTCTTTTCACCGTGCCCACCACTAGTGCGGCAGTGGTGCAGTCGGAATTTCCCACTTGGAACCCCCACAACGACACCAATGTTGCTCTAGCACACGCCAATGGATACCTCGGAAAAGACGTCATTGTTGCCATCATCGATTCTGGTATTGACTACAACCACCCGGCTCTCGGCGGCGGGTTTGGCGCCGGTTTCAAAGTTGAGAGCGGATACGACCTTGTAGGCGACGACTATGAGCCGGGAGACATCTACATCCCCGACGAAGATCCAATCGACTGTAACGGACATGGCACTCACGTTGCGGGCATCATCGCTAGCACCAACGAGTTTGTCCCTGGCGTTGCGCCATCTGCTCGGTTGCGCGCATATAAGGTCTTTGGATGCGGTGGCAGCACCTATGAGGATGTGATAGTCGCCGGCTTTCTTCAAGCCCATGAGGAGGGTGCGGACATCATCACCGCTTCTCTTGGCTCCAATAGAGGCTTCGCAGACACCCCGTTAGCTGAAGTTGCATCGTCCATCCAGGCTGCGGGCACGTTTGTGTCCATCGCTGCTGGAAACGCTGGCGAAACAAGTATGTTCATGAGTTTACCAGCCTCCCGATTAACTATGCAGAGCTAATTAGCATTACAGACGGCCCGTGGTATACTAGCAGTGGAGGCAACGGATTCGGTAGTACTACTGTTGGAAGTGTGGAACATGACGAATTGGTTGCCTTCACGACGATCGCGCGATCCAGCAGCGGCGAGTCTCGAGAAATTGTAAGCGGAATCGAAAACCCATCGTTTGAAACATTGATTTTGACCTTGAATTTCAGATATATCTTGCCGACAACGGAGTTCAGTGGAACATCAATGGTTCCTTCCCTGCCTCCTGGCCTTCCAGTCCCAGAGACCACAGCGCATGCGGTTCTAGTGATCCAGTCCCGGACAGCAACGTTCTGATCATCCCGTAAGTCCTCCTTACCACATGAACGCCTTCGGTCTCTAACAATCCAAGTCGTGCCGATTGTGGCTGGCAAAGAACAGACAGCGGCTTGATGGGCCAGGTTGACTGGGTCTTCATCTACAACTACGAGGGTTCGGAGTGGGAGATCCCCGCTCGAGTGCGATACGCTCCCGAAAGCCAACCGAAAGGATGTGAGTTAGACGGGTAACACCACTTCAGTCCGAGACTCTGACAACTCTCAGTCAGCTTGATCACCTACGAAGATGGAGACTGGCTTGTCAGTCAGCACGAGAGCAATCACTCCGTGACTTTCGACTTCGTCAACGACCACAAGCCGGCAGCCATCGACCGTCCATCATTCGCCGGTGGGAGAATTGACCAGTTTACGTCCTGGGGACCTACCTTGGATGCCCGAATGGCTCCTCAGATCTCAGCTCCGGGTGCGTATCTTGCTTTCTCAAACATCACACACGCTAATCTCCTCAGGTGGCTCTATCTTCTCAACCTTCCCTCTCGGCTCAGGTGGATGGGCAACGCTTTCAGGAACGAGCATGGCAACACCTTATGTAAGACATTCCTGAATTGACATGGACTTCGTGCAGCTAATGGTTTAGATTGCCGGAGTTGCTGCTCTGTACTTTGCTGCCAATGGTGGAAAGGCTGCGCTTGGAGAGACTGCTGCGAAGCTGGCTCACGAGAAGATCATCGCCAGCGGCAAGCCAATTCGACACTATGACGGCACCGACAACCTGGCGTAAGTGGTCAATACCATATCTTGTCTTCAGCGACTCAGACTGACGGTAATCACAGGTCTGTTGTTCACCAGGGAGCGGGCATGGTGGACGCCTTCAAGGTGGTCAACCACTCAACAACAATCAGCCCCGTCGTTCTCAATCTCAACGATACCGACCACTTTCAGGGCGTTCATGAGGTGGAGATCACGAACTCCGGCACTGAGTCGGTAACGTATCAGCTCTACCATGAGCCGGGGATCACCATTTTCTCGAAAGGCGCTGGCGATGCCTGGACGTCCATCTCACCACCTTACGCAAGTGACGAAGGAAACATCGCAACGGCCGAATTCTCCACAGCTGAGTTGACGTTGGGCCCAGGTGAAACCGGTGCCTTTACGACGACATTCACCGAACCGTCTGCCTCTGAAGCAATCAAGCTGCCTGTCTATGGAGGCTCTATTTTGGTTGTGGGATCTCAGGGCGAGGCAATCCGAGTTACCTACATGGGTAAGTTGACCTTGCTAAGGCTGTCACCATTTCATCGACTGATATCTTGTACAGGAGTGAAAGGATCTATCTACGCAAGTGACATCTGGGAAATGCACCGCGGCACGCCCTTGCTCTTGAGTGGCTACGGCGGGCTTATGGAAGAAGGCCACAACTACACCTTCGAAGAAGGTGGCGATGTGATGCAACCTTACTTCAATGTCCTCTGGTCTACCCGGGAGATCAGCTTTGATGTGAGTAGCCTCGATTCTTTCTCATCAGGTATATCCTAATCAAACAACCTAGTATGTTGCTCGTGACTGGAACGAGTCAGACTGGGTTTACCCCATGGTTCCAGGACAGAACAAGTACTTTGGATCCTTCATCACCGTGCCTTCGGGTCTGTCCGAAACCATCACGAGCTTCCCAATCAAGAACTACCCTCGAAATGGCGGCGGTGTTTACGCTAAGCCCCAGAACAAGTTTGCTCATGGCGAGGACATCCCCATCGGCGAGTACAAGATTCTATGCCGTGCTCTTCGCACATTCGGAGACCCGAACAACTTGAACGACTGGCAGTACAAGGTTTCGCCCTGGTTCCGAGTCACAAGAGAGAAACCTCCGGTCACCGAAACTCCAACAACAACTGTCGCTCCTCCGACGCCAACTTCCACCATCAGCCTTCCTGAACCCTGTGCTGCAACCGCGACACCCATCAGCATTCAGGCTACGCTTGCATCTGGAGAGGGTCCGTACGGAATTTACCTTTACTCCGACTTTGCCGCCATCGATCTCGCAGGAAGCAAGACAAACCTGAACTTCACCTTCACGAGCGACAACCATGTTTACACATGGTATGACTCAGCATATAAGGCATTCTCGGTGCACACCAACACCAACAGTCTCATCTACGTATACACAGAAAGCAGAGTCTCAGGGGCCTTCTCTTTTCTCGACTGTTCTATCGTAGATGGCAAGCTGGACTGCGAGTCTAATGGAAAGAAGGCCTTGTATGTCTGCGACAGTGGAAACGGCCTCTTGCGTCATGGGACAGAACTACTTGATGGTTGCCAGGCTGTCACGTTGAATGTCGGATCAAGAGAGAATCCGAACTGCGCCGCTTCCACGACTTCTGTCAGCGCTACGGAAGTGACTGCAGTTCCTACTACGTTCTCGACTGCTGTTGCTACCGGGACCTCGTCGGAGACATCCAACTAAGTCTGCATCACTCATGATAATTGAGCAAGAAGCTTGAGACCGTAGAAGCCTACGTCTACGACATCACGAGATCAGAATACAGAGAAGATTTCACACCCATATCCGGACATCTTTCGTTACTCATCTTTTTTCATATACGTACTGAGATATTTGGTTGTGTTAATTGAAGCTGTGCGGGATTCAACTTGCAGCCTCATCCTCAATACAACGCGTTTGCTGCATGAACCCAGACTACTATCAAATAACTACGGCCTAGTGCTTAACCCGAATTTTGAAGCCATCGACCAATGAAAGAGTCCGTCACATTCAAGGGTAATCTTTCAGAACAATGCTGTACCCCTCCAACATAGAACTTCCTCCCGCGAAAACACTGATGTCGGCGTTTCCACCACCCATAACTCCATACAAGAATCTGTTGCCGTTCTCGTTGATCCACAAAGGGCCGCCCGACTGTCCAGCTATCGCATCTGCGTCTGTCACAACAGGCGAACCTCTCTCACAGTAGCTTGCCGCTGAAGCAGAGATTGCTTCTTGGCGGTACGGCCTCACGCCACCCTTGTCACCAGGGTAACCGTAGTGAAAGAACATAGCCCGGTTGAGCTGAGTATCCGGGTTCACAACCTTCAGGCCCAAGTGACCATACTTGGAAGCCTCCCCGAGTCTGTCGGCGATGATGAAGATGGCCCAGTCGTATGCATTAGCGCACCAGCCTTCCTGTCCGTAGTCTGGCCTCCAAACGCGGATGATCTGAGAACCGCCGAGCACCTCGCCATTATCGTAAGCGGGTTGGAAGCGAGCGGGTGAGTTGTCCTGGATGCAGTGACGCGCCGCTGCGACGTGTCGGGGCCCAATCATGGAGGCGCTGCAGAAGATGCCATTGTCGTGCATGATCCTCCCCATGGCACTGTAAGGGTACTCTCTATTGGTCCACAACACGCGGTTGTCTGCCCCGATGATATCGCGCTTCTCAAGGGGCCCAACATGTGAAGGAAGAAACTCCGTAAAGTTTCCCCCTTGCAACCCTGCGATATTAATGTCGATAATTTCGGGCGGTTGGTGGCTGAAGAGCCTGTTTGACTTGCCAGAGGCAACATCAGGGTCAAACCCCAGTGGATTCTTGAGAGTGCTTGGATTCGGGAGGTTGATAGCTTCAGTTGCCGGGGCACCAAGTGCAGACTGGCAATGCCACAAAGCAGCCGAGACCGCAAAGACAGTAACAGGAACCATTCTAGAGGCGATTGTAGAGGGAAAATCAGAAACACAATTGATCTTAGTGCTCTGGCTTGGTTTAGGAAATCTTTTGTTTCTATAGAGACGTCTGGGGGCATTTTATATTTGAGGAGGTCGCATGAGAGACTTGGTACCATTGTGCAGTGTTGCTTACAACGTTTGGCTCAAAGCCCTTCTCTGTGCCAAGGTTGTGAGAAACTTTGACGCAGTCATATGACGCAGCTTTGGGCCACTGGTTTCCTTCTGAAAGTGGTCATAATCATAGCTAGGAACTTGAGTCCGAGGTGCTCCTTACCCACGTAGTTGCTTTCCAACCCTCAAATCAAGTCGGGGCTTCTCGCTGATGCGCATATGCAAGTGTAAGCTTATGTTGCCATTGTCTATTAAGTTTCCATGGGCTGGAGCCGACGTTGCTTCGAACGAATACGAGTAGGATTGAATGGCGTGGTGGTTCATTTATCCGGGCCTGCCTCATGAGTCTTGATTGGGTAGGTCGCATTGCGCCTCTCGTTGAAAAGTAAGGTAATGTTCGACTTTAAATTTCAAGGAATTTCAAGGAAGGCCACCGAAAACTTACGATGCATATGATACGTATGAGGCATAAGGTTTCATTACCTGTAAAATCAAGATCTATTCCCGTCTCACATACCTTACGAAGTGGTGTCGAGAGAAAGATCTAAGCAGGAGTACTGTAGCGCCTGGCTTCAGAGAAAACATGTGTCAGCTATGTTTTTCTACTGCTGACAGCTTACAGGTATTGGGTATGCCATGTCATGGCATGATGAAATGTATCTGAGATACTCAAACAGGTATCAATTCCACTTTCCACGTGACCTCTCTCTCGCCTATTACACGGGCGTATTACACGGGCGAAGATGCACGAGTATTGCGTGCCGACGTCTGCCAAGTCTTTCGGACGAACACAACATGAAATCAAGCCATTACATATGTCGGTTAGCCATGAGTTCTCTCTGTACGTAAGTGCTTATATGATTGTCATATGTAGTCTTCAACCAAGTATGAGAGCCCATTTGGGCACCTAATGCAATATCCTATGCAATACAATGCAGCTACTACCCATTTGGGCACTAATGCCCTCGAGGACGATCACCCCTTCTGCTGTTCAATGATCGACAAAGTCTCTTGCTCACTCACTCCTCAGCGTTATAATGCGATATCTCATGCAACTGAGTATCTTGATGAATATGGGCGCAAGTAGTGAGGTTCAGCTGATCATTCAACCAACTAGAGTTATGTAATATTCCTGGGAGATCACATGGTAACAAGTATGGGTGACTCTTGTCCAGCTGAGAACAGTCACAGAACCCGTTAGGTTCAATTGAATATCCATTCTGTAATGGTTCGCATCGCTGGAATCCGCGAAGGTCTGACGTTTGGGGCTGAGCTCACACTGGAAGCCAGATTCTGTCGCCCCTATTTCAAGCTCGACTCTGACGTCTGCCGGATCTGCTGCGTCATATATATATATATATATCTGGGATATACTCTTTCTGTTAGTACGAAAACGAAAACGATGAATCATTTGTGAACTTGACCCAGTCCTAGTATGCCCAGGCGCTAGAGCAGTGCATCATGAGGATTGAAGGGCCATACTATGACCACATAAGAACGATCACCCCGGTTGATCGATTTGAAATATGTCAGCGGCAGGGGTATCTAGGCTCTTGTCATATTCCAGAGCTTCTAGAATACCTTCAGGATTCTAGCGTGATGCGGTATTAACGTGAAAACATGGAACAACCCTTGCTTCTAGATCGGGTCTACGGACCGGCTATCCTCGACTACATGTAGACTGCATGTTAGTCCACACCAGTCCACATTCCGGATGACCTAAACGTTCTTGTTGCTGGGTTTTCCTCTTATTAATCTGGCGGCAGGCACTATGGAAACAAAGCATAGTGAAGTATGATGTCGACACCGGCGTCAAGCCCAGAACCGTTGCGTCTTTTGGAGTAATCCAACGGGAATTTCATAGCATGTCGTGTCTGTCCAAGACTTTTTCCGAAGTAGAAGGTATCATAGATTTATTTGCCGCAGCTATGGTACAGAGAAATTCTGGAAAGGAATAAATGAAGTTCCTAGACCTTCTTGCTGTTGGTATGTAGGACCAGCCGTTGCAACAGACCCGGCGAGAACCTCGAAAGGAACTTGTTCGCCCCCTGAGAAGCCCTTTAAGTCCCCCCAGCTTCCCTGGTTACCCCCTATGACGCCTTCTCTGTGACAGATTGGGGGTGTTAGTTGGGTTGATGGATCCAAGATTGATGAGCTGTGATCATTCCTCTGCCGTGGTGTTGCATCTTGAAACCCTGGCCATGTCGGATGCTGTTTTTGTGACATTTGACTTGTGTCGAAAGAATAGGTTTGACTTAATGAGAGACTGTCCGAAAATGAACGGTGATGTCCGGAGTGGTGTGAACTCGGTGGGGCAATGCTTGACCTCGACGGATGGAATGGAATCTTGCCACCTTGCAAGGTTTGGTTCGCCCCCCAGTTCATGTTCGAAACGCTGTCCTTCCGAAATCTCTCGTCTTGCGTAATCGGTGGTGGTGATTGTGTGAATGGTTGGTGGTTGGTAATGATCGTGTCTCCGGTGTGGATTCCGTGAATCTTCTTCAGAAGTGACGGAGAATATCGCTGGAAGAATCTGTTGGACATCTTGGGAACGTAGCCGGCCGCCTTCCCGTTCAGAAGTGCAACATGCTCAGCTTTGAGTTCCTCAAGTCTGAGGATGAAGAGCCGCGCCGAAGTGATTGTGTCGCTGAGAATCGAAAGCTCGTCTACGGAACGACTAAAAAGCTCGGGGGATGACGTGAAGAAGCTTGCTGACATTGGCGAGCCTGCGAAAGGAGCTACGCAGACGCCTAAACCCTGAGGGCTCTGGTCGTCCGCGTAATAAACGCCGTGATTCAGGATAGTTGCAGCAGTGAATATGCAAAACCCCACAAAAGCTGGTAACGGCTGAGTGACCGTCTCTCTTGTCAAACTGGCGAGTTCGATGATTGCAATTGCATGACGAAAAGCTGTCTCCGTTGCTTCAACCACCCAGTGTTGTATCATCTTGACCCCTGAAGACTCGCTCAGCCGCAATGGGAGGATGGGGCGATGAATGAGACAGTGGATGAGATGGAAGGTCATTTTGCAAATGAAGGACAAGTTCGGTCCAGGTCCTTCCGGTGCTTGTTCTTGAGGTTCTGAACTGCGGCTGATGCTTGATGCCCACAGATCCAAATCATGCATAATCTTGTGTCGTTGGCAGTAGGCAGCTTGCGAAGCCGTGTCGCTGAGCAGAATGTATCGGTTCGCCTCTGATAGAATTTGGGTTAACCAAACAAGATTCCGAAGTTCTCCGGCGGGATCCTTCGAGTTACCCCTTGGATCATCGCCCTGCGAAATCTTAATCATGTCGCTGGCTGGCCCCCAACTGCTCTGATATGACTGCTGAGACGACTGGATATCTGCCTTGATCAGAGAATCGTCCATGAGTGAAGGACGCTCGAGCCACGCCGAAACAAAACCATTCATGACGTAACATGTCCAGAAGAGCTTTCTGCTGAGTTCGTGATCGAGTTGGCTACCGTCGTGATTGTCTGGTTGAGAATGCAGTTCAAGCGTCATGGCCATCCCAACCGCCTGGGCTTTTCACCATGTCAGTATTCGTATCATGAGAAAATAGCAATTAGGAATACTCACAAAGAAGCGCATAAGCTCTTTTCCCGTTTCCCACCGCAGCAAACGCCGATACCAACAATAGCAAAGCTTGGCAAGAGTCAAGTGAGGCCTCGCACGGATCGATGTCTCTTTGTGACCAAGCAGCATACGTCTCCATGGTAACATGGCTGCTTGGCCCTCGGCCAGGTCGCTCAGAGAAACTGACAAAGTGTTAGACCACTTGTGCTACCAGCACTGCATCTTCTTACATACCCCGTGGCAACCGCGCAGATGGCATAGAGCACAGATTTAGGAAGTTGGTTGGTCGCCAATTTCCGCCGGGTAATTGCTTCATCGAGTACCTCATAAGGGTTACGGTGAAAATTGCTGAAATAGACATCCATTAATCCTTCTGCGTTGAGTGTAGCGGAAACCTCCCTACATCAGGTTAGATGGGAGTTCCAACCACTGAAATTAGCCATCGGGATGACTTTAGTACTCACGAGGTCGCTTCGAAGATGCCTCCTCTCAAGGTGCTGAAAGGACTGATGTCGGATGAGGCAGAGCCACAAGGGTCGGACGTTCCAGCTCTGTATGAGTTCGGTTCGCTGAAGTCGGAAGTGATGATGTCTGTTCCCGGTGGCGTGGGTGTCTTTTCTGACTTGAGAAGCTCCTCTAGGCCATCGATTCTCTTGATCAAAGCGCTAAGTGATTCCTTCTTTGGGCCTCTTTTCTTCGGTACTCCCTCTGCAACCTCGTCAGCCCCGATCGAGAAAGAATTCAACTTATCAATACAACAGATAAGTGTGAGGCATTTCGTACCATAGAAACATGACCGTTGGTAGAGGTGGCAAACTCCGCAAGCAGGTAGAGCTCTGTCACACTTGATCTACCCGCCCGGAAACCGTCGATCAGAAAACAAGCTTAACAGTCAAACTAAGATCACCAACCTTGCGGATCTGACATGGCTTGCAGTTCATTACTCCCTTCGAAGCTTTGGCTGCCGGGCTGTTTTGCGGACTCTCAGAGTTTCTATTCGCGGTCGACATTGTTCAAGAGAGTGCCGTGTGTTGCAATTTGGAATCTTTCGTCTTGTATCCAACCCAATCGCTTTCCAGATGTGCCAACATGTTGATATTAAGTGCGGCTCATGTTTTGAAAAACCAAACATGCAAGCCAAGTTGAGTGCCAGCCGGCCCATGCGTCGCGTTCCGGCACCTCCTTTTCCGTGTGGGACTTACGTTTTGATTGATTTCCCCAGCTCCGACTGCGGGATAATTGGTGTTGATACTCGACCCCTCGCTGTGATACCAGTTACATGTGAGGAAACATCAGATGAGCTTGTCCATTTGCTTGGGATTCTCGTTGAAACCCGTCTCACACCACGGCCGGGCGGGGGTGGTCTTGATGAACAAACATGTTCATGATGACTAGAAAGACCTAGGGTTCCTTGGCTTGTGTGATATGGGCGAAAGAGTTACCCATGTTCAGACACGATGGCGGCTTGTCTGAGGTCGGGGAAGCTGACCGACGCGTCGGCGCCAATATCAGCGGGAATGCGCAGAGCATGACATCTGTGACAACTGACGTCTTGTGACATTGTGGCGAAGTGTCAACCCTGCGAGTTGGGATGAATCAGACTGAGACAGAAGAATGGTGAAGAAATGACGCAAAGTCGATTTCGTGCCTGGAATGCCCCTACAATTACATGGGTGCCTGGCGAGACTACCGGGGGCACCCTTGTGCCACAAAAACAGGTTGAGCTCCCTTGGAATCAGAAGCTTTTGGAGCAAGAGGCGTTCTTCTCCGCATGTTCTGTAGATCATCGATCGTGCAGTAGCGATCACGAAGCCAAAGTCGACTTCTGTGGTGGGTAGTAAATAAGCGATGGTTTCACGGTAACTGCTGATGTAACGCGCCGTCGCATCATCCCCCAGATCAAGTTGGGAGATTATATATGTGTGGTTATCGACTGCGGCCAAGCCCGAATCGAAGCTATCTAGATGAACGTATTCATCGTAAATCGAGCACAAGAACGGGAGATTCCGACTTCATGTGGCTCATCCTTGGCACCCGTCTCAGTTTGGGCTGATGGCTGAGCTGATGCCTATAACGACCCGAATCCTCGGAGATGAAGCTGTTCACGAGGTCTGTGCCAAACTGCTTATGACAATGTAAGCGCTGATCCGGCCGGTATATTACGACCCAGCAGTGCGGTTTGAGGCTCTGTGATCTGCATGTTCCTAGGGCTGAAGAGACTCAAACCGAGCAGAGGCCGCGGATTGGTTAAGGCACCGTTTCACTTCTGCCGCTCCGTCGAGAATTCGGGCACGTAATACTCAGGTGGTGAATGGAGAATATCTTGGCTTTCAGAAGATGCTTTTCGGCTGTTTCCTTTCATGTGGTTGACAGAAGTTAAGGGCATCATGTCACCTGTCATCCTAAACTGTTGGCAGGTCGGCGTACTACCTTCCGAGACACCTTGGCGAATGGAAACCCGGCCCCAAAAGACCAATTAAGCTTCTTACAAAGAAAGCAGGGGCTTCCATGACAATTGTCAATGCAAGACAGGAACATACACAGCGCCATTGGTGGACGACGATGTCCGGGCTCCCCGGCTTGGCGGCAGTCTGTCGGCTTTTGTGAGAGAAAGCCGATCTTTTCCGGTTTTTAGTATATGAACATCCACATCAACGGCCTTCGTCCTCGTGGAGGCCTCGAAGAGATCTAAAACATGCTCACTTGGGAGATAAGACGACGTTAGACAGAGCCTTCTCTTGTGTCAGCTTCCAGGAACCGGAAGTTGAGTCCCGTTGTCATCGGATCCGAGTAAACATGCCTAAATCTCTCCACGTCTTTTCTTGTTTTCTCTCGATCTGTCTGTAAACATTGTGGCTTGTATGTGGCATTGCCTACAGTAGTATGTGCCTGCGTCGATACTCATACCCTCAAAGGAATAGCCAATTTCATCACAGATTATGAAAACACATTCAATGAGAATGGAATTTGTTAGAACTGAAGCTTTGTGGCGAACACCGCTGTCGTGGAATTTTTCTTACTCAACCACAATACACCAATACCGATTGGATGGCTAAGACTGCTCAACTACATGTCGTCTCAATTTCTATCCGTGTGACCGGCGGGCGGAGTGATTCTGAATGGATGCGGAGTAATAATCACTCATTTCTTGTTAAGATGAAAATTCGGCGCTTTCTCTCTGTGCATCATATTTGTGCTGGACTATTATTGTCCTCAACGAGACTGTCGTTTCTGTTATGGAAGAGGTTGAATCATTCTCGGTAACTGCCGGTATGCTATTATTGAAGCTTTATCGTCAGTGTGCCTTAGGAAAGTGACTTGCGTATGTGATGTTTGATCTCCCCAGGGCTTGTTTTGAAGTTGGAAAAGTTTCAAAATCCGATCACACCTCATTTGAGCCCACCACGGCCATTGCCGTGAGCATTATGACCTACTAAGGTAGCAAATGCCCATCATTCTGAAATAGGCAGACGAAAATTTCCTCTTACTGCCAGAATCAGTAATCGTGATGTCTCTGAGACGCACCAGATCGCATCGATTGCGTGCACGAGACATCATCTGGTCTGAGTGTGTTGGCCAAGACTGACCTATTACTGATGCTCTCCTGTCCTCGGCACAACCAAGCGCCGCGTCTCTGACCACGCGTCAGCCTTTCTCAATGAATCACATTCTCTTATGGCAGTCGTCAGCCATCAAACTGACCGCATAGAGTATGGCAATTGGCTTTGATTCGACGTTGTGACCCGTTCTTATCTTTCATGGCCTTCGCAGGTTTAGTTTTCCTGCGACTTCAACAAAAATGGGCAAGTCGATCAGATCCAAAACGATATCAATGTGAGCAGACCAATTGAAATGAACATCATCTAATATGTCTCTATCTTAATTTGAACGAAGTCCTGTTATCGCTAGAGAGTTCGTTTGCGCGGTTTGGAAACCTCACAGCTAACCCGAATGAGTAGGAGGCTGGGCATCCGGCTCATCCCAAGGAATTAATCCTTTCGATATCTATTGCGTTCGCAGATCGTACAGCCTATGCCATTAGACGTCATGATCACATTCATGTTTGTCATAGTTTGATACGTTCGTTAATGTTTCTGAAACCAGGAGCCTTTTGCGGTAAATATCCTCTACAACGAGAGTAAAGCAAGCTCTTGGGGTTTGAGCCAAACCTAGTTACCGGACTGGTGTAACCCAGTAAACTACAACAGACCGTCTTGGGACTAGTAATCGCTCCGACCGAGTTAATGAAGCATTGTGTATCCATCTGTGAAGTTCAGTCGGCGAAGCAGTAAACTGGTATTAGACATCAATTGAATACTCCAATGAACATAATTCAGGGTCTCTTACTACCTACTTATTGATCCAACGCCCATCCCATGGATCAAAGGCGCGATGGCCATCGCCATCCTGATAGACGAATCGTCCCGTTTCCCTGTCATACACTTGACCTGTACGGCGCTGCGAAGCCCACGGCCCCGTCGCGAGATCATACTTCTCAGGTGCTGTAGGGAACACGAAAAAATGGCTCAGGGGGCGATCGTTACATCGCGCGTGAACCTCGACGCCGAGCTTCTGACCAGCCTTGACAGACTTCTTTCCGATAACAGAAGATGCGTCGTAAGCGCCAAAGCGCTGGAAGTAGATAGCTTTGAGGTTCTCGCACTTTCCCGACTCCAGCATCCTCGCAACGGCTTCGTCGACAATCTCGATATCGGCATTCTCCATTGGGAAGTTTCCGTTGTGGTTCTCGAGTCTCAGAACCAAAATCTCGGTGCTTCTGGGGAGCTTGTCATGAAACCACTCGGAGAATGTTTTGAGTGCCATCGTTTGATCAGCCCATGCGGATTCCCCGGTATCTTTCCTGGCTTCTTCCAAAATGTTGGTCATCAACAGATCGTAGCATTTCAACTTTTGAAACTTATCAGAGTTGAAAGCCAAGACACTGTAGTCTCTCCAAAACGGCGAGGCGTAGAATATGATGGTTTCCAAGCTTTCGACCTGCGCTTCCATCGCTTCATTGATGACTTCATCAGCGTTGAAAGCTTGTCCTCCCCTCAGTGCGAATGTGACAAGACTTTTGGGAGCGCGGAGCATGGTTTTCATGTAGCAGTCGAGAGTTAGGTTGCAGTCGTCCAAAAACAAATGTTCAACTGAAGATGAACCAGGCGACACATCAGTTTCGTCATCCCAATCTGCTTCATTTTCCTCGTTCCAACGCCTATCGCCACCGGCAACGTATACAGACTTCACATTTGGCAGATGAAGAAGGCTGAATGCTACAGCTGGTGGTTGTCTCATGTCGTTGCCGAATCCAGAGTCGATGCCGATTGCGACTTCTCGTAGAGATGCCAGACCCTGCGGCCAATGCTTCTTGTCGTTGCTCATAAAAATCACCTTGTAAAGCCAATTTAGACTGGAAGATCTTTCACTACGCCGTATAAGTCAATGATTGAGACCCAAAGAAGAAAACAGGTTGAATACTCACCGAGCATCGTTACTCGCGGCTTGTCCACTGCTTGCGTACCTCAACGTCTTGAGTCGTGGACAGAGGCAGAAGAGGAGCACTTTCAGTATTCCATCGTTGCCGCCTTGTATCTCTTCCCATGCTCGAGTTGCTTGAGAGTCCGATATCCCGACCACGTCTTGCAAATATTGGATATGCGTTTCGAGTTCTTCGCGTCGGAAGAACCGGTCAATCCGCGGGTCCCACCCCGAGATGTCAAAATCGCGCACCGTAGAAAGGGACTCTTGCAACCCATGTCCAGACGACTCGTCGTCACTATCCTCCTCCTCCTCCTCCTCCTCCTCCTCCTCCTCCTCCTCCTCCTCCTCCTCCTCCTCGTCACTCTCAGTATCTATGTCATCTTCATCCATCTCTTCGTCGCTGTAACTTTTGCCGTGATCATCGCTCATATCATCATCGATGATACCCTGCTCACGTCGGTAGACTGATAGAAACGGCTGCCAATCTTCCCAACAAAAGCGGGAGCCCCACGATTCAAAAGTGCGCACATTCCATGCCACAATAGGATCTTGGACGATCCTGCGTAGCAAGGTTGGCACGGTAGTAGGATTCAGATCTGAAGAGACCCCAAACTGGGCGTGCGCGTCTCGATGGCGCTTGAGAATATCCTGCGACAAGTTTGCAATTTTCTTGCATGTGAGTGCGAAATTGAGATGATTCTGAGGTCCAGCAAAGCCATGGATGCAGTCAATCAGCTCTGGCGGGAAGTTGACGATCGCCGGAGTTCTTATTGCCACCGGGAGGTGATCGTGAGATACGGCGTGGTCTCTCATGGCGATAGAGAACCATGAGACGCGAATAGTTGGTGTGATGACCAGGAGAAAACCGATATTGGTTCACCTAAAAATATGACTCGACCTCTGAGATTGGGCCAGCCAGAGGTGGTTGGTTGTCGAGACATACGGATATACGCGGTCAAGCGAAAGTTCATTTTGGTGGTTGGTGTTTAGGCACCAACCGTCAGGTGACTGCCAAGTCTTGACTGCAAGCGGCGCAGCTTGAGCACACAATCGTTTTGCTTCAGCGATTTCTTGAATTGGTGACATGTGAATTCCTAAAGAACCAAGCAGCCAAGACATCAACAACATGTCACGCCGACTAACGACATATACATGATGTTGAAAATGTACTCCACCAAAACTGGGTTCTTGATGTCGAATAAGTTCGGTGACGTCGGTGAGAGGACCCGCAAGAGCCTATTCAACGGAACCGGGGTCGGTGTGCTGCGCCAGCGGGGTTGCTTCTCTATCGACTGGGGCGGTCTCGACTTCATTTTTCTTTGAATGAGAATGTTTTTGGTATATGGCCGGATGTCCATGTTTCTCTTTTCAAAACGTGCTTTCATCAAGTCAGCTGGCCACAAGAAAGACGCACCCCAAGATCAAGCAGCGTCTCGACTGCTCTATGTTATGTCCTCAAACAGATAACCTCAACTATCATTTTGTAACTCTTTCCAAGAGACTGGATTGTTTTTGTCCGTGTCTTGAAATCGTGAAGCTGCTATCTAAGGCGGCACTCATCATAAATAGCCTCGGAGTGGGTTCCGAGGCGGTGCCCTGGTCATTATATACTGCCCAGCAATAGAAGAGCATTAGTACGATACCATCTGGTTTCACGTCTATTCTTCTAGCACGGAAATAACTCGTTCCAGAATCTCGGCTTCAGTCCGACGCCACCATCGCGTTGCCTTCGAGAAACCAAGTACGCTAGCTTTCGCGGTAAGCTGAGGATTGATAATGTGGAACCAACTTCGACGTCATCGTTCTTTGAAACCCAGGAGCACGACATTCCCGCACGCGCGGCGCCCGCTCACCCCGCGAGCTTACTTGCAGACCGCAAAAGTGAGGTCGTCGTTCAACCCGATACAGCTGGAGAGCCTCCGTAGGGCCGACGAAGTCCCGTCCATGACAGGGGCTTTTGGAGGTCAGTTTAGGCAGCTTGCCACTCTGTCACATGATGGTTCTTCAGAGTACGCATCATAAGTGGTTCTTGGGCGGGCGGTTGTCTTCGGCTCCAGCATCTTGGGAGAATGAGAGCCACAGGTTCCTGTGGGAGTTATCCACCTCCATTCACGCCTTAGGCGCCGAGGTCTGGTTTTCTTTTTCGTCTCCAACGTCAGTTGCCTCAAGAACTCGGTCCTATCTTAGGGCTCACGACTGGGATATGAACTCCACTCATGTTGTCCAAGAACTTGATCCCTCGGTGTGGGGCCGAGGGTACAGAATTTTCCGGACCGGCGATGGCCTCCTTGCTTGGCGTTGGATTCCCGCCGTTGGCCGTTCCCTCTAGCCGCGAACCGGCACCGGCACACAACCTTGTGCCAACCGCTTTGGTCGGTTAGATTGTGGCGCCAGAGTCGTCATTCTCAGCAGTTTCATTTAGCGTGTTAGTGAAGACATCACGGCCATTACCTATCATTTGAATGTTTCATGCGGTCTCCATCCCGCTAATATCGTCTTTGCCGTTAAGATACTGTTTGTTTTTCTCTCTGTGTTTTCTGCGCCTCTCAAGGACATGGACGTGGGCCCGGTTTATCCTCGCGTCAGGCATCTCTCGCCTGAGATGTGGAGTAGAACGGCTAACGCAACCGTCCAAGAGTCAGGGACTCAGGGTCCTGCCTCGTTTGGTTGACGGTTGATGCCTGATAGGATACGATGTAATGAAGATCTCTTCACAAGACAAGACTTTTGTTTGTCAACAAAGGCAGGTAGCGCCGTAGCAGCATGGAAACCACGTTTTACCGGGTCTTGACAGTTTGACAGTCCTGGATCAACCAGTTCTGCGGTAAAGAGATCGGCGTTCCTGTTTCTGCCGTGCAGTTTGATATCAGTCTGGGCAGAAAATACTTCGATAGCCACCAAGGTGAAACTGGCGATAGCAGGACATCGACATGATTGAGAGGTCAAACGCCGAGTCCACGAATACGTCAGCGTACATGAGATGCCGGTCCAAGATGCAGAGTTTTGTGCGCCAAGGAGACCAAACATCGGCTTCATTGCCATTTTGCGAAGTCCAAAGTCACCAAACCAACACAACAAAGCGGGCCCGAGTCAGTTCATTCTGAATTTGCGGGAAATTGAACCCGGGCGGTGGACGTGTGGGTGAAAGATTGAACAGCCAACGACAGACCGTCATCTTCTCTGGCCCGGCTGTTTTTCCGCACAAACTCCCCAGCCATCGGGAATGGTCTCTGGGGTTTCGGTGGACTCGTCTTGAGTTTCAATCAGTTCACCCTTGGCTTGGCCCGGTGACGGTCGCCTCGCGCGTCTGCCCGGATTACCCGATTAGGAAAACCGAGGCCGGTGAAAAACTCCGTCGCCCGACGACGTCATCCCGATGACTGGATACACAGATCGGGATGCAGATCCCACTTAAACTCCATAAATAACCGCAGTAATATTTTGGAGAACTGGACACTGAAAGACTTGGAGGATGAGCATTTGGGCTAAACGAGGAATCCATTCCTCAGACACAAGCAATTTGGCCAAGTGCGCGTGTATCCAGATAAATGTCTTGACTTTCTGGGCGATTTGGGTCTCAGAGTCTTAGCAAGTAGACAAGCCTTTTGACGAGTATTGGCACTTGGATGACATTCAACTACATGTCAAATTCATCTCTAAAATGTCTACGAAAAAAGAGACAACTTGAGTCGGAGACTAACAATCAAACCGATTCTTTCTCGTCCGAACCAATACGTCATTCTCTCCACCCACTGCCCAAAAGTCGTCACCAACAACTGCCGACGTTGACAAATCGCGTGCGAGTATTTCAACTTGAAACCTGGTTCTGTCGCCGTTCCCCACGGCCGGGTCCAACTTAAATCTCGAACAGGGCCAAAGAGAGGCAGCAAAATGGTCGTGTAGAGAGTCAGAATCCGCAGCTGCAAGCGCTCGCAGCGGCTACATTACCACCCTGCCTCGTAGACGTCTAAACGAAGAGCCAGACAGCCTCGTCGGCTCGGCGCTTCTTTCTCTGTTAAGCCAGGTTCGGCCCAAGGTTGCCGCAGGGTTCACACAGGGTCCCCTGACTCGCATATGTGGGTGGCGGCGGCGCACATAACGCTCAGGCTAGGACTGAAATGAACATGAACCAACTGAATGTAACTGTCCGTTACGCCCTCCAGCCAATACGAACATGCACAAATGGCTCCAAAGGTGTCCGTCAGCTTGCACTACTTATCAGTCTCTATCAGAGATTTCAGGTATGACGTCGCGGTCTCCAGCAAATCCCCATCTCATATCCACCGATAATGTGCGATAATGGACACGACTGCGGCTCTTCTGGGTCCTCCGTCGAGTCCTTCTGCTCCGCTTCATCGGTCTGTCAACAAATCATGTTTGCTCGTCGCCTCTGTCTCACTCTACTTCCGTATCGGTGTCTCTCCGAATTCTGCCGCGCAAAAGCAGCGTGAGAAGTTCTCCACGGGCGCGTCGCGGCGGTGAGACCACCGTATTGCAACGTCTTGTGCCTTTCCTCGCGCCGCATTGGTCCGTCCTGGACCCATGCTCTCCTCGACGGCGTCTTGGCCGACCTGACGACATGCCTCCTTGCCTTGCCCATCCCCGTGGACCTACATAGGAAGTGGGGAGTTCCTTTCACCCCCTCCGGGTCGGAGGCCCCTCCACCATCTCCAGGGCGGACCCTCCAGAGGGATCTTGGATCGTACGGGGATTGGGGGAAATCGGGGCATGTCTTTGGGGGACGGCTGGGGATTGGTTGACTGGGGTTCTTGTGGTGTTGGGTGTACACACGGCGCCAGGGTCTGAGGCTGGCACGAGTAGGAGTAGGTTGAATGTGTTATTGTACGACTGCAAGGAATCGGGAGAGAGTTCAATCTCTGGCACGGTGACGTTGCCGATCTTTACCCTGGAACGACAGGACTCGGCTTTCATCTAAAAGGACGTCGCGCGCCGTCTGATTCACGGTGTTTCTTTACATTGCAACCTCTCAACCCGAGCATCTGGATTCTTCGACAGACCATCCTGCAGCTTCCGACGTCGTCTGGTCTTCATCACTAAGATCTGTCAGCTGTGAATCGAGTCTTCAACATGGGCAACTACTTCGGCCTTCGAGGCAAGAGCCTCAACTGGGCGATCAGCATCATCGCCGGTTGTGATTTCCTGCTCTTCGGATACGGTATGTCCTACCATCTCCAAATCCCTCGATCATGGGGAAGCATACTAACTAGGCCTTTTCAGACCAGGGTGTCACCGGCGGTATTCTCACCCTTCCTGCCTTCCAGGAACAGTTCCCCTCTATCAACCCCGAGGAGGATGGCATCTCGGGACCCCTCAGGAGCGAGCGCGCCACCGCGCAAGGTATTGCTGTCGCATCTTACAACCTCGGCTGCTTCATCGGCGCCATTATCACCATCTTCATCGGTAACCCTCTCGGTCGCAAGCGCATGATTATCCTCGGTACTGCTATCATGATCATCGGTGCTGCCCTCCAGGCCTCTGCTTTCACTGTCGAACACTTCATCATCGGACGTATCATCACTGGTCTTGGAAACGGAGGCAACACATCGACAGTACCTACCTGGCAATCAGAGACATGCAGTGCTCACAAGCGCGGCAAGCTTGTCATGATCGAAGGTGCCCTCATCAGCGGTGGTATCATGATTTCCTATTGGATCGACCTCGGCATGTCCTTCGCTCCTGGATCTGTCGCATGGAGATTCCCTCTTGCGCTCCAGATCGCCTTCTGCATCTTCATTCTCGCCTTCGTCTGGAACCTGCCTGAGTCCCCCCGCTGGCTCATTCTGAAGGACCGTCACGAAGAGGCTAAGAATGTCATCGCCGCCATCGCCGACTTGCCGCAGGAGGACGACTACGTCCAGAACGAGTACAAGGTCATGAAGGAGACCGTCGAAGAAATGTCCAAGGGCAGCTTCGCAGACCTCTTCACCATGGACAAGAACCGCAACTTCCACCGCACTCTCATCGCCTACGTCAACCAGATGTTCCAACAGATTTGCGGTATCAACCTCATTACCTACTACGCTGCTGTCATCTACTCTAACTTGGGCATGTCCCGTTTCATGTCTCATCTCCTCGCTGCTCTCAACGGTACCGAGTACTTCATTGCTTCTTGGCCTGCCGTGTTTTTGGTTGAGCGCGTCGGTCGCCGCAAGCTTATGCTCTTCGGCGCGGTTGGCCAGGCTGTTACCATGGCTATCCTCGCTGGTGTCAATTCTCAGAACACCTTCGCCTGCCAGGTCGTTGGCATTGTGTTCCTGTTCGTCTTCAACACCTTCTTCGCAGTCGGCTGGCTCGGCATGACCTGGCTTTACCCCGCCGAGATCGTTCCTCTGCGCATTCGTGCCCCGGCCAACGCTCTCTCCACCTCTGCCAACTGGATCTTCAACTTCATGGTAAGTCTATTGACATTAAACGTCTTGAAGGCTGCAGTGCTAACCACAACAGGTTGTCATGATCACCCCCGTTGCCTTCGAAACCATCAAGCACCACACCTACACAATCTTCGCCGTTATCAACGCCTTCATCGTTCCCTGCGTCTACTTCTTCTTCCCCGAGACCGCTTACCGCTCCCTCGAGGAGATGGACTCCATCTTCGCCAAGGTCGGCAGCGGCTGGAAGGGTGCTTTCACCGTTGTCAAGACCGCCGCCACGGAGCCCCACCGCTACGGCAAGAACGGCGAGCTTCTCATCCACTACGACGACGTCAAGGAGGCCGAGGGCCGCGCCACCACCCGCGAGAACCGAGGCGACGGTGCCAGCAGCAGCGACTCTGTCAACAACGCGCAGGGCGGCATCTGGACTCGCCAGGACGAGGAGACCCAGAACGTCGAGAAGTCCGAGAAGATGTAAAAGGCCTCGTCGACGAGCGGGATGGTCCCCTGGATGGGAAGAATTGGCTCGGCCAGGGGCCGCGCATACCAGCGACATTCATCGCTACGAATTATGCCCTTGCCGAAACTTCATCGGCTTTCTCATGTTGGGCACGATATAATACCAAGTGTCATTTTTCCTCTTCTTTGATTGATAGAGCTGTTGGGCTCTACGCACTGTTGAGATACCACTAGATTGAACTAGAGTTCACGCATTAGATACCACACGCAGCTGTTAATGATAACATCGCGGATCTTTAAAATCTTTCTCTCCCTCCAGTGAACATATTACATTGGTCTTCATTCAGTTGGTGTCAGTTCCTTGTCACTATGTGAAGTAGAACTTCAATTTGCCTGCATCTCCATATTCGCCCTACCACATATGCCCAACATATTTGATGTTTGATGTATCCCTCGCACTTACATCTGACACCAGATCGGGCGAATGTAACATCGTTACAGTGCCATCGAAGCACCATGAGACCATGAAACTGCAGCCGCGCGTGATTCTGTGAATCAACAGCAATAGTAGTGTCCCTTGCCTACCTGCCTGCAGGCGAAACATCCATCTCGGCTGCCTCCCTTACAATTAACCAACATATTCGACTGTTCTAGCCCAAAACACCATGCGCGGAGCGCCGCGGAGCGCAGTCCGAACCACCGAGCCTCAAGTCTCCCCCCGGGGCCCCCCATGAACCCTACCCCGCAAACCCCAGGCCATTGCCAGTTCGCCCCTGACCCCAAAAGTACCCTTCCGAACATGGCCCCCGTATTCAGCTGACATACCTCCCCTTCAGACCATGCCTCGGGTTTCCCTTTCCGGAAACCCGGAGAGGGAAACTGCAAGCCCACGGCCGCGAACTCTGCTCAACTCAGCTGACAAACATCTGAACCGGCCGGGCGAACGGCACGGTCTCAGACGTCCGATATCTTGGTATTTTCGCCATTCGCCTGGCGGTGGAGGCAGCTTGAGCCGCCACCGATGTTCGGGCCGAAGGGACGTCTGACTCGATGCTGAGATCGACGACGTGAATTGTCTCAGACCCCATGGGGAAGTTGTAGTGGACTATTAGGAAGGGGATTTGATCGGGCTTCGGACGGCCCTCCGTTAGCTCGATGCTGTGTTTCCAAACGACGTGAATACCTTGCATTAGTGTATCACCGCCGACGCCGATCTGTTACCTTCTTTTATTAGTGATGATCTGCTTAAGATGATAGAAGATGACCTCTTTCCATAAGCATACCTGTTTAAATGATATATTCAGCTCAAAATGGAAAGCAATCTCACATAATCCTTCAGGCGATCCGGAATACTGTGAGCCATTCTCCACAGCTGCTCACTGGAAGGTGCTCCGAGGATGTCGCACCGCTTATTCCTCTTGGGTAGGATTACGTTGTTTTGAAACCCGACTGTGATTGACACGGTCTACTTTATGTGTAAATCCCGCGGGACTGGCGAGTGAGTAGGAATTGAAGGCTGAACATCAATTATCACAGGCTACGAAAGACTCTTCGACATCTGTAAGGCAACATGAAGATAAAGATTTTCGATGACTATCAAAATGGAAACACTCTGCCGCGGAGGGACATTTCCATCGAGCGCACTACAATCCACCAAATATATCCGAGGTCCCTACCGCATCGGCGTTCTTATCAAACAGCGCCATGATATGTTTCTGACCCAAGGCAGAGGCTATGTCCAACGGGGTCCTTTGCTCCTTGTCCTCGGCAAGGACGTCCAAACCTTTATCCACCAAGTATCTAAACATGTTTCCGCGCTTCTCGGACCGCTCATTAGACCCGGACTTATCAGCGGCTACAACGTGGAGCAGTGTTTCCTGGTCATGATTGACCATTGTCAAGTCCACCCCTGCTTCTACCAAGAACTCAAACACATGTTCCTCAAGCCCTGTGAAGACTTCGTCGACACCATTCTGAGTGACTCCACTATGGCGGAAGAGAAAGAACGCAGGCGACTCGCCATTCACGTTGCGTGCGTTGACATCGGCACCGGTTGCGATAAGCCGCTTGAACAGTTCTCGACGTAGCCCTTCCACTCTTCCATCCTCCGTCACATACCACCGGCCCCAGAGAAGATAGTGAAGAGCCGTGTTTCCCTCGTTGTCGCGGGCGAATGGGTCTGCGCCAGCATCCAACAGAGCCATTGTTTCATCCAAGTGCCGCCACGCAGCCAAATGCAACGGTGTGATGCCATTGTCGCACGCTTGATTGACGAGGTTTGGAGCTTTCTCGATGATGAAGTTCGTCATGTCAAGTTGCGGATTTCGGCGGCGGACAAGGTGATGAAGAACGTTCTGGTTCTTATAATCTCTGGCATGTATGTCCGCTCCGCGCTTCGCAAGGGTGCCAAGAACCGTGATGCCAAAGTCTGTGTCGGGCTCGCCGGAGTTGCCAACCGACATGTTCTCGCGATGGGCCGCAGCCAGTAACAGGGTCTCGCCAGAAGCATCGCGCTGTTCCAGATCTGCAGCAGGTAGCTCTTGGAAAAGCCACAGAAAACATTTCAGCTTGAGAATATGGTGAAGAACGGTCGTCTTGCGATATCTCGCGCATGTATTTGCGCCGTGGCGGACCAATGTCCGAGCCATGACTTCGTAAGTCTCGCGATCGGCGTGGTTGTGTGGTGTTTTGGAGGTCTTGCGCGCAACGTAGTGAAGTGGATACATCGTTTTCGCCTCCGCGTCTGTGAGTTCCTCGAAAGCACTTTCGGTTTTGAAGAAGGGGCTGGGATTTCGTGCTTCTTCAGAGAAGGGATTAAGGCCAAACGGATCGTTCCTGGCGGAGAAGAAATCTTGTGCTCCAGATTCTTCTTTTTCTTGCGTGACCCGACGTATGTTGGGATCAGCACCATGAGACAGGAATGCCTCTAAAGTTTCCAGGTCTTTGCTGTTGATAACCTGGGAGATCGCGTCAGGCGTCACCGTAGCGCCATTCTGAAGCAACATTCTCATCAACTCGGCATCTTTGGAAGCTCGCGCAAGGCAAGAGATGCCCTTGTCGTCGACAGAATCAACATTTGATCCAAGTTTGATAAGCGTCTCGACAGTCCTTCTGTTAAACGTCAAACTTCCGATCTGTTCGAGGGCCACATTCAACGGTGTGAGACCATTGTCGTCCCGTACCTCCATCGAAGCGCCTGCTTTAACGAGGTAAGGTAGAGCCTCAGAAATCTGCCACCACGATCCACCGCGAATAAGAGCGTGTAACACACTGCCGCCATCTGATTCTGTGCCAGGAGTAACTGCACCAAAGAATCCAGGCTTGGAAGTCGACTTTTGGGTACATGCGTTTAAGTTGACGCCAGCTGACTCGACAAGGATTTGAACGACGTCCATGTTACGCTCCGTACAGCTACAAGCGTGGATCAAAAGCGGCGGAACGTATCTGTCTCCTTGATCTCTGTTGTTTTGCTTGGCCCAATCTGGGCTCTCGAGCTTAGAGATGACTTCTGGAGTTGCCAACCGCGCTAGTTTCGCGGTGTCGGCACCCGACACCAGTCGATGCAGATTCGTCATCCCACGGCCGTCATCGGCTAAGGCGTCCATCTCCATGAGTCTCTTCTCTGCAGCAGCAGGATCTCTGAGTCCTAAAAGCACTTGTGCGCGTGAAGACTCGAGAGAAGGCCACTGGGGCCGCAGCAAATCGTCTCCTGGCGTGGACTTCTGGCGCATCCGTATCCTTTCAAGACAGGCAGCTGCGGCAGAATCGACAGTACTATACTTTGTCGTCGGTTGGATGGCTTTCCGAGTTTGTAGAAGACACTCGACAATGAAATCAAGCTTCTGTTGCGCTGCAGAAGTGATCGCTTCGTCAATTGCTTCGACCCGGACACCACCGGACTTCGCAAGGATGTCCAAAATCTCATGGATCCTCTCGGTGTGATAGTCTCGGTCGTTATACTGCAGGTCAACTTGGTCCGCAATCATGACATTTTCAAGGTCCGCCTGGTTACGATAAGCGCGCATTTCCTTGTGCAGCTTTTCATATTCAACACAGCCCTGCCATGCGGACCCTTCGTAACTGTTTGTTTGAACTTTGGCCCCGGCTTGAACCAACAACTTGACAGTTTCGATGTTTCCGGACGCACAGGCATAGTACAATGGAGTCCTGCCCAGAGAATCTGTCGAGTCGATTCCCGATGGCATCTCATCTACAGCAGGTGATGACATCAATGCTTCGATAAGCATCCCAACGATGTTAGTCTGTCGATTTTTGGTGGCGATGTGCAAGGCCGTCAACCCCTCATGAGTAGACTTCCGGGGGTCAGCTCCGGTCTCTAGCAATCTTCGAACTTGCCATTCAGAGAATGTCGAAGCCAAGTGGAGAACAGTAACTCCACGTTTGTCTGAGTGGTTAAGGTTCTTTTGAAGTCCCAGAATCGTGTGGAAGAGTGGTATCTCTCCGTTCTTATCACGGAACTGACTGCTCTTCCGACTCCCTAGTAGGTGAAGGGGAGTCTTGCCATCAATGTCTGGGCGGTCTGGACTAAGTCCAGTACCGATGAATGCGTCAAACAGGTACTCTACCTCACGGTAGTAATAGTAACGTCTCTCACAACCCAGGGCTAGATGCCAAAGAGTGTTCCCTGCCTCGTCAGTGTGGTGAGGGTTGATTCCGCAGCCGACGAGGTAATTGACAAACCTGGCGTTCAGACCGCCGTATGCGACGTAACCCTGAAGTAGGTTGTATCCATTGGCATCGGTAGTCTGTAAGAGAGCACCAGCGGCCGTCATCTTCTGGCATAGCTCTTCGGGGGTTCGATCGTCCGAAGACGAGCCAGTTGATGAGGAAGCCATGTCCCGTACCATCTTATACAAAGGCGTTTGCCCGTATTTATCCGTCAGATCCAGTTGAGCACCAGCACCTAAGAGGCTGTAGAAAAGATGATCTTGATATGTCCTACTTTCGCCGAAAGAAAGTCGGCATTTGAAGGTCAAGACATGCAAGGGCGTCTCGCCTTCCAAGTTGCGGTGATTAAAGTCTCCTCCAGAACTCAGGAGACTCTCGACTAGACGCTTGGTTTTATCGCTTTCTTCCGAGAGCCTTGCGAGATAATGAAAGACCCCGTCACCGTTCGCATCGGTCTCATGTAGGTAGGCTCCTGCTTCCACCAGCTGAATGGCCTTGTCCAGTTGGTTTCTATTCCGGTTCAATGAAGAAAGTAGGATGTTATCGCCTCTAGTCGTCTGCAGTCTATTCCGTACTGCCGAATCTTCAAGAAGAGTCTGTATCACTTCGGTATTGTCCGAGGTGTGCAACAAAGTCTGGCCCAGCTTGTTGAATGCGTTTGGATCTGCGCCGGCATCTAGCAGTATCCTCACAGTTATGGCGTCTCTGGCGTCGTGAAGGGGGGTGTTATCTTCCTGGTCAAGCTGATGTACGTTGGCACCCGCTGCCAGCAACAGCTCGAAGCACTCAATGATGACCTGCGGCTCGGCTTTCTTATCAAACACGTAGGACCCCCAAGGTGCTGCCATCGTATGTAAAGGTGACTTCCCCTTCGAACCTGGTTCCCCCTTCAAGCTGTTGGGATCCGCACCTCTGTCAAGTAAGAGCTTGATCATTTGAGGATCGGTAACATTGCATGCTGTAAAAAGCGGTGTGTCCCATGAGCTCTGTGGACCATTTTGATGGAAAGGATCGTTGCAGCCATCATATGGATGTAGCCTTGCGTTGACATCAGCCAAGGGGTTGTCAAGGATCTTTTCCGCCACGAGCGACATTTTGTATCTGACTGCGGTATGCAGCGCGACGTTGAGCTCCTCTGATGTTCTCAGATACGGCACAAACGAGGCTGAAGCTTCTTCATGTCCACGGTCACAGGCACGATGGAAGGCGGTATTCCCAGAGTGATTACCAGTCCTACATGTGCCACCGAAGTGAAACATATCGTTACGTTCCAGATCTTTGACGGACGCATCGGCCCCTGCATCGAGGAGTTTGACAATGGTGCCGGGGCAGTTATTCATAGCTGCATGATGCAATGCGTTGAACCCTCTGTGATCAAATGTATTCAGGTCGTTGCAGTATTGCAGGAGCAAGCCCACAATCTCTTCATTACCTTGACGTGCGGCATATGGAAGACACAACTCGTTGTCCTTGTTGACACATATTTCCTCGCCTACTTTTGCGCGCTCCAGAAGATGTTTCGTGTAATCCTTGAGGCCAAGAACAATGGCGGTCAGCAGAGGGGTGGTGTCGTCTTCAATGTGCCATATTCCAGCGAGATATCCCCATTTGCGGAAGTTATCGCCGAAGAAAAATTTGTCTAGGACAATGTTGACCTCGGTCTGATCGTATCCTATGGAAGCAGCCTTCTTGGCATGGATGTGCCAGTTTGACACGGCGTACCGGAGGAGCGGAGCAGATAGCCATTTCTCGTCCACGTTCCCGCCTTGTGGCCGACCAAACGCGTTTGCAAGAAAGTGATTCTTGGCCACCTCAACATCATCCAGGTATCCAGATCGGAGGTAAGCAAGACAAGCCAGGGCAAGATTGTTGTGGGTAGGTCCGAATTCAAGGATGGGATATCCTTGTGTGTCTACCTCCCGCGTCGATCCGTTCAGGAACTCCGTAAGTGAGTGATGCACGACGCATATAGTCTCGTCGGGTAGATTTTCGAGAAGCGGACCGCAAGCGGCGCGAACGAGTTGCTTCATCTCTTTGAGACCTCGTTTGTCTTCGGGATATCGTAACATCTTGAGAGAAAAGGAGATCATTTCGGCCAGCTCAAGTAACCTCATAGGGCGATTTGCGTGGGTCACCCACTGCATGATCATGCGCTGGATCGGCTCCGCCACGCCTGACCGTCTGGCATGTTCTCGCAGGAGTTTGTCGTACATTACGTTGAGGTCGTCAGGCAGCTCTTTGAGAACGTCTTTCACTCGCGCCCCTGGGCGAAGAAACGCATCCATGGCTAGCTTGGCGTAAAGAAAGAGGCCATTCGCCCTGCCTGGGACTGCTTTCTGGATGGATTCATGGTCTCCGGGTGGGATCGCAGATTCTGAAAGCCGGGATCGAACATAGACAGCGATGTCTGCGTCGACCATATCTTCTTCGAGCCGAATATTGAGAGATCTTGCCAATCGGAGAGGTATCTCCACGCTAGGGACCGGCCGACTGGTGATGACAATTTTGAAGTCAGAGGGCCTCCAATGGCTCAGCGTAGAGAGGTGTTGCAGAAAGTCTTCCATTGCATCGTCTTGGTTCATCTCGTCCAGTGCGTCAACAATGCAGTATGCTTTTGGAAGGTAGGAAAGAGCAGTTCGTAGAAGGCTCCAAAGGTCTGCAATGGAGATACTCTCCAAGGAACGGCTCTCGTCGAGAAAACCCTTCAGCCGAAGTTGCAACGGTGGGCTGAACTTCAAAATTTGCGCCAACCAGTCCCGTATAGCTGATACTGGCTTGTTGTTTGCGTCGATGATCTGGCGGAAGAAAAAGTACAGTACCGGGACGCCTTCTTGAGCGAGGTGATGAATCAGGGTGGCTGCAAAGACCGACTTCCCCGATCCTGGTATGCCTGTAATAACTGTTAGCTGACCGTCAGAACTTCGGGATTGAATCCAGCAGCCATACCCCGAATCCAAAGCAGCCCGTGCTGGTCGATGGAGTGCCATGTTTGGAAGACCGGAGAAGCAAGGAGCCATTGTCCGGTGCCGGCGAGATGAGAGGAAATGTGCTTGTTGTATTCGCTGCTTTCGTCGTCGTAGGCTGTTGGGTGCAGCCACTTTCTGATTTCATCTAGGGTCTCTGCAGGTTGTGGGAGTATGTTGTCCTCGTTGAAGTCACTCACATCATCCCTGGTGAGTATCACCGGTTCGTCATCCCCAGAGAACTTGTTCGCTTCAACTTTCGCAGAATCTGCTCCGAAGATACCCCCGAAGATACCTGAAGCCATGACCAGACCAAAATACGATGGCAATCTGAGAGATGTAGGTGGCAAAAGTGTGAGAAAACAATTGCGGAGTGATGCTGACAACCGACAGGGGGGTTTAGGCAGCCGAGAGGCAGCGGCAATTTTATTGGTGATTTTCTGAGATGGGACTAGTCTAATATTATCTTCTCCCTACCGAGAATCTAGTGATACCACCTGTAGGCTTTTGTCTATGAACAACTCGAGCATTGTCTTGCGTGCCGGTAATACGTTTTGTTTGGTTGAGTTGACTTATAGTATCATGTCCATCGAACCAATGTCTGTGACATATCCAGCTGAGCTTTAGACAGCAGTAGCGGTGAAGGTGCCGGATCCGCTGATGCACTTGACGCCGCTGCCAGGAGTGCCGGAGTGGGCGCAAGTGTACTGAGGGTCCGCAGTGGTGATGTCGGCCGTGTAGGTGGTGTCAATGCCCGGGATGTAAACGTACGGCGCGATGTTTTGAATGCCGCCGGGAACCGCGACAGTGGCCGTGACATCGGTGGGTTGACCGTACCGGGTGCAAGTGTTGTTGGCAGATACACCGGTGTTGGTGTCACTGGAAGAGGTCAGCAGCGTTCGCAATCAGAGTTCTTCAAGAACTTCGAGTCTTACAAGGAAGTGGCACAGTGGTAGTTGGTACCGTCAGTGAAGGCTAGGTTGAAAGCGAAGGTGAGGTTGCTGTTGTTGTACGGCTGGGGCTCGGCGACGACGTTGGTGAAGTACTGCGTCCAAGTGGCGCGGCGCTCTGTGGCGGGAGCCGCGGAGGCAATGGTGGCAAGGGCAGCAATGACGGTGAACTTCATGTTGATGACGGTGAAACGAATGACAAAGTGTATGAGATGTGGTTGAGCGAGTGACTGAAAAGAGATGGTTTGACGGATGTGCTGTGATGAGATTCAGTCGAACAGGAGCTGAAAGGTTCGACATATATACTCAAGGCCGCATCAACAAGAGTGAACCAGAATATAGCAATACGAGGCCCATGATCCCGTAGTTCTGAAAGAATATTGAGGAACAAGAAATCCCGAGAATGCGAATAGCTCGGGATCGTGAAGTCTCCAAAATACATTGCAAGGACTTTCGGTAAGGCTTAATACGAGGATCACTAATCCCTAGATGGACTCCAACTGAATAGCTCTCAGCTTCGTTTCTGGCGATCCCACCGGCCCCATCTCTCAAGTTCGCATGAACCGAGACCTTTACAACATTGCTACCCTTGTGAATGAGGATTTCTAGCAATGAGACATGACAGCTATCAGGGCAATCAACACGGATTAATGCTCTGAAGAAGTGAGGACATCTTTGACGGTGGCTAACAACCAGGGAGCCATCAAGTACCGTCAAGTTAAGCAGTATGGATGGAAATATGTGAGACCTTTTCTGATGCTCATGCAATGAGTAGATGCAATGTTACTGTCTGGCCATTTCACAAAACAAATGCGAACAACTTGATTCATGGGAAAGCACACCGCATCAAAGCCTTGAAAAGCAGGCCTGTACACCTTCCTGCTGGTAAAAGACCAGGTCTACGCAGTGGAAATACTATCTAGAAAAGGAAATCTAAGCGCCGTGACCCATTATGTAGAACCCCTGAAATTGCTTTGGTTGGCCAGCCCTAGAGACCAGATTCAAGGTTCAGCATGGTACCAGTTTACAGCCATTTCCGACATGGATGTACTGTATTTATGGTCACCTAAGGTGTAGACGAAGAGATGAAGGGGGCTTGCAATTCGTAGGTATGTGCTCGAGGGGTCTGTGATGGACGAATTAGGGAAGAATGCTGACGCAGTGGTTAACGCATCTTCTGGTCGCAAACAACAGCACAATATCACATTCATGATGATCAGTAGCAAGTGCATAGAATGGATTTTTGAAGAAGCATTGTTGTCATGAAACGTCCATAACTCACGTCCGTTCAAGCCGACGGATATTCAAGAAGAGGCTCTCATCGTTGTTTGGTCCCAAAACACACCGTTCTTCGCGTTATACTGAAGAGAAGCATTCTTGTATACGGTACCAAGTATGTTACTGAGTTTGTTCTCATGGTTCACCTACTTCCGTTGCTTGGCCCCGCAAGTGTTTACCTCACTACAAGTTCCTCAGTTCCAGCATACATACAAGGGATATGCAGAGCCATGAACATATGGTTCGGCAGTTGAATCGTAAGTGCGAGCCAAGATCAATATTTTATTTCCCTACACCTTCACAATCGTCCGTATTCACTGTAATTTCATGTGATATCGACATGGGCTTCAGGCTGCTCATGCTCCACGGCATGTCGGCAACCGGCTACCCCTGAAATTGATGCTATTTACGTTTCGATGCCGTGTTTAAACGTCTATGTGGAGGTTCTAGACTCTACTCGTCTAATTCTAGAATACCGCGGCTCGTATCTACAGCTTAGCCTGTTCCACTGCCGTCAACTTGCGCAAGGGCGGCCCGCCACGGCTTCCATCTCCTAGCTTCAATGCCTCCTGCGTTCCGCTAGACTCTCTCAGTCTCCACTTGTGCCTCAACTCCGGCGACGCCTTCTCCTCAAAGCAATCCGCAGCATACTTGCCCAACACAGGAAGGAACTTGAAAGCGCTGATACAAAGTTGATATTAGCTGGCTGTCCTCTTGTGGGGCATCTTCATTTGGGTGTTCACTTACTGTCCTGCACCGCCGGTAGCGAAGAAAAGCCCATCAATGGACGGGTGATAGTCCATGATAAAATCTCCCTCGGGTGTATCCGAGTACCAGCATAACCGCCGGTTAATCCAACCCCGAGACGCGAACTCAGGTGCAAGCTGGCGGACGCCGTCGCGCAGACCCTCGTCGGCATCGTCCGGAAGATATCCGCTGCTCGCATTACTGCCGTCCCGCTTCGGCGCAGAAATCACCCTCTCAGATGCCCCTGCACCGCTCTCACCGACGCGCACTTCCGTCGCGTACCCGTACCCGTGACGCGCGAACTTGAGGATGGGGTTCTTGCCCTTGGTGGGAGGGAACACGAACACCCCGGTCTGGAAGTTGATCATGACAGGCATATCCTTGAGCCGCTCAGCCTCCTCCTCCGTGAGCTGGATGAAGCCGACCGGCTGACCGGACGCAGAGCTGGCGTGGGTGATGGGGATGAGACGGTTCGTCCAAGCTCCCGTCGCGAGGATGACCTGCTCCCCGAGAACGGGCGGTCCCTCGACAACATTGACACCGACGACCCTTCCCTGCTCCATCTTCAAAGATGTGACGGTACCTCGGGCCCCGGCGATGAAGTGGACGCCTAGCTGGCTACACTCCGAAGCCATCTGCGCGATCGCCCCCTTGGCGTCGGCCCATCCGCCTTTCGGGTTGATACAAGCCTGCAGCCCCGAGAAGTCCGCCTTGGCGCTCGGGTACTCCTTTTGGATATCCTTGGCGTCGTCGTAGTTGATGAGTTTCAGTCCCGACTTCGCGGCGACCTCTTTCGCTCCGTCGAGATAAGAATTGCCCTTCCGGTCCGCGAGCATGACGAAGCCGGACTCGTGGTAGTGGTCTGAGTACTGCGTGTTCCAACCCTCGTACGACTCGCGGGCCATTTGGCCGTAGACGGGGTCGGCATAGTCGACGCGGATGATGCGGGAGATGTCGACGCTGCTGCCGTCCGGCACGGGAGGGAGGAAGCGGTCGATGACGGTGATGTGACGGTATCCGCGCTTCTTCAACTCCAGGGCCGTAGACAGGCCGAAGACGCCAGCGCCTACGATTACGATGGGCGCATCTTTGGGGGTGCGTTTGGACACCATGTTGCTGGATTCTGTTGGGGCTGATGTTGTGATGAGGAGGAGATAATGAACTCGAAATGCCTCTCAATATTCAAAGGAAGTCAGACTATAAAACCAAATATATAACAATAACTCGTCTTATAAGAATACGAAAGTTATCAGAAGATTCTCGATTGATGTTTCCGCTGAATTGTGATGTTATCATCGTCATCCAATCGGCCTCCTTGATATCGGGGGGAGGATATCGGTGAGTGGACATGTGGGTACGGAACACGGGCCGTCCCCACTTCTACGGGGGCAAGCGCCGGGCCCCTCCGGGAACGGAGCTTTCGTAAGGTAGACTGGCACTAGGAACTGCATTTCCATGCCTAACTTGAATGGTACAGATGCATCGGCAAGACAATCTGCTCAATTATGCTTATTCTGTCGATAAGATCCTTCTATAGCACGTTCTCTCACACCACAGCTGTTCAAGGACCCCATGGCGGCACTTCCACGGCGAATCGAGGGTGATTACTGTAAAATGCAAGGTCAGTACGGAGCTCGCAGAACACTTCCACATCAATAACTCACTCAGCGTTCTTGACAGCTTTCTCGGGATCCTCCCTCGCAAACTGCTTGCAGTAATCCACATCGTAGCCGTAATCAATCGTCCCCAGCACATCCCTGAAATGCGTCGCCTCGTGGATGATAGTACTGTAACTCATCAGCAACCTTCACCAGATCTCTTCGCGCCATCATCGGCACCTACTCCCATTGATTGCGATGCCGTCCCGTGGGAGGCAACATCGCCTCGTTGAAATAAACACTGCAGATCCTCACGTCGCCGTATCTGCCGCCGATAGTGGCGTACACGGCGTTGCTGGTGCACGAGCAGTCGTAGCTGAACGTCGTCGCCAGATCGGGCGCGAATTTCTGCGCAGTTACGGCATCTTAGCACGTCGCCTCACAATCCCGGTTGTGAATCGATCCATACCTTGAAGGCGGTCAGGACCCGGTTGTACCTCTCGGTGCTGAACGTGCCGTACCACGTCGTCTGGATCTCGCTGCCGTTGGGGTTCGCTTCGAGGTGGTCGATGGCGGCGTAGGACTTGTTGGTGGCGCGCTCGATGGCCGCCTCGAGCGTCGCGATCTGGGAGTCGGAGCAGGACGTGAAGGTCGCGGCCAAGGCGCCGGACACGACGGCGAGGAGACTGCCCAGCTGGAGAACTCTCATCTTGAGCATCTGAGATCTACGAGAAATCGGTCAAGATCAACGAAGATCTCGTTCTTAGCCGGCGAACAAATGCCGTGTTTTTGTACCGAGAATTGCGTGTTTACCGTCATTCCTTGGCATGCGTCTTTTAGGAAGGTAGCCAGGTTCTCGGGTTCCATTTGCCATTTGAAGGAATCAATCCGCACTGCGGTGCATTATCTCGTATTGATAGAACAACTTGGCGCCATTCAATCACTCATTACTTGGATATTTAAGCTGCCTATTAATTGATTGCTATGCGTCTCGCCCCGTGAAGGCGGCTCAGGCGGGAGACTCCGCGCAGATCATCGGGGGTGAGATCGGGAGCCGTCCCGCCTGCCGCCGTCATGCTTCACCGGATGTGGAGACTGATCGCGTGCTCATCCGCTTTCTCTCTTGAGTCATAATTCCGTGGCTGACGATATACCACTATACTCAGTGAACCCCCATTCATGACTATGTTCCCAGATTCAACCAGTCATCAATGGCCCGCCCGTAGTCATTCCCGTCGAAGAACCTATTCGCCTGGTCTCCAAACGGCCCTACACCCTCGAAAAAGATGTCCTCAAACGACGGTCCGCCCGCAATATCGCCTACTAAAGGCTCATGAGGTAGATGGTCAGGCAGATTGGTAGGAGCCGCTTCCTCGTTGGGAGGCCAGACCCCGGCCTCGTTCGGCATCGCCTTGTGGCGTGAGATCCCCGTGGACCCCACGAGATCAAACTCCGCCGCTCGATCTTCGGCCGATAGCTCCGTGGGGTCAGACTTCAGTGACGGACCGAACATGGACTGATCCCATCCGGCATCGGGCCTGACCGCCCTGTCGTAGATGAGAAGATCCCATAGCAGCCGGGTGTTGATCGAGAACGATAGGTTTTGAGAGGCACCGTCTTCTTGGTTCGGCGATGGCTTCATGACGATGCTGTCTTGAAGTCTCATCAAGTTATTCGCCTGCGGATACGTCAGTCTGCCTGAAATTTGACGACAGTGGGATTTCTCATACCATGTTGGCAACACACGGCCAGATCAGTCCCATCCTCCTCAAGAACCCCATACACTTCTCGAACCCCGACTGAGCCTTCCCCCGAAGCACCGAATCCTGCACAAAGCTGTGCTGCAGGTGGATAGTCGCGACTATGACAACGCAATGCGCCAGAATCGGATCCGAGACCTGAACGCCCTTCTTCTCCACCACGTCGATGAAGTAAATCACCCACCCCGCGTTCCGGTTAATAGCCTCGAACGACTGGCGCATGAAATGAATCGGGATCGTGTGCCGGAAGTTCCGCAACCTCATCGACAGGAGGAAGGGATGGTTGACCAGGCACGGTATCGTCTCGTGGACGAGCTGGATGAAGAGGAACGGCATCCACCAGTGCCGCCGCTCCTGGATCGCCTCCGGGGTGAAGTCGCCTATCCTGTTGTTCGCGAAGCGGTACTTCACGGACGAGCGGCAGTCGATCTCGTGATGGCTCTGCATGACCATGGAGTAGTCGGACCGCGAGTCCCAGGGGGGCGGGGCGTCGGGCCCGATGCGGCTGGCGGCGTAGGTGCGGGCTATGCGCCAGGTGACGCCGAAGTTGATCGCGAGGGTCGAGATGGTCTTGTCGAGCGGTTCTTCGAGGTGCTTGAGGGAGAAGTCGGAGGTGATGCAGGAGGATAGTACGTTGAAGGCCAGGTTCGGGTTGTGGGAGCCGGGAAGAGGTTGGAGGGGGTTTATGGCGGGGGCGATGCAGCCCTGGAGGTTCTGGAGGGCGACGATGCTTTTGAAGCAGAGCTTTCTCTCGTGGGCGTTTCGAGGGTTCGCGGAGGGCGGGATGCTGTGAGCCAAGTGGCTGGCGATGCTTAAGTTGAGGCCTGACTGCGTGACGTTCCCAGCTTTGAGGGGTATGATTAGCAGGGGGAGGAACCTGGCGTTTGCGAGTTACTTACAGGCAAAGTCAAACATGCTGAGGAGGCAAAGTGATTGTAATGTCGAGAGCTCGACGTTCCCTTCCAAAACGCGCTCCATTACCATACGTCTCGCTGACTTGGCCTTATTCTGGAGTTTCTCCTCGATCTGAGGGGTCAACGAACCGGGAGGAAAACGCAGTGCGAGCGCTTCAAGTGAGAGAATCAACTCGGGATCCCGAGATGAGATAGATGAGAGGAAGGCATCTTCTGAGAATAGGATTATGGGCTGGCTGTGACACCATGTGAGGTATAGTCGGCCGACGGTGTTGAGATCCACCTCGGTCGTGACGGATGTGCTGCTCAGAACTTCGTCAGTAAGATGCGAAGGCAATCCGTGGTTCATGATGGAAGGCACCTAGAATTCTCAATACTTGGCTGTGGCATGTTGTCAGACTTGGATGCGGCGTCTTCGGTGGCTAGACTGGGTTTGGGTGAGAGAACATGCGTCGACGAAGCAGGTCTCGCGGACTGTGGATCAGGACTGGGAAAGATTCAGTGGTATGCGAATGTCGAGCTACGATTATGGATGTCACCTCAAATGCTGGATCAACCGATCCATCTTGTCCTCAAGACTGTTCATGCGACTCTCCTATCCAAATTAGCGGATGCCAATATCGGCCGGTTATCAGAGGTTCACGAACCATGTCTCTGTTATGCCTCGACTGCTGCGTGTCGGGGCCGTCGTTCGAAGCGTTGTATATGCACTGCTGTCCAAGTCGCTCGCAGTAAGAGCAGATAGGTCTTTCGCCCGGACATTTTGATTTCTTCCGACTTGCGACCACGGCTTGTCAGGTTCTCGAGCCGAACGCGTGCGGGGTGGCGAGACCTCTCACCGACAGGGCTCACACGCCTGGCGTGCTCGCTTCGCATAGCGGGCCTCATCCATCGTGCTCGTATGAGTATGGCCATTCAATGAATCACTATCTCAAATCAGTATGAGAGACTCATGATGCGGCATGTGGCTGAGTTACCGCCAAGCGATCCGTCTCATTCGCGATGAGAATCGGGTGTCAGGATGAGCAGCCGAGGAGCATTGTTGAGATGCAAATGAGCGCAGTTCTCGAAATGTCTCAAACAAGTGCTATTTTGAAGTAATTGTTAAGCTGAAAGATGAGATACCGGGATTGGGTGGTCATGAGACCTATCTCTGAGGATGCAGCTTGAGAGGGAAGGGTGCAGATATGTGCCCCGCAGTGCCACAGAAGCCGAGATACCGGCGGCGGATGACGAGTCCGTGCCGCAGGGAGCCCCACTCGTGGTAGATAACCATTGACGCCACCAGATTCCTGGCTCTTCATCTTCTTCACAACATCAACTTCAATTTCAGTGGACTTGTTACCACGTCTAAGTATGCGATCTCCCGTCATATTTTTATGCTGACAAAGGTACCCTATGGTGCTTAGGTCAGACACGAGACTTTCGGTACACCGCAGAGGTATCTATCTGTCTGATCTCCGTCACTGACCTGTTGGCCTCACTGACCATTTGGCCTCACCCATGATCGTCACCAACTCAATATGCGCCTTTGGACGCCACCAGACCAGGCTGCCAACCTTCACCCATAGTCTGCGTTCTTTTCATACATGTCAACAGTCACAGGGGCCGTAGCTCAACGGTAGAGCACTTGCCTCCCAGAGTCTACACCCAAACTGAAGGTAAGTATCAGTCGACTCTGCTAGGGAAGAGATGTTGTGTTCGATTCACGCCGGCTCCATATTCTTTTTTTCTCACTTTTTGCCTCTGAGGCTGTCGTAATTTCAGTGTGGCCTTTCATATTCATTTCGGAGCGTAAGTCAAAGTCCGGACAGTTCTCATTTCACCAGGCAGAGACCGAGAAATCAGTAGTCTCCAAAAACATTCAAAATTGTGAACGAGACCGTTTATCGACAGCACGCGATGCCAGCTCGAAGCATTTTCGGCTCCGGGGATGGCCCCACATCGGCACCAGCCCGGTCGGGCCGCTCCGGCGTGATCAGAAAGCACGGCATGTCACGCAGCGTCTCCATTCTGATATTGACGCATGGTCTTTCGAAAATCGGATTGGTTTATCCACTTGTAAATTCTGCTAAGCTGGCATGCGGAAGTCCGCTTGCTGAGTGAGCATCCACAGCACTGCATCCTCTCACAGGATCCAACTCGTTATCGGAGTAGGAACAACGAAGCGGCTTCTATTCATGGATATTCTGGAAATTTTCAGGCTCTTTTACTCTCCACTGATAACCATAAATGACATCACGCGAGCTGTGTCTCTCTTCACATCTTTTCTTTCTGTTTATTATCTTATCTAGGGGAAGCTCCGGCAGACGGAGGCCGACAGGGATGCCCCGCCAGCTCAGTGGTCCTATCAGAATAATGGGCCAATCAAAACTCATCAAAATCGATCAATTGGCGGCAGAGTTGGACACCCCGCAGTCCCGAGATCGGCGGCCCCTCCAAATTGTTCGATGGTGCGGGACACACGAATGACTCCCAAGACTTGCGGCTGCTACGGTCGAAAAATTCATTGTGGGCTATTACGTGAGAGAGGCTCCATTCTCGAAGCCACTTTCCACCTTCTTCAACGTCCGATCGAACCGTTTCGAGGGTCTCAATTGACTTCCTAAACTTTCCAACGCCCGCCTCCTTACCCCGCGATACCCCTCGATCCCCTCGATACCCCGATTCAGCACACACGATAGTCACCATGGCCGCCTTCCCGCCTCCTCCGGTCAACACCATTGACTGGTCCAACGTCGGCTTCAAGGTCCGCGAAGGTGAGCAGCAGCTGTCCATATCCCTATCAGCCGGCCACTACTAACTGCCTCCCTCCCAGTCAACGGCCACATCGAGTCCACATACTCCGTCTCGACCGGCCAATGGACCCCCCTCAAGTTCGTCGCGGACCCCTTCATGCGCATCCACGGCATGGCCCCGGCCCTCAACTACGGCCAGCAGGCCTACGAGGGCCTCAAGGCCTTCCGCGCCCCCGGCGATAACACCATCAACGTCTTCCGCCCCGACAAGAACGCCGTCCGCCTCCAGCACTCCGCCGACGTCGTCTCCATGCCCCGCGTCCCCGAGCAGCTCTTCCTCGACGCCGTCAAGGCCGCCGTCTCCCTCAACGCCGGCTACGTCCCGCCCCACGAGACCGGCGCCGCCATGTACATCCGCCCCCAGCTCTACGGCTCCTCCGCCCAGCTCGGCCTCAACCCCCCCGAGGAGTACGTCTTCGCCGTCTTCGTCATCCCCACCGGCGTCTACCACGGCACCCACCCCGTCAACGCCCTCATCCTCGACGACTTCGACCGCGCCGCCCCCAACGGCACCGGCCACGCCAAGGTCGGCGGCAACTACGCCCCCGTGCTGCGCTTCAGCGACCGCGCCAGGAACGAGGGCTACGGCATCACCCTGCACCTCGACAGCGTCAAGCACGAGGAGATTGACGAGTTCAGCACGAGCGGCTTCATCGGCGTCAAGAAAGACGGCGACGACGTCACTCTCGTCGTCCCGGATTCCAAGTGCGTCATCGACAGCGTGACGAGCGACAGCATCCAGCACATTGCGCGCAGCTTCGGCTGGAAGGTCGAGAAGCGGGTGGTAAGTTTTCATTGGCGCGTCGCATCATATTCAGGGAAAGCAGTGACACTGACAAACACGATGCGACAGATTAAGTACAGCGAGATCCCCACCTTCGCCGAGGTCATGGCCGCCGGCACCGCCGCCGCGCTGGTGCCCATCCGCTCCATCACGCGTCGCGTGGACCCCTCGTCCCCGCAGGCCGTGGCCGGCAAGCACGAGCGCGTGAGCAGCGCCAAGGCCGGCGAGGAGACGACGACGTACATCCCCGAGAGCGAGGAGGACGCGGGCGAGATCTGCCTCAAGCTGCTGTCGACGCTCAAGGGCATCCAGCTCGGCAAGATCGAGGACAAGTTCGGCTGGAACTTCGCCGTCAGCGAGGCGGACGGCACGGCGGTCGTGGGGGAGCAGAAGACCAACGGCTCCGCGACGACCGTTGACCAGATGAACTAAGGGGAAGGGGGGAGGCTGCCCTGCGGAGGATCTTTCAGTCCGCCTGCTGGAGTGGCCTCGGCTGGACTGACCAGAAATGGCATGGGTCAGTTGGAGCGGCTACGGGATGGGCTTGAGTTACAACAAAACAGTAAAAAGGGAAGAAAAAAGTAACGGTCTGGCCAAGGAATTTTTTGTCGTTTGTGGGGGAGGCTGACGGTTGTCTTGCCCGGTGTTCATATGGGAGGTCTAGTGTGAAAGCTCCAAAAGCCATGAATCCTTCTACCCAGCGGTCTGACAGTTTATTTTGTGACCGTTGACTACGGAGGATGCCATGGGTCCTCGACTCCTAGCTGCGCGCGCGACGCGTGCCCATCGACTCAAGATCTCGCGAGAGATTTTCTCCTCGACGAGATCAAGTCCAAAGGGTCAGATGTCAATTCCCAGCAATCTGGTCCGACACGACGATCTAATTAAACCCAATTACAGACGCGGCCGCCCGTCAAGATTTGCTCGTCGCATTAGGAAAGGGATAAAATCGCCTGGATGCACGAAATTGGTGCAAAACACTTGTTAGACCCGGAGGCCAAAAGTAGGCCGTCCCAAAGTCTTGGCGCGAAAAAAGTGAGCATGTCTTGGCGGTCCAATGGGAGCATCTTTGCCCAAAAATCCCTCTGCGACTGTAAAAATTCGCGCGTGGTCGGGGGTTGAAGCCGCGAAGTTGCGTTTTCTTAGGGCCGATAGTCGAGATGAGAGAAATTGGTAGTGCAATGGATGCGGCGACCTTGGCGGCCGCTAGCAGAAGCTTAGCAGCTCTAAACAAACCAAACACGGCCGGGGTGGAGACACTAGGATCCACTCGTCTCCGATGCGGGTCCATGTGCCCTGGGTCCACTTTCGTCCGGGGACGGCAAGGGTCGGGGCTAGTCTTCTTCGAGTGATCTTCTCTTTCTTGCGGGCGTCGGTCTCGTCGTCTACATGACGCCTGTCCCTTTTTTTCTTGGCGTTTTTCTCTCTCTGTGTGTGTGCCACCCAGATGTTTGGGCTGCCTCACCAGCTCTCGCCGTTTTTTCGTCTCTTCTTTCTGGCCATCCACTCTCTCACGAACCTTCTTCCTCGGTATATCCCGGTCGAGAATAAACAAGGCCCAGCCATCGACGAACGGGACACGGCAAGTTGAGGCATTATACTGCTGATGCGATCTTCTCCCGTATGAAGCTGTATGAAGAGGCGATGAAGGGTCTCAAGGTCTCCTCCAAAACTCCGCAACGACCATCACCATTCGTCTTCTTTTTCTCTCCGACGCCCGCTACTCTGCTCCTCCATCTGACCCGCCACGGCACCTGCATATGGCACTGGCCAGGGGAGAGAGATGGAGGGTTGTCTCGTCTGCTGGCGACGTGGCACGTGTACCCAGCCCAGTCTAAGATCATCAGATCATCTCGCGCGAGAGAGACAGAGAAGACTGAGCTAAGGAATTAAGTGAGAGACAATGAGAGACAACAAAACAACATCCCGCCTATTGTCCACTTCAAACCATTCCGTCATCTCGAAGCAATTCCATCCAGTCACTTCGGAAAGCGCCTCATCCCACCCTTCAAAACACCACCCCATCCATCCCACCCACTCGACTCGTGGACATCCATCCATCCATCCCAAAAGCCGCAGCACCTCATCCCCATACGCAGTTCATACGGTCCGAGCTAACCCCTGTCTCTGCATCTGCATATCCCGCCAGGTCGGCATCGCCAGCGGGCGCTGGCCTGCTCACAATACAGCTCGCATCGTCCGGCCTCTCGCCCACCCGGCATACCTTATTGAGATTTCCCACACACGCCATGGAATGACGCTAGCCCCGAAGCTCGAACCAACCCCAACATTGCGCCTCCTGTGCTTGTGACAATCATGTTTCTGTCACCAAAGTCTCCCGGGTCTCTGATAACACACTAGATCCCCGTCTCCGTCCAGATTATCATGCATGGCATGTGCAAGCCGCGCTACTTTTGGGAGCCTACTACGGCAGCAAGGCAGGAAATCTCCAAGGCAGGGGGGGCGTCTGGATCCCGCGGGACGACCGCAGCTGGTAGACTTGCTAGTCGAACATGGCTTTTCGGTCTAAACGACCGTCAAAGAGACCGCGTCTGCCACCCCGTGGGCGCTAGCCTGACCGCCTGGTCCATGACCCCGAGGTGGGCAAGATGGCCAAGATGAACCAAGATCCCTATAGCGCCCCCACTGTCATTATCTGCCTACTTTGCCTTTTGTCTTTGAGACGCAAATCATCGTGAGATTAGGGTAGGGCATCGGGAAGGCGGCGCCCCCATCGTCTGCGACATAAAGAAGCCATCTATCCGTCCCCTCTCCCATTGTGTGTGTGTGATTCCTCTGCTCTTTCAACTTTACCTACGTGTATCTCTGCCTCATCACCCGTCCAGGGGCCGAAGTCTGCTATTTTGCCACGCTTACTCACATCCACGCTGTGCTTTACGCCGGCGCCAAAAAGCTCCTATAACCCCCAAAACCCCATCATCAACTCCCGGACGAAAACGTCGACGACGCCTGGCATGGCCGATCCAGCTACCCCCACCACCAACCAGAGAATCAGGATTGACGACAATCTTGAGAAGCCCGACAGGGTCACATCGGGCTCGACCATCGACGAGTGGCAGAAATGGCAGCGTCCTGACGTCGGATCGAGCACCGGCGTCGCTGGCGGCATCTTCTATGGCCGAGACCTGAACCGCGTCGTCTCCCACAAGCGGAGCCTGTCGCGCGCTCGCACCAGGGACTCGACTGTCGAGGTGGAGGAGAACGGCGATGATTGGCGACGCGACGATGGGAGGAAGAAGCAGGTCTTCACCGGAACGACGCTCATTTGGTTCGTGATGATGAATATGGTTCTGTGAGACGTTGGCTGATCTTGTCGCAGGCTCGCGTACCAGTCGATTGGTGTCATCTACGGTGACATTGGAACCAGGTAAGCCGACTTTCGCTATCTGACCTGACGTTCTGACCTGACGTTGAAGCTTACATGCTCGCCAGTCCCCTCTATGTATACTCTTCGACCTTCTCGGACACCCCCAACAAGAACGACCTCACCCAGGTCCTTTCTCTCATCATCTGGTCTCTCACTCTCATGGTCACGGTCAAATATGTCTTCATCATCCTCCATGCAGACAATGAGGGCGAAGGTGGTACCTTCTCCTGCTACTCCCTCTTGACCCGATATGTGAGTCTCCCCTCATCTCTCCATGTAAACCCACAGCAACTAACATTCCTAGGCCAACATCACCACCGTCGACCCTCGCGAGGAAGCCACCCTCCACTTCGAACGCTACAATACCCAAGACGTCCGCCCGGCCACCCGCGGCATCCGCAGCGCCATCGAGAAGAGCAAAGTCACCCGAGGCTTCCTCAAAACCATCGGGGTCCTCGCCGTCTCCATGGTCATCGCCGACGGCATCCTGACCCCGGCCCAGTCCGTCCTCGGCGCCATCCAGGGCCTCTCCGTCGTCAAGCCCGACATCAGCACCGCCACCATCGTCGGCACCACCTGCGGCATCCTCGTCCTCCTCTTCCTCATCCAGCCCCTGGGCACCACCAAGCTCGCGGGCGCCTTCGCGCCCATCGTCATCATCTGGCTCGGCTTCAACGGCGCCTTCGGCATCTACAACCTCGTCAAGTACGACTACACCGTCCTCAAGGCCTTCAGCCCCTACTACGCCATCCACTTCTTCATGGAGAAGAAGACGGAGGGCTGGAAGATGCTGGGCGGCGTCCTGCTCTGCTTCACCGGCGTCGAGGCCCTCTTCGCCGACCTCGGCGCCTTCAGCATGCGCGCCGTGCAGATGAGCTGGCTGCTCTGGACGTACCCCTTCCTGATCCTCGCGTACAGCGGCCAGGCGGCCCACCTCGCCGTCTTCCCGGAGAAGTTCACGAACCCCTTCTTCAACACCGTTCCCCCGGGAATGCTCTACCCGAGTCTGATCCTGGCCGTCCTCGCGGCCATCGTCGCCTCCCAGGCCATCATCACCGCGACCTTCCAGCTCTCCTCCCAAATCATGAAGCTCTCCTACTGCCCGCAGATGAAGGTCGTCCACACCTCCGACACCTTCCACGGCCAGGTCTACGTGCCCCTCCTCAACTGGCTCCTCATGCTCGGCACCATCCTCGTCACGGCGGTCTACAACAACACCACCTCCCTCGGCCACGCCTACGGCGTCTGCGTCATCTTCGTCACCTTCTTCGACACCCTCATGGTCACCCTCGTCGCCATCCTCGTCTGGCGCTTCCCCGTCTGGGTCATCTTCGTCCCCTTCCTCGCCTTCGCCACCCTCGACGGCCTCTACCTCTCCTCCGCCCTCAACAAGGTCCCCGACGGCGCCTGGTTCACCCTCATGATCTCCGCCCTGATGGCCGCCATGTTCCTCCTCTGGCGCTTCGGCAAGGAGAACCAGTGGCGCGCCGAGAAGGAGGACCGCTTCCAGCCCAGCGCGCTGCTGGCCAAGCTCGGCGACGGCAAGCTCGCCCTCACCCCGCGCTGGGGCGGCGACCTGCTCTCCCCCGTCAGCGGCTTCGGCATCTTCTTCGACAAGACGGGCATCCAGACGCCGAGCGTCTTCACCCACTTCGCCTCCAAGCTCGGCGCCCTCCCCGACGTCTCGGTCTTCTTCCACCTGCACCCCGTCGAGGTCCCCTCCGTCCCGGACGCCGAGCGCTACCACATCTCCCGCTTCGCCAACATCCCCGGCTGCTACCGCCTCGTCGTGCGCCACGGCTTCATGGACGAGGTCGTCAGCCCCGACCTCGGCGCCCTGATTTACGAGCAGGTGCGCAGGTTCGTCGTGAGGCAGGCCATCGCGAAGGCGGCGACCGCGAGCGAAGGTGAGACCGCGACGACGATGACGTCCTGGGACGAGACGGAGGGGCCCCCGGAGCTGCGGGACGAGAAGGTCTCGGCGGAGTTGACGAAGCTCGATCGCGCTTACGCGCACAAGGTCTTGTATATCGTGGGCAAGGGACAGATGCACATCCGAACGGGGACGAACATCTTCAGGAGGCTTGTGCTGGGGACGTTCCTGTGGATGAGGGATAATACGAGGGCCAAGATTGCGAATCTAAGGCTGGCTATGGATAGGGTTGTCGAGGTCGGTTTTGTGAAGGAGATTTAGAGTAATGAAGGGTTTGGAGCTTGAGCGGGCTTAGCCTCGTAGTAATGTCAAGTTCGTTTCCCAATATCTGTCTGCTGTAGAGTGACTTTGATGGCGTGCTCAACCCTAAGTTGGAGGGAGTGTAAGGCGGCGTTGACCATCTTGGGGACATGGATTCTGAATTCTTTCCATCCATGAGTCCCATAGGGTATGTACCAACAGATTACTGGATCTCGCTGAGATTTCTGTAGACGACAAATGCGCTCAAAGGCTATCTGGGACTGTTCCCTCTCAGCAATCGTTCTCTTCCCACGTGCCTGGGTCTTCCATCCTGACCGCTCGCCATCTACTTTCCATAACTTTCAACGTCAACACACCTGTCCAGACTCCTCCACGCCGCCCGAATTCGACAACATATCCGACCTACCCACGAACGTCATGGAATGGCGACGGGGATCGTCGGGCTGCTTGAGAGCGAGCAGCAGTGCCGGCGGCCAGAAGACTGGTCGGAATTGGGCAACAGTCATGCTGTGGACGTTGTTTGTCACGATTCTGCTGCGGTTGTTTTTTGGTATTGGGAGAACAGGAGGACTTGACGCCGTGTTAGCACTGCGCAGCGCAGTTAGAAAAGAACTAGTGATGGATTTGGGGCGGCCGCGAGTATTTGTTCTAATATGAACCCTTGTCTCAAGCCTTAGATCCAACTCGAAAGTTCTTTGCGCCGCGTTTTGAGTCTGTGAAGTCGCGGGCCCACTCAGTCAGAATCCTCCTCGCTTTCAGGCAGCTGAAGGGCCCGTTTCAACTCTCTCTTGAACTGCTTTACTGACTTGTTCCCCTCATGCAGCTCCTTGTACAGAGTCCTCAGCGGCTCTGGAAGCAAGTCCACATCCAGCAGCCCGTCATCATCAACGTACTGCTCTATATAACCTATCATGGCCATACCGAATGAGCCTACGCGCTTCCCAGAGTCCCGGGCGTAGATGCGCAAAAACGCCTCCAACAGTACGTGGGCCTTGGGAACGACTATCGGCTGTTTGGTGGTGAGGTAGACACCAGACCCCCGGCCCGGCCGCCAGGGCGGGAGAGTGTCTTGGTCCGTGGCGAGGGTGAACTGTGATGGGAGCTTGTCTACCTCTGGGTGTGCGAGAGAGTGGTCGAGGACGGGTAGAAACCAGAGGGTTTCTGATTGTAGACAAAGATCGACTGTGACTTCTGACGCATCGATATGAAAGTGGAACGAGGGGGGAGGCGTATATCTTTCTTGGGAGCTTGTCAGGCATGTGGCTGGGTCGGGACATGGCCTAAGACCAGGTATCCCTTTTAGAGCTTTTGTTCCACGTCGCAATAGTTCGTCGGGCACAACAAAGTCTATTGACTTGGTGAGGTCAGCGTTGTGAGCTCAAAGGGCTGATTAAGATGAACATACCGCGACAATTGAAGGTATTCCGTGGACCCCGAGCAAGCAATGGCCCCAAAGGATGCAAGGGATCCCGGAGGAGTTGAGTGCGTGTGCGATGGATGCTACGAAAGCTTCGTTGAGATCCGCCATCCTATATGGCAGTCACTCAATGTCTTGATGGGAATGTTGGCGTGGAGCAATGTTGGAGTGCAAAATAAGATGTGATGCTTGAAATGGAATTTCGGCGAGCTCAAAAGACAGAAAGTCAAGAATGGAATCCTGCCGGCGCTTTAGACATCCTGGAAGGTCGCAAGCTTACGCTACTTACCTATATTTAGAGGACCTTACGTAAGGCACACAGATATACGTCCCTGCACTGCAAACCTGGAAGAATGTCGTTGGCAGGGATGTTCACTGTTCCCCCAGGCTTTGGTACTGGACGCCGTCGCTTAGCCCGGAGGCGTCAAACAGTCGGCGCTAAATTCAACCGCTGCGGAAACAACATGAACACACCTACCTACCATCTACAACCAACTCGAGATGGTGCATTCTCCTCAATCCAGCATGACAGCCCTGGACAGCTTTACATTGCTTAGCGCTTTGCCCTTGGAATTGCAACTCAAGATATGGAACGACGCGCTCTCCGAGCGCTCTGTTTGGGTCGCAGTTCGCCAGGCAGGCGCGAATCGCCCGCGTTTTGTCATGACCCACGTTGGGCCGGCGCCATACCATGCGGGCCTAGCCTGCGTCGAGTCACGGCGGCTAATGCAAAGGTTGTATCGCGAACCTCTCCGGGGACCAAGATCTTCGACGAGTTCTGTGGCCTACTGGGTCAATCTGGACACGACAGTCGTCTACCTCGGCAATGCATGCGACGCGATGGACATCATGGACGCATTTAGCGCCGACGAGGTATCGAGATGGAGGCACGTGGCTCTGGACTGGTCTCAGTTTGCAAACCTCGCTCGTGTATGCCGACGTCTCGCAACAGCATGTCCGACACTCCGAACAATCATCACCCGACGCGAGACATCAGATACCACTCCCAAGAATCCGGGAACCCCATTCATGAGACCGGAGCTTGCCGCGTACTACGCAAGTATTCCGGACCTTACCGGCCCCGAATTATCTCACGAAACACTGGATGCTGCTTATTTCCGGGGTCTCTTGGTAGAGTACTTTGGCGATTCGCCTCCAGGGATACATCTGGTCTCCCCTGGGTTAGGAAATTGCCCAAGGTAACCATGGTTGGCTGCATGCGGCCGTCACAACTCCTGCTGTTATGATGAATCTTTGCCATTTTCGACCAATAGGTATGCGCTTAAGCATTTGTTCCTTGAAACCTGTGTTGGTTTGGTCACTGATCAGCGGGCAGGCGGCTCAGAAGAGAGCCAGCCGCCGGACTCTACCTCACGATAGCATCGATGCGCAGTATTTCGATTTGGATATAAACCAAGTCCTGGTGCTACAATGATCTCAGCATGTCGCCAGCAACATCTCATTCAACCCTGTTCTCATCTGCATTACTCAATCTCTATCAAGGATACGTCATTCAGCATGTCTTCGCATTCTCGAGCCCAGCTTGAGAGCGCTGCCGTCGAAGTCATATCTTGTTTGAAGGAGTTGAAGGAATTTTCTCAAGCGAGAATCGCCGTCATTGGCGGACTTGCTCTGTGGAAATATTTGCCACACGGTAGGACCACTCAGGTATTGCACTAGAGCCTTCATCTACTTGGTTCATCAAGCTTACCCGTCTTAAAGGATGTGGATTTCATCATCAACATCAATAGTGCACCTCCGAGTGTGAAGCAGAAGCTGTTGGGCCTCCCAAATTCTCCATTCATACAGCGAGCTCAGTTCTTCTATTTCAAGCACGGATCAACTTGCATTCAAATTGACATCACTCCTGGATGGCAGGTTAGTCAGGCCTCCCCCGATTTTCACAAGCAACCTATCAACTGATGTACCTGGCTATAGTCCCCATATATGCCAACGTCTGCTTTGGAGATCAGAAACGTGCCTACAGGCACTGTTCCTTACATTTCACCTACCGACCTGATTGTCTTCAAGATCAGCTCCTGTAGTATGCGCGCCGAGAGAGCCAAGAGGCGCACAGATGCCATGGATGCCGAGACTTTACTTGAACACGAGACACGATCTGGGTCCTTTACCCTGACAAGACAACAGCGAGCCGTCGTAGAGCCCTGTATTTCTGATGTCGTGGCTTATGGAAATAAGAATGAGAAGTGGTGGAAGGAGAAACTGGGCCTTTAGTAATCTGTCTTGATCTCGCTCGAGTTTCATGTCTATTCGTTGTCAAAGCAGCAGCAAGTTAAGTTGCACACCGCAACACGTATGTATCTACAACTGTCGATTTTCAATTTTTAGATGAGAAATATGATCTAGCAATTTTATCTGATATGGACTGTCGTCACTTATGTTAATCTGTGGCGAGACCAACAATTCTATGAATAAGCAATTGTCACTGTTGAATGTCATTACGATAACTAGGAGCAAACAAATCATGAACGGGATCTATTTTCTGCGTCCTCAATGCATGAGATGGAGTATGTAATAGCTTGCATGATATTGCATCGAAGAGAGACATGTCCAAATATAAAACCAGGCTCATTGATGCACCAGGTGTGGTGGTGCTTGAGCACTTGTTGCGTGACACTTCACATTTCACCGCTTACCACCTTGCCTTCGTCGAAGCCCACAGCCTGAGAGAAGTAGTAGCCCCTTTGGTTTGTAACAAGTCTCAACGGTTCTGCGCCACCCTCCCGCTCGAAAGTAAAATCACAGTTGAAATGCGTGTGACCAAAGACCCAGATTTTGACCTTGGAACTCTGAAAACACAGCTGCCCGGACAAGTCCGTCGCGAATCCCGTCGTGATAGGGCTTGCAGCATGTCTTGGGTCTAGCGCACGTCTGTCTGTTGAAGGGCTCCAGTGAGAAAAAATCACAATCGTCGGATCGGAATCCTGCTGCTCCAGCTCTGCAACCTGGGTGTTGAGCCAGGCAAGGTCCCTTTGGTGGGCTTCATTATGCGTGCCGATATCCCAGTCGTCGATTTGGAAGAAGTCGTTCAGTCCAAGAGAAACGTCGTCGTGGTTCTCAGGAGGGACGTGGGAAAAAAGGCTGCAGCCAAGAATAACAATATTGGTGTCAGGCACCCGAAATGTCGTGCGGTCCAACAAAACAAACCGCCCACGAGACGGATTGTCTTTATGTTGAATCTCGGCCTCTTGCTCGAATTCCCGGAGTATTCTGATAGTCTTAGACCAGCTGGACTTATAGGCCTCATGATTCCCGGGCACGAAAAGCACGATTCGGAATTGACTGAGCTGTTGAGTCAAGAAGGTGACGAAGTCGTCTCTGTGGAGCGCGACATTTCCAACATCGCCAAGCAAGGCTAGAATGGGAGCTTGAGGGATAATTTGAAAGATGTCGTAGGCTTTGGGCGACTCGAGATGCAAATCTGAAAGAATTTGGACGGCCATACCGACGTTGTGAGGGGGAAGACAAGGGGGGGAACGGAGCTGCGACGTGTCACCCGGGGCTCTCAGAATAAATATTTGCTGTGCCTATCGTACAGTGCTATGTGCAGCTGTCATCTGCACTGTGTCGCGGACTTGATTCCCGTTGGCTCAGTTGGCTTCCACCAACACAAACCCCTGTGCCCGTGAGTCGACCTGGCTCCTGGACATGTGGCCGGTGTTAACCTAGGTATCACTCATAAACCGGCGACAGTTGAGGAACTTGTCTCGGAGTTTAGGAAGACATGCCAAGTCAGTTTGATTGGAGGGGTCTTTTGTAGCGACGGGCCGAGGGAAGATAAGTTGAAAAGCTAGGTGCAGCTTTGGATCTAGGATTCCAATTATTCCAACCTTGTTAATGTTGATCAGTTAGACTAATTTTCAAAACATACTAAGATGGTTCCATTCAAATTTTGCGTATAAGTCTCGATAAGAGAATGCTATGCCTGAGTAGGTGTATGAAATGTTTCATTTGAACAAGTTTTGGGCCGATATTTGAACGCGGTGTGGTACGTTAGTTTGAAGTCTGAAGCAGACCTGTTTACCTCAGAAATAGAGCCTTCATTGTTTATCTTTCAAGAACTTCGAGATTGAACAGAAACGCATTCATATTCCTGGCTAACCATACAACAACAACATCTTACACGCGTAAAATCAAATCAAAGTAAAATGGCCGGAGTGAAAGAACGTATACCGCCACATGCCCTTAACCATGCCCCTCGCTCTGAACATCCTCCCGTCATCGTTCCTCTCACCATCCGACTGAACTTGTTCAACGACCCACGAAACGCTCAACGCCCGCGTCCGCGGTCTGGGAATCGACTCGAGCTGCGCCTGAAACGGCGTCAACACGAGAGTCCCTTCCGCCGTGTCCCCCCCCCCCCCCCTACGTCGAACACCGCTCTTCGGTCCCTGAACTCGGAGGCGTCTACCTGCGTGATCAAACGGACAGTCCAGTACTGCATAGCAGGTATCCGACCATGTTACTGCCTGGGCCTCTCCCTCGTCCCCTTCGTCGAGATAGTCATTCGCATGCTCCATGTATTTCGCATACGCAGAAACAAGCTCAAGCTTTATCGCGTGGCTCTGTTCGGAGAAAGTCGAGCCGCTCTCCTGGAAAAAGCGCCACATTAGCAGCAAGTCAGTATTCGGGTCCTCCTGCAACTTCTCCCAGCGTTCCGATATTGATACAACAGTACCGTCTCTCGTCTCGCCACCTTTAGAAGCTGATCCGGGTGCTTGTCTATTAACTCCGAAGGGTATTCCTGCGTTCCACTCGTCGGCAGGATGAGCCAACCAGAGACCTCCGTTCTCCATGACGCGGTCCACGATCCAAGACTGGTGCATCGTTCTTTCTCCGGATGGCTGCCAGCTGAGCCAGAACATGTTCTCGGGCGGCTCTGTCAAATCGCGCGGCATCTCCAAAACGGACTCGACTATGCTGTCCGCTTGAAATATGTTACCCCGCCGGTCCTTGGATGTGGTCGAAACAGTCTGTGAGTCTGTTCTCGTCTTTCTGGAAAACGGTCCCTTCATAAAGCCCTTTTCTGGTTCTGGAGCAGCTCTCGGAGGTGCTCTGTCGCGGAACTTCGGATCCGACGTTGAATTCAGGATGGCATCTGCGACTTCGATATCGCCTTTGGCTCGAAGCAGCATGATGATGTCGAAAATAACCTGTCCAACAGCCTCGCGCCTGACGTCCGCGCTCGTTCCGGACTTTTTGGCCTCTTGCCATCTTGCGAAGTGTTTTGTCTTGATAAGCTTAAGCGAGATGAACTCCTTGACTTGCCAGAGAGTTCCGAGAAGCGAAAGCCCCGATGCAGAAAGGCCGTACTGTCGGTGGTCGTCTGCTACTGTTGTATTGGAAGCCGGTACCATCATTGTCGAATAAACAAATCGTGGGTCTTGTGTCAGGGAGTGAGCCCAACTGAAGTCTGATTCCTGCCCTCCAGGTGGAAATACTGTGGAAGGCCGTGTCAGTCAAGCACGTCTCTCTCTGATGTATTTTCCGCGTCTTTTACTTACTGATCGGATGGGTTTCTGGGACTTTGTACAACTCAGGCGGTAAGAGAGACAGGTCTCCGTTGACCAAAGCGAGAGCGAGTACGCAGTGGAACAGATCGTAACCATCCTTCTCAATCGCGACCGTATCAAGCCTCAGCTCGTACCCGCACAAGTTCGCCATAATCGCAACGCGGTCCTCGTCCCGAAACAAGCCCCGTCGGTTGAGAAACGACAGCGCCGTGGCGGCATCGCACCTCTTCCGGTTGTGAAACTCGCTGAAGCCGAGCAGATCGCCGTTATTCAGCAAGCGTGGGTAAAAGAACCTGATGGCGTCGAAGAGCCCCATCTCACGCATCTCGTCATCAAACGTCGGCGTGATGTGGTCCTCAAGTATCGTTTGCATAGAAACAACACCAATCGCCAACTCTAATAGGGACTTTTCGTAGCAGATCTACCACCAGCCTTCCACGTTGACGGTGCCAACGATCGGGAAGAGAAGGAGTATCTTATCTACCGAGACGAGGGCTTCCTGAAAGATCCAAGCTCGCGTGTTCCATTGGTCTCCCAACAGAATCCCGCCCGCCTCTGTTAGGTCTTCGTAGTAACTCTTTTGGCCTGATGCAAAGAAGTATTTTGGGGGGACAGGTGGAGGGCCGCGGCGACCGGGGTGGTTGTCGACTTTGGGGCGGCCCATGTGGTCGAACTCGTAGCCGAGGAGGAGAGCGTCGAGGTGACGCTGCTCCCATGTGTTGCTCATGAGACCGATGCAGATGTGTGCTCGTTGGTAGACGACATCCATGCACTGCGAGCTCCTTTCCTTTGGGGTTATCCTGCTCGATACATTCCTAAACTCCGGTCAGCTCACAACGCCGTTGATGTGTCGTTCCGGGGGGGGGGGGTGACATTACCTGGTCGATCCATATCATACGAAAACCGTTCTCCCTGGCGAACCTCACAACACGATCAATAGTCGCCCTCGGAGCCCTCATCGCGCGTCAGATCTTCGACGTGGACGCAGGGATTCCTGTAGCTCTCCAGCTTGCGCTCCCCATCCTGGAGCTTCTCCGGCGTGAGGACGACGTTGGCGTGAGCCGCACAGATGTGGCCCGACGGTACCGGAACTCGTTCAGCACAGCGTCGACATTGGCCAGATACCGGCCTCGCCGAAGGGGTGTTGGTGCTTTTACCATCGTCGAACGTCAGGAAGCGGAGGTTCCTAGCCCATCTTTTTGCTTGAGCTCGGGGTGCTGCGTGTTTGAGTATTCCGTCGACTTGCGACGAGAATTTGGTATCCATGAAGACCTCGGCTAGAGCCTCGGCCGATTGCGTGATCTATGTATGAGAATGAAGGAATGCTTCGAGGGAGGTGGAGAAGGTGCGGAAACTGCGACGACGCAGTCCTGACTCCTATGTCGTCAAGTATCAGCCGTTTGTCCTCAATGGCGCCTTTTCTCTGTCTCTTTTCTGCTGCTGACTGCATATGCAAGCCTGTTGAATAGCTCCATAGTTGAATAGTTGTCAATACAAACCCCGGCTACCTAGGTAACACATTCGTGATCGGGTTAGCAGGCGTTGACATGCAGCTAAACTACATGCAGTCACGTAGTCCGAGGATTCTTCTTTCTAAATCGCCACATACTAGAATCAGCTCCAGGTCATTCCCTTTCTGTTAACAGATACATAGATCGATGTATCATATCTCTTGGACCTTCAAGCAAGACGTCGAGACTTCTGGAGGCTGTTGAATTCTGTGCTCTTCGCTCCGACTGATCTATGAAACTAGTGAGTAACAGTACTAAACGATATCTATGGGCTTATAAACTCTCATATTGTTGAGTGCTAGGTATATTGCACTTATATCGCGTCACGTGGAAAGTTATTCTCAAGGTGTTGCATGATACGAGTTCTTCTTTTTTTCGTAGCTCGCGATGTCCTCACTTCTTCAGACTTCAGTACTAAACGGTTTCGATGCATTCTTCTATGGTTGTGTCATTCTATGTATTCTCAAGCTGGTGAACCAGATTCATATCACAGAACATCCCGAACCTCCTCGCTCCTCCGTCCCTCAAGCCAACTCGCCAACTCAACATATCCCTCCCTCCTCGCAAACCCAGCAGCAGTCAACCCCGTAACCATCTCTCTCTCCTCCGCCCTCGCCCCATACCTCAACAGCAACTCAACAACCCCCCTATCCCCCCTCGCCGCCGCCGCATGCAACCCGTTCATATGCGGCGACCTCGGGCACCCGGGCAAGTCATGTTCCCACGGATTCGAAGGCACCGTAGCATTCACATCCAACCCGCCGATCCCCTCCAACACAAGCTCCATAATCCCCAACCGCGCCTCCCCATCCGCATGCCGCGAGTCCGCGATGCCCACGATCACGGACCCGGAATCGTACGCCGACGGCTCGCCGCCGCCGCGCAGCATCTTCTCCGGCGGGAACAGCGCCAGGAACTCCCGCGCCTGCTGCACCGACGTACACGAACCGAGGAAGTCCCCGGCGGAGGGCAGGTCGTAACACAGACCCCGCCGCGCCAGCGCGGCGAAATACGCGTTGAGCTTCGTCGTGCCCGCGGCCGCGCTGGCGTCCGTTTCCTTGGTATCCCAGTGCGTGACGCGGATCTCTACGAGTAGGAACTGCGCCTTGGGCCCCTCAATCGGGTCGTGCAGCCAATGCGAGTTGAGGATCTCGGTCCACAGAGTAATCTCGTCGGACGAGTTGGTGATGGCTTTGGGGGAGTGCTGGGCGAGGACGGTGTATTGGTCGATGCGGGTGTTCCACAGCACCCGCTGCTCCAGCGCGTCGAAGGTGGTCTGCGGAGGGGCATCCGGGACGGTCTTGATCAGGTGCGTGAAGAGCGCCGTGTGGCGCCTGCAGTAGCATACCACAAGGAGCAGGTCGGCCAGTTCCGGCGTGAGGGACGTCGGATCGAGACCGGTCTGCCGGCATCGGTTATCGAATTCGCCGGGGTCGCTGACCGTCCACGCGAGGATCGCCATGTCTTTGAACCTGTTTATGTCCGCCTCTTCCAGCGGAACAAACCCGGGCTGCAGAGCCCACCTCTTCACCGCCCCGGCAAACACGTCCATCTCCATGAAATCCGCGATCCCGTCCTCGAGCGGCACGTCCCACTTGTGTCTCGGGCCGTCCCTCCTCAGATGCGCCAGCACGCCGTCCATGTACGCGTCGAGACCGATCTCACCCGCGGCGAACCGCGCGGCGAGACGCACGAAACACGTCTCCGTGGCGTCCTCGAACTCGTTCGCGACGTCGGACGCGTGGTAGTTGAATCTCAGCCGGACGACGGGTCCGGAGCCGTCTCTGCCGGGGGACACTTCCATCGTGATGGGTCGGGGTGAGGCGGGTGAGAGAGTTTAGTTCGGGTTGGTCGCGATGTGTGAAAAGGATGGATGCTGGGTTTGAAAAATGTGGCCATCTGCTCTGGATATATGTGCCGGGCGTGTGATGGGTTACCTCCTGCGCCGCTCTGCTGCCGCGTGCTCAGCCGGGGCTCTCAGCGTGAAGTGGAAAAACTCCAGGCTGGGCAGTAAGGCAGTTGGTCGCAGGCAATGCGGCAGAGCCCATAGTTTGAATTGTGACGTGCATTTCCGTCCATGTAGTATTTCCATTTCAAAGGCCATCTCGGAGGTTCAAAAGGTCCCAAGAGTTCATACTATCAATCTATCATCCTGCGGAGGCAGAAGCCTTCAAGTCCGAAGATGAATCCCGCTTCAAATTACATGCATGGATGCTTGTTGGTGCTGTGGCGGGGGTGACAAACACCAGATCTTGGCAGATGGACCGTCTCTTGGCTTTGCCGGGGATGGCTCCAGAGTTCCAACGTCAGTCAGCTTTGATCTACAAGCGCAAGAAAAGCATTTGGGTCGAGTCGTGTATAGATGAAGAGACCAGGCATATACGATCGACTACTGCGAGACCGACCAAAAAGCCCATTGCTAGTCACCATAGTAAGAGACACACCTGAAAACGAAGCAGCAGCAGAAGTTGAAAAATATTGCATGATGCCGGTGGTATAAAATGCTACCATCTAATCTCTTCCGTCTATCTTGACACATACTTCTCTCATCATACACAGGAATGCCCAATTCGCATCCTGGTCGCGTTTACCATGTCCCACGACGCATACCAGAAACAAAAATACAGGCGGAGTAGGGGGGTTGATGATACACGCAAGAGAGTCAGCATACCGTGCGCAGTGCAGTGGCATTCACAAGCTTCACTTTCTGAGGAAAGCCAAGGCAAGCAAGCGTTACTCGTGGAGTTGCGTGTGCGTGTGCGTGTGCGTGTGTGTGGTACTGAGCTCAGAGACGACATGACGGTATGCGACGCAAAAAAGCAGAAAAGAAATAAGAAATAATAATGAAAAGACATTAAGGAAAATGTTTCCTTCGCGGAGGTCGCCCCCCTATGCATGTTGCATGCTCCCGCCAATGCAAAAGTTTCGTCCGTCGTGTCCCAAGGAAACCAGTAGTAAAAATGAAATCCATGCCCAATTGTTTTGTACGCCTTTCGCAATTCCCTGTGTCTTTGTTTCCCACTCCTGATGCTGCTTTAACCCACTATGGTATCATTTGCCCGGTGTTAAGGCCGGGTCGAGAACAATCAATATCTATCATGCGCGGCGATGGCAGCGCAGTTTGCATTCGGTAATGCTGTGTGGCCTCTACGCTGAGGCGAGTTTCTGGAGGGCGAGCAGGACACCTATGAAAGTCAGCATGTGCTTCGAGATTAAGATATCAGGTCGGCTTACCGCTCACACCCTGGGTCAGGGTGGCGCCGGCCTCGGTGTTGCGGCTGTGCAAGCTCACAGTCACGACATCGTTGACGACCTTGTCATCACCAAGAGCGTTGGCCCACTTGAAGACCTTCTCGTCTTCGCGACCGTCGCCGACGACCATGAGGAAGTCGACAGGGCTCTTGTGCTCGGCGTCGGGCGCCATGTGGATACGGAGGTCGTCGAAAATCTTCTCGGCGGCGGTGCTCTTGGTCCAGTCGATGGGCTCGACGACGATGGAACCATCGAGGGGAATGGCGTGGACGCGCTGCTCCTCGCAGGCGTCGTTGATGTGGCTGGCGCAGTCGGAGGCCTGGCGGGAGGCCGACTCGTAATCCTCGGCACTCTTGTAGTGGAAGATCAGGCTGCAGCGGCGCTCTTCGATCTCGGCGCCGGGGGTGCGCTCGAGGTAGTACGTCATGATGGACTTGACCGACTCCTTCCAGCTGTTAATCTGTTCTCTATCGGCCATCTCGGTCCAGTTGCTGCGGCCGCAGTCCTTGAGGAAGCAGCCGTTCTCGGCGATCAGACCCAGATTGGGAACGCGGCGGAACAGTCTGTCGAGCTCCTCGGGGCGACGACCCGACATGATATATACGGTGTTGCGCTCGTCGAGGAGAAGGTCGTTCAGAACATCAAGAGTGCGCTGCGATTGTTAGTATGCTAAGGAGGGAAGGGGGTCTTGGGATCATCTCACCTGAGGGCTGACGGGGATGATCTGGTTCATCGGTCCCCAGCTCACCAAGGTACCCTCATAGTCGAGGATAAACAAGCGGCGCTGGCTGCGTTGATATCTTGTCGCCAGGGTGTTGACGTTCAGCCGCGGCACCGAAACCTGGTCGCGCTTGTGCTGCTCGTCGTACACGCGGTCCAACCTCGACAGGAATTCACTAAACCAGTGCGAGCCGGTGTGGTGCATGACGGCAGAGTACAATGCGTTCCAGCGGCGCGCCTTCTCCTCGTCACCCATCTCGAGTGCCTTCTTGATGGCATCGGCGCATTGCCGGTAGTCCCAGGGGTTGACGGAGAGCTCATTGCCGCCGAAAAGCGACGCCGTTCCAGTAAATTCGGACAAGATCAAAGAACCGTGCTTCTTCTCGGGGAAGACTTCACCGTCCTGGCAGAAAAGGTACTCGTGAGAGGTCAAGTTCATGCCCTCGCGCTGACTGGTGATCATCAAGGCGTCGGCCATGGTGAGGAGCGCCAGGTACTGAGCGTAGTCGATGTCCTGCTTCAGGTAGACAACAGGCTGGTAGGCCAAGTTGGCCCATGAGGAGTTGACTCTGGTCACGATGTCGCTAACAGTCGCGTCCAAGTCGGACTTCTCGCTACTAGAGAGAGCCACCTGAATCAAGACAATCTTGTCGCGCCACTCCGGGTTCTTGTTGAGGAACAGCTCGTAAGACAGCAGCTTCTGGCGAACGCCGCGAACGTGGTCCAGCTTGTCCCGGGCGACAATGAGCTTCTTCCCATGGTATCTCTCCTTCATGATACCCATCCACTTCCTAACATCGTCGTCGAGTCTGTGTTCGCTGAGGTTCACGGGGTCGATTCCGATGGGCAGGTTGACGACGTCGACGAAACGGTCCTCTAACTGGAGACCATCGGTGGTTGCCTCGACTTGCAACAGCCTGCTGCAAGTCTGCAGGAAGTGGCGGGTGTACTCGTGGATCTGGAAGCCGATCAGATTGGCTCCGAGCATTCCCTCGAGCAGCTGCTTGCGCACTGCGAGGCACCTGAAGACCTCGGAGGAGGGGAAGGCGACGTGCAGGAAGAAACCGATCTTGGCCTCGGGCAGCTTCTTACGGATCATGCCGGGGACGAGGAGCAGGTGGTAGTCGTGGACCCAGACGACGTCGCCGCGCTTCCAGTTCTTGACGATCTTGTCGGCGAATGCCTGGTTGACGTTGACGTAATACTTCCACGAGTGGTCCTCGAAAGCCTTGCTCTTGGGGTTGTCGGGGATCTGGTAGTGGAAGACGGGCCACAAGATCTGCTTGCAGAAGTGGGAGTAGTGGCCGTCGAAGTCCTTGTCGGAGGTGAAGACGGTAAGCATGTCGTGCTCGGTAGCCAGCCTGTCCTCGATGTCCTGCTTCTGCTGAGTGCCCTCGAGGGCGTCGGTAGGCATGCCGAGGGTGCCAACCCAGGTGTACTCTCCGAGCTTTCCGTCGCGGGCGGCGGCCTCGGCGGCGTTGCGCAGTCCACCGTTGCCCTGGTCGGCATTCATAATGCGCCAATTGGCGTGGGCGAAGACGCGGTCGTGGCTGTCGCTCCTGGCGAGGGGCCTCGGCTGCGTGACGCCCTGACGACCGAGTTCCCTCGCCTTTTCGAGTGTGCGACTGTGTTCGGCGATGATGGCGGGAGGGGGAGAGCTTGCGCGCGACTTTGGCTGAGTTGCGCGAGCACCCCACTTGGGAGAGCCCTTGTCGACGGGAGCTCCGCGCTTCTTCTCCTCCTCGGGGAACTGTATGCGGAAGCCATCTTCGTTTGTGAAGGGGTCTTTTTCGGGGGTCTCTTCGGTCGGGGTAACGGGGGGCGTGATGTCGCGAATGGGGTTGAACAGACTCGGCTGGCGATCGGGTTCGGGGCGCTTCTCGGTCTTGGTGCGACGGAGAGGGTCTGATCGGGAGGGAGTGCCGGGGAGGGCGAAGTGGACGGTTTTGGGGAGGAATCTAGGATCGCAAAGTCAGAAGGAGGCCTCGAATGGTAAGGCGATTCAAGAATTGAGACACAGAGGACGTTGGCGACGTCGGGATGCGCCCACAGAGGGGTTACCCGGACTTGGCTCGGCAACACCAAACGGATTGGAGGGGCAGCAGAGAATAGTTCGTCGTGGTTCATGACGGGGAGCTACTCACAGCGATGCGATGAAGACCGTCATCTTGGGCGAGCTGGGTGGCGTCTAGCCCTCTGGAGAATGCTTGGTGATGTCCTTAACCCACGGGAGTAGTGGGTGATTGGAGGAAGCAAGTCGAATAGGTAGTAAGGTGAGGTGGAAGTCGAGGGCGAGGAAGAGGTGAGGTCGGGAGAGTTGACGACGAAGGCGGAGGAAGGCGAGGCGGGAGCTATGAGTAGCTTTTCTTTCCGCAGAACATGTGGAGGAGTTGTTGGACGGCAAGACGGGGATTGGGATGGGGGAAAGAATTGGAGTGTGGGCGAGCCGCGGCGGTTTATTCGAGATTGGGGAGGGATCTCCGGTGTCAAGGCGAGGAAGGGAGGGCCGATGTTGTAGTGAAGCAAAGTACGTATGTATGTACCCGGCTTTTGGTGGAGGGAGGTATCTCCGTATCGACGTAGCTGTTGGGTGAGGAAGCTAGGTGAGGTACCTTTTGTTATTATCCGAGGAAAGGTGGTGGTGGTGGTGAGTTAAGAAGAAGGGCGAAGGAGCGTGTGGCTGAGAAGTCCAAGGCAAGGTGAGGTAGAGTGAGGTAGCAGCGGGTGAAGACGGAGGCGAGAGACGGATGATTGGATTTATGCTTGTCTCAGACCTTTTTTTCGGGCTGTCAGCTTTGAGCTTTTTTCTCCGGCAAGCAAGCAAGAAAAAAG